GTTGCTGATAAAAGTCTCTTTGAATCACTTTCTGAATCAGATGATGTGGTCAATACCAGAGAGGGAGGACTTGTTTGTGAAGAACAGGCGAATCGGGATAGCAATGGGGAAAACAAGGACACTTCCTCACTCACCCATAGATCTGTTGATATCATAATTCAAATGGAACATCCTAAACACGTTGAAGTTCTGATTGGTGGTGTAAACAAGCACAGTGCATCTTCTGAACTGGCAGAAACCGTCAACAATCAAACGCCACTGGCTGTACAATTTGGCATGGTGTAGTCTTCAATGGCTATAAGTGAAAATGGATGAGTGAGTTTAATTTTACGCCGCAATATCCACGACGGGGGACACCAGAAATGGCCTTAACACATTGTACCCATGTGGGGAATCAACCCGGGGTCACCCATTGATTTTTACCTGACTCGCATGCTCTCCATAAAATCATCATCACCCCTTCAAGCCATAAATCATGAACGGTTCCTATGTGATAGGGTTATCACAGTTGTGCTTTAGACCTTTAGTTTGCAGTGTCTCAGCAGTTTTGACCCCAGTCTCGTTTGTATTTTTAAAAACACCTCAATTACACTTTTTAATGTGTATACTTTCTTTTGCCTGTGAGTATTATTGTGTGTCATAATAGGTTGACATGTTGTGTTAGCCTAAGCTTCTATAGACATACGCTGCCTTCAGTTTGTTGAATATGGTGAGATGTATAGTTGTAGTGTAGTGTAGGTTGTACGATTATTCTTTGTGGTTAATAGTGACAGCAATTGGCTGAAACACCCATAAAATCTAGAGTTCAACTGGAAGTGCGATGAAGAATTACAAGGACCTGTTATGCTCTGATATGCGTCTTATCTCCTTGACGTGTGTTGTACCCTTAAACCTACAATGGTCTTAAGTGCACAAAAATTTATCAACAGACGTGTCCTCCATCTGAATATTCTTATATATCATGGATTCAAGACATGCAACAGAGACAAATCCTGGACATTCGTGAGTTTGGAGGCAACATATTTCGTAGATTTCTTGTATTTACATGTTACGTATAATCCATGTACATAATGAATTGTCTTTTTCATTACTGTCTTATTCATCGTATTTTATTACTTTACGATATTTTACATTGCTCATTATCTGTGACAGCTTTTTATACTAAGAGTGCTCACTTCATGGCTTATTCGCACAATTCACACTTGTCGAACATATACTAGACAAAATAAATTAGGGATATTGGTGTTTTTATGATTGATATTTTATCAGTGTGTCAATTAATAAATAGATCATTATTCATAATTTCAAAATTTACATATATCCCTAACTATATTTGCCCAGTATACATGACAACCCACTCCTTTCCCCACTAAAGCCGTGTGCTAAACACGAATCACGTCGGAAAGCAATCGTAAAATCTCCAAATCACCATTAGCATTACCGCTGTATCCCTTTGGCAAGCTTGTATTTAGCTTGCCTTTATACATTATGAGCATACCCCTGAAGGTCCGGGTTAGAATATTGATCTTCAGTAATCCATGCTTGTCGTAAGAGGCCACTAACGGGATCGGTTGGTCAGGCTCGCTGACTTGGTTGACACATGTCATCGGTTCCCAATTGTGCAGATCGATGCTCATGCTGTTGATCACTGGGTTGTCTGGTCCAGACTCGATTATTTACAGACTGCCGCCATATAGCTGGAATATTGCTGAGTGCGGCGTAAAACTAAAGTCACCTTTGTCATTCCGAACAAATGAATCACCACAGAAGACAATAACACTGAGTTTCACCGGAGTGGTGGCGTAGCCGAGTAGTTAAAGTGTTCACCCGTCACACCGAAAATGCGAGTTTGATTCCCCACATGGGTTCAATGTGTGAAACCCATTTCTGGGCCCATTTGCACAAAGCGATCTTAGCGCTACGACTATCATAAGCCTATGTTGGAGAATGGGAGTTACAATAATTGTAGCGATCGCTTTGTGTACGTGGGCCCTGGTGTCCCCGCCGTGATATTGCTGGGATATTGCTAAAAGCGGCGTAAAAGTAAACTCACTCACTCACTGAGTTTCACCATGTTAGAATCTTGCACATAGGATTGTACAACAGATATGTTGCTTATTGGAGATCTCTTCAACATAAAAGATATACTTACACAGATCATGTTATCAACACACATCACATATATGTACACTACAAAGAAGATTAAATTCGTTATACAGGCAATAACACAGTAACAGCTTTAGGAACGGGAATGTACAAAACGTTTAGTTAACATGAAATGGACAGAGTTAAATATTTTTATATATTCTTTTCTTTTAAGCATATTTTATTGTCCAAAAGACAAAGGGATTGGTCAAAAGAACATTTATAGACGCCTTCTCCCCAAATACAGTTAAATATGATATTACATAATGGGAATGTACACTGGAAGCTTGACATTGTGGAAACATATACAATGTATATATGATACAGTGTATATTAATCTCAATCAACAAATCTGAATTACGAATAATACGCTTTTGCTTGAAAGAATTTTTTTTGATATTATAAGATTATAATTTGAACATTGAAATAGAAAATGTAGACTGCTTTTGTAGTGGAATCTGTGACTGCATGAGTCGTTATAGGAGATATCAAACTTGTGACCGTTACGGTCACTGCATTCCGAGAGAGATGGAGAAAGTCTCCCTGACGTTGAGACTGGACGTACGTACATGTGCACCTTATCTATAGAACTGATAGATTATTTACCACAAATTTGGTTATCTATAGAACTGCTAGATTATTTACTACAAGTTTGGTTAACTATAGAACTGATGGATTATTTACTACAGGTTTGGTTAACTATAGAGCTGATGGATTATTTACTACAGGTTTGGTTAACTATAGAGCTGATCGATTATTTACTACACGTTTGGTTAACTATAGAACTGATAGATTATTTACTACAGGTTTGGTTAACTATAGAGCTGATCGATTATTTACTACAGGTTTGGTTAACTATAGAGCTGATCGGTTATTTACTACAAGTTTGGTTATTTATAGAACTGATAGATTATTTACTACAAGTTTGGTTAACTATAGAGCTGATCGATTATTTACAACAGGTTTGGTTAACTATAGAACTGATAGATTATTTACTACAGGTTTGGTTAACTATAGAGCTGATCGATTATTTACTACAAGTTTGGTTATTTATAGAACTGATAGATTATTTACTACAAGTTTGGTTAACTATAGAGCTGATCGATTATTTACTACAGGTTTGGTTAACTAAAGAACTGATAGATTATTTACTACAAGTTTGGTTATTTATAGAACTGATAGATTATTTACTACAAGTTTGGTTAACTATAGAGCTGATCGATTATTTACTACAAGTTTGGTTAACTGTAGAACTGATAGATTATTTACTACAAGTTTGGTTAACTATAGAGCTGATCGATTATTTACTACAGGTTTGGTTAACTATAGAACTGATAGATTATTTACTACAAGTTTGGTTAACTATAGAGCTGATCGATTATTTACAACAGGTTTGGTTAACTATAGAACTGATGGATTATTTACTACAAGTTTGGTTGATACACATAACATTCTACCATGACTACAATAAATACTGGATTGTGATTGGTTAATAAAGGCATTCAGATGTATATATTCACGTTATATACCTCTGATTTTCCAACACAGTATGTATTTTTTTTTTAAATCTTGATAAAGCGGTTATGGTAGACTGGAGATAAACGTACTGTGCTGGAACATCCGAGGTATATAACGAAATTATAATAGCTCTAATTATTTTATTTAAAAGCTTACGCTACGCGTTCGGTTTTAAATCAAATTTTCGTTATGTACCTCTGATTTTCCAACACAGTATGTTTATCTCCTAAATAGATAACAGTATACGAGGACCATACAGGCATTGAACTACAAACACTGTTAAATAATATCTTGATACAAGACCAGTCATCGTTCCGATTTTATGACAGATTTCTTGTTTTTCAACAATTAGATTCCAAGCTTCACACTTACAAGTTACACAGTTTTTATGTTTGTGTGCAAAGACCAATACAATGAGTCGACCGCCACGTGTCACGTGATCACTAGAAACAAAACAAAACAATGTGATCACTCAAGGCGCCGTCGCTTTTTTCAAAGGATCGGCTAGTTGTTTGATCTGTCCACATTCCCAATATCGTACGTGTTGGAATGTAAGTTCGATATGACAATTCCCTATCTTCGTTAAAAGACGTCATTTGCCTACTGGTTTCCGTACATGTGGATATTGTCCTATTTTCATTGCTCATTGTTTTGTTTTGTGTTTGCTTATTGTTCAACGCTGAACTCCAATATTCCAGCTATATGGCGGCAGTCTGTACATAATCGAGTCTGGATCAGACAATCCAGTGATCAACGTCGTGAGTCTCGATCTACGCATCTGTGATACGATGACATGTGGGTCAACCAAGTCAGCGAGCCTGACCACCCGATCCCGTTAGTCGCTTCTTACTGCTCTCTGGTATTTGGTGGGGATTCGACACCAGAGAATAGCTACATACACCCATCTACAAGCTGATCCGTACCCCAACATATATAACATTTGGATGAAAGGAAGTACAGTACAACCAGAAATTATTGAGAATTTAAAGATTGTAATTTTAAAAAAATAATTCACTCATTACTCACGTTTTAAATGTGAATATTAGCAGAACATAACTCCAGATTCAAAGACAGGTGAACAGTTAGTATTTTGTCAATAAAATTTTGTCCTTGTTATAATACTCTAAAATCAACTTCCTCTTCTCTAAATCATCCATACTGAGGATCACTGAAAATGTCATCTGCTAGCAAGTAAACAAAGGGGGATAACTCTTCACAAACTAATGAAAAAGGATTAACGGAGTTGTCTCTCTTGAATGAAACCAAGCACTTGCTAGCTGGTCAAGGTTGTTTATACTAGAAATCCAATTAAACATATTCCTAAAATTCTAAATAATTTCTGGTCATACTATAAGTATCGACTAGAAATCTCTTTGCATCTCTTTCCCAACCTGAAAGTAAGTGATGTTTGAATTGATTTTTTTTAAATACGCATTATATGCATTTTTATATTTCGTGTAATTTCATGATCAATGATAATTAAATACCATTCGTTGCTAAAATAAGGTAATATATCATTATATGGGTATTTATAGCGCTATGGTCCACCCCAACTACATGCATGCCCAAAGCGCTTTATATACTGAAAAAAACAAGAACAAAGTAAGTTAATAATTGTTCAACAAGGTTGTGTCATTACATTGTAAGTTAGATGTTATTAGTATGTTGATACCGCTCGAAATACAGGAAATCTGTCATAAAACCGGAACAGAACAATGACCGGTCTTGTATCAAGATTAAGCAGAGGTTATAGTTCAACACCTGTAAGACCCTCGTATACTGTGTTATTCATTGTTATATGTATTAACCATACACGTAGACTTTGCACGAATTGTACATAAGCTATGCATGAGGTGTATGTACGTTCGGCCTTAGCGTCAGCGGGACTCTCACTCCCCCAACCCCTCTCCATATCTCTCTCTCTCTCTCTCTCAGGCACCCACGTGACGTGTGAATACACGGACGAAGGTCAGTACTGTCAAAAATGTGCCTAGCCTCTGACGTCATAAGAAACGTAATATCGACCAAAGGTATGTACGTAATATGAAAACGTTTAGAGACTGTCACGTCATAGAGAACGTGAGGTGAACACAGTACATTTACCCTGGACAGACTGCGGGATACTTATTAATTTCTTTCTACTTTTAAGCATCTCTTATGTGAGTCCCGATTTGATTTCATTTTGTTTCGAGGTTAATCAGCACAATGCAGATGCTCATAGGTTTTTAAAGAGTAGGACACGTCTCAGACATACACCACCTCATGCTTTCCTTCCACTCCAATAGGGGAGGTGGGGTAGCCTAGTGGTTAAGCGTTCGTCGTCACGCCGAAGATCAGGGTTTCGATTCCACATATGGGTACTATGTGTGAAGCCCATTTCTGGTGTCCCCTGCAGTGATATTGCTGAACCATGACGTAGCTTAAACACACTCCACTCCACTCCACTCCGCTGCACTCCACTCCACTTTACTCCACTCCAAGATGACATGCCCAGAAATCACGTCCTAAGGGGTGTTCTACTTAAAAACAAGATATAATTGTATTAAACAACCCAACCCAAAGATCTTGGTTAGTTCTGATCTCCAGCAACCATGCATGTCAAGAGGCGATAACCAGAAATAGGTGGTCAGGTACGGGACTTGGTTGAAGCATGTCCATGTATCCCTACTGCGTAGACCGATGTTCTTGATGTCAGTCACCGGATCGTCAGGTCCAAATTCAGTTACTTACAGACAGCCGTCATACAGCCACATAGAACACCTTGTTAAACAATAATCAAAACAAACAATACACATCAGTCGTATGAAAAACACGAGCCCCAGCTGTTCTCTACCTATACGTCACATGAGTAATACAAAGTGTGAGGGTCAATGCAAATGCGTGAGAGTTGGCAGTTGTGCGTATATACAACAACACTTTCAATAGATAAGTGACGCAGGTTTTTGTGGGTGTCAATGTGCTAAATGTGTTACCTTATATAACCCCGAGTCACTGACAGATTTTCTGTACGATGTATGTAAATAGATCCCTGTCATACTGTCGCTTGCTATCTACATAAGAGAAATAGATTTATTTTCTTTCTTCCTGTGCAATGAATTCCCTAGAAGTGGCGTGAGAGTTCTAACACTTCAAATATGAAGAGGAATTTCACTTCTCGACCTAAGGGATGCATCGTACTGATCACACGCTTCGGGTAGGCGGTCCGTCTACCTCTCGCAAAACAGGTAACCTGTCATGATCTCGGAAGATAACACTTCCTCAGTGTGAATAGTGTATATAACTCACACGTAAATGTTCGCCTACAGCAACACTTTCAATAGCTAAGTGACGAAGGTTTGTTGCTGTTAATGTGCTCCGTGTGTTACCTTATGATACCCCGAGTCACTGGTGAATATCAACAGAGGGGCAATATGGCGGCGTTTTTGTGTATGCATGTCCTCGGGTCCGTGTTGTTATTTGAAACTGTTCTTGCGGCAACGACAGTAGCGCCAAACATTACTAGCAACGTTGGAGGAAGCGAAACAGCGTCCCTTTCTACAACCCCCAAACCAACAAGGATATACAATGGTGTACAATGTGAGCTCATTCCTTCAGATTCCAAACTTTCCGACGCGCTTAGCGAAGCTAAGGAAAGCGGCACGAAACTGATTAAGTTTAATCTGAAAATAACAGGTTCTCATGGAGATATATTCACGAATGACAGTGATTTGTTTCGTCCGAATATGTGGATAAAGACTACCAGTACTCAAGGACGAAGTTTACTGATGCTGGATGACAACTTCGAAGTTCTGTCTTTGTCGTTGCTTGGAATAGGAGTTGCGACCATAGACGTGGAACTTGACGAGAAGCCACTTGGATGTGTGACTCTTTTGACAACCGAGCAACGAGTTAATTTGACAAGGTATTTGGTAGTTAATGATTTCAGGTTACCTGGGCCAGGTGAGAAGAGTCTGAGTCTTAACAAGGATGAACTCATATGTAACATGCGAATAGTTCCTGAGAGTGGAAGAGCTAACTTTCTCCATCATTGTTGTCACATTGATTCACAGGGTGACACCTTCTGTGAAGATGTTCATCCAGATATATGGATCAATGTGCTTCTGACGTGCATATTAATCATCAAGGTATTGGTTGTTCTATATAGTCCTTCATTTATCCCTGAAACTCTTTACAGAGATAAGTACACTGCTACAGATTATGCTTATCCATTTCCTGGACATAATGAGAGAATTAGGATCGTGACGACCTCTCGAGACGATGTCTATCCAACTGAAATCCCTCGAATCAGACTTAGTAAGTTTGAAGGATTAAATACGCTAAAGAAGTCTCTCACCGAGCTTCAGGTTGACAAAATATATGAACTCACCAAGATTCACCTCTCCGTGGAAGCTGGGAAACTTTTGTCCGATAATTATGTGCCTGTTTCTGTCGTGAAAATGATATATGACAATGTGTTTCGCTGCCAAATCAGAAGGATCCCTTTCCTCAAATCCTGCTGTGACGCTGCACTATGTGGGTTTATAAATGTTTGTAAAGTCTTCACCTGGTTCCGATGTATGAGAGTATTTGCTCAACTGATCTTGCTGTGCCTCCTAGCTGTGCCATGGATTATCCGACTGGTTGTGTATTACGCATACGAGTCTGATATAATAGAAGAGAAACGTCAAGCTGCCGAACGCTTGAAAACTGGAATACCGTTAAACAGCAGTTTTATACTGTATCTTACCCCACTCCATTGGATATTCTTTGTAGTATATACCATTGTCTTGATTGATTTCTTTGTATATGGAGTCCTCAAAAAATCTATGAAAAAAAAGTTAAAGTTCATTCTGAGAACCTCTTTGCAGGGTATGAATGGAAGGTCTAATTTTAGTGCTTATGGGTGGACGATTGGCCTTGCACTTCTCCCCTTCAAGAGATTTGGATTACTTGGTTTTCTTCTGGTTCCACTATACTGGATCCTCCCCCTGCCTATTGTGCTTCCCCTTCTGGCTTTCTACACATTCCCAGCTCTTAATTTCAGCATCCGACTCTTCATATTTGTGTGCCCCGACAGCGTTGTCCACTCCTTCAAGAAGTTGTTTAATTTCATGAAACAAATATTAAATTTAAATAATATAGATGATGAGGAGTTTCGGGGGAAAGCAGAAATGACAACAACCAAACTTTTCATTCATCTCTTTATCATCATCATATGCCTCACATCATTCTGGTCCCTTACGTTCCTGTTGATGGAGTGCCTGTCATTCTTTGTGGAAGTTGGAGTGTACACTCTAATGGGCATCATTGTGAATTCTCTAGCTACTATGAAATATGTTACTGTACTGTTCCTCATCGGGTGGTATGCTAAAACATCCCTTAATGAAGTATACGAGAAGTATCTGGCATACCATAAGATCATCAGAGGTCAGTTGCTCACCATGAAACACGATGAGATGAAAACTATAGGTAGATATGACCCTGATGTGCAAGAAAGCACAACGTTCCGTGTCCAGAGCTCCAATGGTGCTGATGGCAGCTCTTCGGGAATTGGACTGGGCATGGTGGATGGAAGTCTAAAATGGAAGACAAAGGGTCTTCTTGTGTTCCTCAACAACATGGACCGTTCCTTCACACCAGAAAAGTTCTTCTTTGAGACAATAAAAATGAATCACGATGGCTGCCCTGGTAAATTGTGGAAAAATACCTTAGCTGCCTTTTACAGCTTCGTGAAGATCATGGTGTTCCTATTTTTCGTGGTGCTTGTGGTGCTCGCCTTTGGAACCCAGATCTCCACAACAAACCAGATGCTTGCTACATTGGCGGGAGGATTTATTCCTTTTGTGTTTAGGAAATTCTTTATGAGTGGATCTGGGTCATTGACCGTTCATACAGAGAGCATTCAGTTTCTAGCAGAATTCAACAAAACTATCGCGAACTATACACAGAAATGGTCTGTTGCTGATAGAAGCCTCACGGTTTCAACTGATCAGATGAATCCCCCCAAACAAGGGTGGAAGCGAAGACGATGACGTGAGTAACGATAACTTGGACATAGAACACACGAAGGAGACCGATGGCACTTCCACTCAAACTGACAGACACATCGACACAATAGTCATATTGGATTCCAACGACGACGTTCAGATGGAGCATGTTAATGTCAATATAGAGATGCAAGAGTTAAATTTGAACATGGACTCTGGTTAAGTTATTCTTCCTAATCCAAATGTATTGTTATCTGTTATAACTCAAGATATTTCTAAGATTTTCATAAACTTACAACATTAAGATTTTATTGTACTGAATTTTAATTGAACTCATTGTAGGATATTTTATGACCCACAATGGAATAAATGTTACTTGCAGAAAAAAGGAATGAATAATACATTCTGTTCAAAAGCGACGTATTCGGTTTGAATTTAGCTATCCAGAGTTACACACAGTATTGTTGATGCAGAATATTTGTATGTATTGAAACTCAATATATTCCTTTGATTTACCTCAAATTCAAACATTAGGATCTGATTGGGGTGAATTCAAATTGAATGTTTTGACCAATTGTAGACTAAATGCTACTTGCAGAAAAAAAACGCGGTAAAACATACGTTCATTTCAAAAGCGACGAATTCCGTTTTTAGTTCTCCGCGGTGTAGGGCGGTGGGGTTGCCTAATGGTTAAGCGTTCGCTGGGCACGCCAAAGAGCCGGGTTCGATTCCCTATGTATGTACAATGTGTGAAGCCCTGTTCTGGTGTCCCCCGCCGTGATATTGCTGGAACATTACTAAAAGCGGTGTAAAACTAAACTCACTCACTCACATGTCTCATTAGTTATTCACACATTTGTGACGACGTGCATCGAATCCACAGCCATGCTCTGTCTGTTTACTGATTAAATCAAATGTACATTAAATGTATATGTATTACCGTACTGTATGAACTTCATAATGGGTTTTGTCATTGACAGTGACAATATTTTATTAGTTTGACGCAAAACACATTTGGGTTTTGTTTTTCAAATACATGGTGGTAAGCAGATTTTGAATTTTATTTGGCAATATCTGTATTTCCAAACTGACTGCCCGATCTTATCTATTCACTTCCTACAGCCTGCAGCGAAATGTAGGTCACTTATTCTAAACATTCTGAGGTAGCAGTATCAATATGACAAAACTTTGATTTTTAAATAATCATAGTTTCATACAAATCTCTAGCAAAATGCAATATCTGAACGAAAGAAGGAAGTAAGCCGGGTTCACATCAGTTGTCCTGATAGGATTCTTCCTCTTCAGGGGGCGGAGGGGTAGCCTACTGGATAAAGTGTTGGCTCATCTCCCCGAAGTACCGAGTTCGATTCTCAACATGAGTACAATGTGTGAAGCCCATTTCTGGTGTCCCTCGTCGTGATATTGCTGTAATATTGCTAAAAGCGGCGTAACACCATACTCACTCACTTGAAATGATTTGAAACTGATCAACACAAGGAAGTTGATATGCAACTCCTCTAAATCGAGCTGTATGCTCACAGTTGGTTTGTATTTCCTTGTCGAGTATAGAAGTACACAACAGTTTGCCAGTTGTGCGAAACTTTATTTTATTCATGCACACTTTGATCATGTGCATTCTTGTCATGACGTCATGAGTCATTCACACATGTGTGACGACGTGCACCGAATCCACAGCCATGCTCTGTCTGTTTACTAATCAAATCAAATGTACATTAAATGTATATGTATTACCGTACTGTACAGTGTTAGGATTAATCTGTAAATATGTCATGAAATGATGTATCACATTATCATGTATGATGTTTCTTTTCATGTTCCAATTGTAACGCTGTGACGTATGTTTTACTTTCATTTTCAATAAATCTTCACTGACCGTTAACTGATGTTTATATCTTTATTTCTGAATGTGTGCGAGCTTGCGTGTGTGAGTAAGTGCATGGGTTAACGGCACTATTAGGTGCAATGCTCCATCTACAAATGTCGGGGAAAATAAAAGATTAACGTGTTGTATTTACTTTATGTTGGGAATCGAACACTCGCGTGTGAGCAAGCTCCAAGTTAGAAAAACTGGACTATCCACTTCTATTTTACACCTGAGTACAACTATGGAGAATGGACTTACTAACGAACGCATTCAGTAACCATTAGGCTACCCCACCAAAGCGCATTCACAGCTTGAACAAAACGGAAAGACTTCCGCCCGTATCCCCCTTAAATCTCATTCTTGTAAAATCATATCACCTGAATATATATTCCTCATCTGATAAGGATGGGTTTTAACATGTTTCTTTAATTGTATCTGAACATACTGAAAAACATATCCGAATTCTAAAAATGTCACTGAAAGAAATATTTCCTCGTCGTTATAATTTAGGGGGGGGAGGTGCGGGCGGAAGTCTTACCCTTCAGTTATCCATTCGCATAACACATACCAAATTTATACATTAAACCAGGCATTGTACCGTATTTCCTCAAATAATCGGCGTGTCTCTAATAAGCGCCAGGACTCTAATAAGCGCCGGGTCTCTAATAAGCGCCAGGACTCTAATAAGCGCCAGGAATCTAATAAGCGCCGGGTCTCTAATAAGCGCCAGGGTGCCGTTCCACTAACCGATCTTAGCCCTACGCCAATCGTAAACCCCTAAAATCCCAATCTTAGCGTGACGTTACGATCGGCATACCGTTCCACTAACCAATCTTACCTAAGTCAATCGTAAAGTTAAGATTCAAAGTCTAAGTTGCTCATGACCAACTTAGGATAGCTAAAATCAATCGTAGAGAAACCAAAATGGTGGCTTTCCTATTCTATGTGAAAAATAAGAGCGAGCATTTCACCGTGAGCGTCCCCTAAAATCCCCCATGAAATGAATTTGTATATTTCTGTGATGTAAACAAACACTGCACTGAAGCCTTACAAATGTCAGGCCAGTCTGACCACTGTCGTCATGGGAACACAACCGAGCGAGTCGGTGTGACACATTTGTACAACAATATTGCAACGTCATGGTTAAGAATAACGACAGCCGTGAAGTGAACAATGTTCTGAAGCAAAAAGATACAAATATGTTTGATTTCACTGCGCATATTTGGTGGGGGATTCTAAAGGCAAGCCGCGTGTGATTCAAGATTAAATTACATTTGTGACGTCATTCCATTGTCCGCTCGCTCCATTACTTTTCAGGAATGGAGCGATGTGTACCAGCTTCAAATTAAAGACTTCATTTTGTCATTTTGACATATAACTTTGATAACAGAAATATTCCCAATACTTTGAATGTAATTTAAGTAGGGTAATATCCTCGTAACTCTCCATTCCTTAAAAACAATGTGCCTCTCGCACGAAAGAGTCTCGATCTAAGCTTGGATCGGATCGTAAGATCGGGACCGGCTACGATCGGCCTAAGATCGGTTAGTGGAACGGGTGTAACTTTTAGCTAAGACAATTGTAAAATTGGCGTAACTTGCTAAGATTGATCTTAGATAAGATCGGTTAGTGGAACGGCACCCAGGACTCTTATAAGCGCCAGGACTCTAATAAGCGCCAGGAATCTAATAAGCGCCAGGACTCTAATAAGCGCCAGGACTCTAATAAGCGCCGGGTCTCTAATAAGCGCCAGGACTCTAATAAGCGCCAGGAATCTAATAAGCGCCGGGTCTCTAATAAGCGCCAGGACTCTAATAAGCGCCAGGAATCTAATAAGCGCCGGGTCTCTAATAAGCGCCAGGACTCTAATAAGCGCCAGGAATCTAATAAGCGCCAGGACTCTAATAAGCGCCAGGAATCTAATAAGCGCCGGGTCTCTAATAAGCGCCAGGACTCTAATAAGCGCCAGGAATCTAATAAGCGCCGGGTCTCTAATAAGCGCCAGGACTCTAATAAGCGCCAGGAATCTAATAAGCGCCGGGTCTCTAATAAGCGCCAGGACTCTTATAAGCGCCAGGACTCTAATAAGCGCCAGGAATCTAATAAGCGCCAGGACTCTAATAAGCGCCAGGAATCTAATAAGCGCCGGGTCTCTAATCTCTAATAAGCGCCAGGTCTCTAATAAGCGCCAGGAATCTAATAAGCGCCGGGTCTCTAATAAGCGCCAGGACTCTAATAAGCGCCAGGAATCTAATAAGCGCCGGGTCTCTAATAAGCGCCAGGACTCTAATAAGCGCCAGGACTCTAATAAGCGCCAGGAATCTAATAAGCGCCAGGACTCTAATAAGCGCCAGGACTCTAATAAGCGCCAGGACTCTAATAAGCGCCAGGACTCTAATAAGCGCCGGGTCTCTAATAAGCGCCAGGACTCTAATAAGTGCCAGGACTCTAATAAGTGCCAGGACTCTAATAAGCGCCAGGACTCTAATAAGTGCCAGGACTCTAATAAGCGCCGGGTCTCTAATAAGTGCCAGGACTCTAATAAGTGCCAGGACTCTAATAAGCGCCGGGTCTCTAATAAGCGCCGGGTCTCTAATAAGTGCCAGGACTCTAATAAGCGCCGGGTCTCTAATAAGCTGGGGGAAGCAGCGTTTTAAGAAATAAGCGCCCGGCCTCTAATAAGCGCCGGGAACGTGTTTTATAAATGCATTCCCCTTGATCCAAAAATAGATGTATTAAGGAATGGCCCCTTTAGTCATAGCTTCCTGTCCTCCACATGGCACGGGTTGATGGATATTATGGATATTATGTAGTCGTCGAAGCTGCAGTCAGGGTGTTTCATGTATATAATTATGTATGGGGTCCGGTGCTAGATGAATAAGCGCCGGGTCTGCAAGTCCGTTGAAAAGAATAAGCGCCTGGGCGCTTCTTAGAAGAAATACGGTACATTCTGAGGATGATTCTCGTGTCAGAAGAACTTTAAAGACACAACCTTTTTCAATGAAAAAATAATTGTATGTACCGTATTACCTGTCATAAGCGCCGGTACTCCAATAAACGTCGGGACTCTAATAAACGTCGGGCGTAAAGCAGCTCACTAACAATTACGGTAATTAGACCCAGTAAGCGCAAAGGACGGGCGCTTTTTTGAGAAAATACGGTATTAATACCACTGAATGCCTTTTCAGGAGACATGTAACGCTGAATGGAAGTAACTAACTCATCATAAATGGAATAAGGAATTACAATTACATATAAACTTTGTATTACAAACATTACTTCCTCGTTCATTGTAATGCATGGTGTGATCTGGATATGGTACAGTACATTTTCCTGCTCAGATACCTGTAAACTAGAGGGACGATGGGGTAGCCTAGTGGTTTAAGCGTTCGCTCGTCACGCCGAAGACCCGGGTTCGATTCCCCACATGGATACATAGTGTGAAGCTCATTTCTGGTGTCCCCCGCCGTCATATTGTTGGAAAGGAGTCACCATATTGCTCAACATCAGATCATTCTTTCAAAGTGGATAAGGAATTGCAGGCCTAGGCCACCGTGTGTCACACGGAGTCAAGTAATCTTCTATTGGCATCCCATTGCTTCTCTGGCTCCTTCATTGGATTCCAGTCCTTTAGAAAAAGCTGAAGCGCGTTTTGGTGAATATGCAAAGTTAAAGACTATTCCTATATATTGAACAGTTGACAAATTCAGTGCGACTGAGTTGATAGAGCTTTGAACAAGGGCCAAATTCAAGCAATGGAACTTACAATGAACACTGTCGTCTAATGATGGCCATTCTGATACCATATTCAAGTGACCGCTCATATTTGAGGCAACATAACGCTGACCCCTCATGTAGTCTTTGTTTATTCTGTATCTGTCTCCCTGGATAGAATCGACTCAGGTAGATTACACTCTGCTTCAGTGAAACCTGAAAATGATACCTCCGTTGCTGTTTACCCTTTCTCACTGGTTGTCTTGTGTCTAACATGTTGAAGACAAATTTGCTCTTTAGTTGACGAGTCAGTAGCTTCGTCTGCAATAGGGACGGTGGGGTAGCCTAGTGGTTAAAGTGTCCGCTCGTCACGCCGAAGACCCGGGTTCGATTCTCCACACGGGTACATTGTGTGAAGCCCATTTTGGTGTCCCCGCCGTGATATTACTGGAACATGGCTAAAATCGGCGTAAAAAACATTCTCACTCATTCACACGTCTGCAATAATCGAAACACATTTCTGTGAGCTACGCTCTACAGCCAACTTCTTTCTGATTTGAGATGAACAGACATCGAGTATTAACCTCATTTGGAATCTTTTGTGATGAATATACTTTTCGAGCAGTGTTGTTTTATAAAATGCTTTCTCTGTAACTGAGTAATGCAAGAGTGAAACAAAATTGCTTTTTTTTCCGCAGGACATGACCTCAGTACTTTGCTTCCCATACAGCACAAATGTCTCAACTAATGTTTTGATAATTGAATATTTATGGGAACTAGATAGCAAAAAAACTTTCTATAATGACATGTCTTTTCTAACATATGTTATATTTGGGATTACGCTTTCTTAGTAAAGTACAGATTCTAGTACTTTTGAAGGTTGAGTCCCATCCGGGGTTCGAACCCACACCCTCATGCAGCGTCGCGCCAGCTTCAAAAGTCAGACGCCTAACCCGCTTAGCCACCGCGGCTTCCGTCTGACTCTAAGGGTGTAGGTTCGAATCCCGGATGAGACTCAACGTTCAAAAGTACTAGAATCTGTACTTTGCTAATAAAGTGTAATCTCAAATATAACATATGTTTGTTTCAACTGACACTTTCTAAATGGCATTGTGTATTCATGTCTTTTCTACACACAAGTGACGTGATTCAAGCGTGACATGCCTCTTGATAAATGTTCCAATATTTGCCCAATCATGAGATATTATAAACTAACCCTTCTGGTTGCTCACTGACTTGGTTGACACTTCATCCTATCCCCATTGCGTAGATCGATGCTCATGATGTTGATCACTGGATTGTCTGGTCCAGACTTGATTATTCACAGGCCCCCGCATTGAGCTGGAATATTCTGAATGCGGCGTTAAACCAAAAACAATCACATATGTTGTATATTTTCATTGATATTATTTTACATCTAGCATGGTCATTTTTTACCACTATTACATTTTCATTTTTTTGTGCGTGGTAAACGTTTTTATTACTGGGCCGATTAACTAGACCGGTTCTCTCTTTTGCGAGTGTTCCTGATCATATATATTATTCATCATTTCACATTCGCTGGCTCCCGCCCTCACTAGCGGGCTAAAGGAAGAAACATAATTGGGAGTTACCGTTCTTGAATATTCTTCAACAGAAAGATATGTTTTTCTTTGATATTCTGGAATGAGTTTTGTCATGTTTCAGTATTGGATTCTAAAACCGGTTTCTCGTCCATTGCACGTGGTATTGCAACATGGCTGTCGAACCTCAGAAGTCACATAGGCCTGGGCCTTTAAAACAACAAAACAAAGCACACAAACATGGAAAACATAAAAGCAAAGGGCAACTGGAGAGAGAGACTAAAGGTTTTGTTCTACGTTATAGTTAATAACATTTTAAAACAAAGATTCATAGAAAGAACACTATTCTTGAGACCCCGAGATGTCACAATATTGTATTTCTTTTAACAGGTTTATCGTTACATAAATAAATCCTTTTGTTATTTAAACAGTATTGATGGTTTTGAAACAAGTAATGATAGTAGAAATTACTCCTGATAATATTGACACATATTCCTCGTTTCAGGTCGAGTAAATGTAAAAGTCCTTTCTAAAAAGAACCGCCAGTCTATGAAGAAAGCAGAAAGAAGAAATCAGGTAAATGATTTGTCAGTTTCGGGTTTACTTTCTGACAACATCGTTTGCAAGAGTGCAGTGTATTGAGCGCAGCTTACTGTTGTACTAATCATATTAACTGACTCTTGTGTGCTCTTTGATCACTAGGGTTTGGACATGCTATCCCATCTTTATCCTTAGGTAAAATAGATAGCGTTCACTAACATGAACGCTATGCAGCACCTCCATTAGGTAAAATACATAGCGTTCACTAACATGTTAGTGAATACTATGTATCTTTGCTACTTTATCCTTCACGTCTTTTCATGGCATTTAGAAGTGGTACAGATAGGGAGAAAATCTATGAATGTCATAATAAAGATGTTGACATCTCCACAAGGGCTTGTAATGCTAAAAACTGCCATCAAGGTAAGTACTGTCACTAACGGGGTCTTATCACTATATAAAAGCAAAGGGATGTAACGAGGTCAACACACCAAGTTCGATTCAGGGCGAATTCAACAATGCTCACTGTATTTATCCCATTTAAAGTTGCACACATTTCAAGCCAATAGATTTACCTACAAAATAAGACATACAGCATGAAAATCGAAGCAGTACTTTGGGAGATAGGGTCTTCGGAAGCTCGAAAAATCGTGATTTCTCGATTCCGAGGCAAAATCCCAGCTCAGAATTTGTAGCGGTAACTCACCCATTTTCTTGTTTATTTCACAGTATACACAAACGACATGCACCAAAACATGTTGAACTGATGGCACCTGACAGCGCGCTAGTCGCCATTCTTTCGGAGACACTTACACCTCACTATCATAATGAGTTTAAGTACATTTATTCATCGCAAACAGAATTGTGTCGTGCCCGTTCGCCATTGACGACCTTGGCCTTAACCTGCCCACGTATGTTTGTTTGAAGGCACTGCAAATGAGAAAACAGAAGAGGGATGAAGTTCTGGAAAAGAAGAGAAACAGAGGTGGAACAAATACACCGCCACACTTCGTGGTAAGTCTAAACTGATGATCAGTTCAGCATTGAGAGTATGTGTGGATGTAACGTCAGGATGTTTTGCCTGTAATGTGTTTCATCAGTTGTTTCTTTCTGGACCTGAGGACCTTCTGATGGCCACACAACAGGGGAAAAAGAAATGGAAAGGGTATGAGGTTGTAAAGAGATTTTCTTCCTGAGCTGGTAGCTCGTCCGTTGAAGACCCACGTGGGAACAAAGTGTGAATCCATTTCTGGTGTCCCCCCGCTGTGGTATTGCTTGAATATATCTAAAAGTGGCGTAAAATTCAACTCTCTCACTCTACCTGAGCTGTGGCATGACAAACTTACCAGTATTATGTCAAATGTTCCCAAGGATATGGATCAAAGTTGACTTCGTGAACACTGTTTTACATACCAAAGAGCAATAGCAAGATGGGCTGTTCATGCAACAGTGAAGTGAAATGATTCACCCTGGCTAACCCCTACAACCCCTTATGCTGCATTCAGCAATATTCTAGCTATGTGGCTGCGATCTGTAAGTAATCATGTCTAAACCAGACAATCCCCCAGTAATTAAAAGCATGAGCATCAATGGAGATATGATGACATGTGTCATCAAAATGAGCAAGCCCGACCACCCGATCCCTTTAGTCGCCTCTTACGACAAGCATAGATGCTACACCTGTGACACAACAGCATCTGAAAAGTTATGACTGGTACTTATCGAAAAACAAGGACAGTAGGGTAGCAAACTTTATAAAGCATTTGCTCATCATGCTAAAGTTCTGTGTTTGATTCCACACATGGATACATGTCAAGCCCATTCTTGGTGTGTTTTTTATGTTTGTAAAACCACACTGGGCTGACTTGATCAGAAGTTTGATAAAAAAATAATTGCCACAGAAAAATCTTATGACTTAGCTTGATTCTTTAAACATGATTAAAATCTGTTGACATTGCATCCCCATACTGTAAGTAGCCATGGTATGTGTGTGGATGGTCAACCTGTAGCAGGTAATTAACAGGTTTGTGAGGTCTTGGTTGGCTTGCTGGCTTGGTTGATGCCATCATATTCCAGTTCAGTGTGGGAAGTAGTTTCCAAATTTTGCTAGCCAATCTGGCTAGCTATGCCTGACAGTTATTAGTTCACACTGATAAGTCACTAGTCCGAAATTTGAATGTACAGGCTTCATTATTAAGCTGCTAATATGATGAATATTTTTATCAGGCTATAATCAAGCATGATTTAAAAGTGTGTTATAACTAAACAAGTCGGAGGGAGTGATTTATTTCCAGTATGACCCCATTATAGTTCACTAGCCAGTCAGGCCAGTGAATGTAGAGATTTACTAGCCCGACCTGATTTTAACTGGACACGGGCCAGCGGGCCAGTGGCTATTTCACGCACTGTTCCAATTTTGTAGATCAATGCTCGCGATGTTAATCACGGTATTTTATGGCCCAGACTTGATTATTTACAGACTTGTCATTTTGCTGGAATATTGCTGAGTTTGGTTTTAAAATACAAACAAGCACACAACAATCCTATTGATTTTACTCAACATACAGTAATAGTATCCATTTTCCACATTAGGTAGTGGTGTCTCTGGATCGGAATATAGACACCAAGGTACTCCTGGATCTACTGAAGGTCGCTGATGATTCTGCTGTCGTCAAGCAGAATGAACAAGGCATATTGCATCTGAGGTAAGTGCCCTTTTGGTGATTCCGGAGGTAAACAAACACTTATAGTGGCAGATTACACTGACTTGAAATGACTTATTCAGCCATCGTTAATGATGAAACTGTACATCATATCAATATTTGTGCATTCATTCAGCTACTTTAGATTCAACACCTGTAACAAAGACGTATAATCCAAATGTATGAGATGTTGACTTTCTTTAGGCTACTCTCTTAGGTTTCACCTCAAGCAAAGTCTATTTCTTCACTATTGTGACCAAATTTTCTGTTTGGCACCCTGAAATATTTTGTAGTTGTAACAACATGTCAAATACCTTCGATGGCTGCAATAATTTCAGCTCAAAGTTTCTACAGTTTTGTGATGATGATATTACTTCACTCGTATGTATATGAAAGACACAGCAATCAGAAACTTGATTTTGACTCCTTGATAATTTATTTTGGCTCTGAAGCTATTGCTCTACAAGGAAAATATCTCACCTGGATAAAAGACTTTCGGGTCGATACAACTTCTTACAAACCGAAATTGTATATGAAGTCATGTAAGGTGTTACAATTTGCTGTACAGAGTTGTCTGTTTGGCCTGCCAGAAAGCTTTGACTGTGGTCTAAAACTCCAGATTCCCCTTGAACATGTACAGTCCTCAGCAAACCCGTGCCCATATGTGTTATTGTGATGGTAAACACTAACGACCTGCATCCCTTTGGTCTTTGCTTCCTTGTCAAGCTGACATTGCAGTTCAACGTAGCGTTGAACCCAAATAACTGAAACGAGATAGTCAGCTGTGTTGTTTAGTGTGGAGTATTTCTGTTCAAGTATCCCTCGCTTCAAGCAGAGAGTGTCAATCTTCACACCCGAGTATGGAAACTTGTATGCTCTGTTGGATGCAGCCAAGGTGGCTGATACATTATTATGTGCAGTGTCCACTGATAACGTCATCGACAAATATGGAGAACACTGCCTCAGCTGTCTGTATGGTCAGGGCATGCCAGCAGCTGTCTTCGTCTGTAATGTGAGTATACAATACAGAGCTCTAGTGTGCATCAGTCCTCAGTTATGCCCAGGATTATAAATACCATGGATCCATCTGTAGCTTGATATTGAATCTAATTCCAAAGGAGTGGTGGGGTAGCCCAGTGGTTAAAGCTTTCGCTCATCAAGCCCAAAGCCTGGGTTTGATTGCCAACATGGTTACAATGTGTGAAGCCCATTGTGGTGTCATGATATTGCTTGAATATTGCTAAATGCTGTGTAAAACCCAACTTACTGACTCACTCCATGGTCAAAATACCTGTTCAATCCCAGGCAAGATTCTGTGTAATTGTACTGACGCGATGAAGTTTATAACTGATATGAGGTGAGGTGAAATTGGGTTTAACGTCGTGCTTGAGAATATTTCGCTCATATGACGACGTTTATATGCGTGTTTATGTGTATGTGCGGCTGCATGTACTAGCCCAGACTTAAGCTGGTCTTATAGTGCTACTGAGATACCATGCCGCAGTGAAGCATGAATACCCCACTCAGACACATTATACTGACTCCCGAGCCGACCAGTCCTTGGTGTACCCATTATTGCCGAGCGCCAGGCAGGGACCAACAAATACCATATTTTAACGTCTTTTGGCATGATGCGGTCGGGGATCGAACCCGCTACCTTCCACTCTCCGGGCAGACGCTATAACCACTACACCATGGGGGCGGTCATAACTGATATGATGGTATTATTATCTTACTATTACCAAGTTATATAATACATGTACTTAACATTTGGTGATGGATTGTTTTGAAAATGCAGCATATATTTGTATTTAAATGCAGAATATCGTTGGATTAAAAGTGGACTTGGCTCAGCTAATTGGCAGCCCTAGGAAAAAAATGCTTCAGTCCCTCAGATAAGGGTCTCTTGGACTACTTGACCAAATTTTGTAATGTCTCCCATGAGAATAGTAATCCCAATTGCACAGATACAATGTCTAATTTTCAGGCCTATCTATATGATATAGGGTGGTCAGGCTCAGTGATTTGGTTGATGCATGTCATATTACACCAAACTGCTTAGATTTATGCTTATGATGTCAATCACTGGATAATTTTGTTGAGACTCGGTTATTTACAGACGGCCATCATATAACTAGAATACTTCTGACTGTAACTAGTGCTGGTATTGGCATACAAACTGTGATACGATACATCACGATACTAAAGTTTTAGTCACGACGATATATTGCCAAGCTATTGTGCACTGAAGCTGGGATACGATACGAATCCCGATACAAAACGTATCACGATAATAAAATCTTTAATTCTAACACCAACTATAAAACACCTTAAGATCAAAACAAAACCATTTTAAAGTATTTCGTCAAATTCCACCAGAATTTTTCAATGTTCATTCAGAAATGAGATAATTAAGTTTATACACGGACTTTGTGAATGTTAATAAAATGCAAGCGCTATGTTTGAGCCCGTTCCTGACACAAGAATTTCCAAGAAACTTATGAAGGCAAAATAAGTATGAATATATTTTAATCATCAAACAAAAGTAAGTCTTTCTTGACAGATATCGCGATTCGGCAATATTCAAAGTAAACCATTGATGTATCGTGGCCCATTTGAAGTATCGTATCGGGATATATGACAATGTAAAACTTTGTATCGATTCACCGTATCGGCGGCCCATGGATCGATGCATCGAGGCGTATCGATGAATCGTCACACCACTAACTGTAACATCATGAACAAACAGGCCAGTTGGACTATCATTATCTTTCACTGTTGTTTTGTGTGACAGGGTTTTAAAAGTCTGCCCATGAAGAAACAAGCTGAAACAAGAAAACTAATGCAAAGGAAAATTGAGAAAAGGTGAGTTAAAATAGACATGTGCAAAATAATGGCATGATATACAACATTGTGTGACTATTTGCTTATGGCTAGCAAAGATTAATAAACAATTTTACTGTTTATTGTGAACAGAGTGTTTTTGTGTTAAAAGATGTCATATTAAATTTGTCATGTAACAACTTGTTTCATCCCTTCAGAATATTGTAACCTATGTCTGTGAAATATTTTATAAAATTAAGGTGTCCTAGTGATTAAAGCGATTGCTTATAGTGCCAAAGATTTAAATTCAAGTCCCCACATTGGCATGACATTTGAAGTCCATTTCTGTTGATCCCTGCTTTATTGCTGACATATTGAAACAATACAGAATTAGAGTATGAATGTACAAAATAATTTTGTTTTGGCCTGATTTTTGTTAGGGACCGTTAATATAGAATGAAAAGTGTACATGCTTTTGAACTGCAGCTTATTGCAATAATGGTGAATGTATTGCAATGTGTACCACGAAGTTATGTTTGTCTACTCTCATCTGTAATTTGTTATGAACCCAAATAAAAATAAACCAAATGACTTTTAATTTTTTGAAGTTTGAAAAAGACCTGCCATCAACATTTTTTAGATTTGTGTGGAGCTTTTCTTCTTGGATGATACTGAACACATGGACATGTTAATGCAGGGAGCTGGCCACAAATTGGTTTATGGGATTACATTATGCATCGTTTTGAAAAACAATATGCAAGACAGTATTTTCACAACATATGAAGTATTCATTACTGTTTTGAATTATGATTTTACTGATAATCCTCTATTTTAGATTCAGAACTCCCAAAACATGATCACATTATCTGCCTAGTGATCTAGCAACATGAAAAAATTATTACACTGTCTTCATTACTTGCAAGTCTCAAACCTGTGAAGATCAAGGTTAGAATTGGTCTTCAGCAACCCATGCTTGTCGTAAGAGGCTACTAACGGGATCAGGTGGTCGTATCCCAATTATGTAGATCGATGCTCATGATGTTGATCACTGGACTGTCTGGTCCAGACTCGATTATTTACAGACTGCTGCCATACAGCTGGAATATTGCTGAGTGAGGCATTAAACAACAAACCAACCAACTATAAGTCTCAGTGATAGACAGGGTTTATGTGCGAGTGCATTTCTTGCAAATTGAGAGTTATCTCCCCTAGATAAAAATCACAACATGTGGGATGTCAATGCTCCTTCATGGCCTAAAAATATGGATGATTTCACTCTATAGATTTCCTGCAGAGAAGTTTCATTCTTTGGACACAAGTCAAGATGCTCTGCTGGTGGTCAGGCAATTAACCAATCAGAAGTTGCGTAACATCCAGTATAGGGATCTGAGGCCACATGTCATTGGAGAAGAGATCAGTTTTGAACTGGATAATACTGAGGTGAGAAAGACACGTATCTGTGTGTTGTGTTAATTTGATTTTTCTTTTCCTGAGATGGTTGTAAGTTCATTACAACATGTAATTTTTCAGAAACATTTTTAGGAAGAGTTTAGGATGCATCTATTGGCAAGGTTCAAATCAGTAGTAGGTGAAAGTTTGGCATGGTCAAACTTTGAAATGTGCAGGAATCACCCCACTAGAAAGTATTACAGAAGTGTAGCAAATTATTCCAATCATAAAATGCCTTTCATCCAATTCATTGCTATTCATGTAGATTTACATGCCTAGGTCTGAGTTTTTAAATTTCATGAATCTGTGCTACTGTAAAACATTTACATATGAATAGCTGGATGCATTGTACAAAAGGTCGCGGGTTCGATCCCCGGCCGCGTCATACCAAAAGACGTTAAAATATGGTACTTGTTGGTCCCTGCCTGGCGCTCGGCATTAATGGGTACAACAAGGACTGGTCGGCTCGGAGTCAGTATAATGTGTCTGAGTGGGGTATTCATGCTTCACTGCGGCATGGTATCTCAGTGGGCTAGCACTATAAAACCAGCTTAAGTCTGGGCTAGTACAAGCAGCCGCACATACACATACACACGCATGCACGTCGTCATATGAGCGAAATATTCTCAAGCACGACGTTAAACCCAATTTCACCACCACAATAGTTCAGAAGAGCTGTTGAATTTAGATTTTGAAACTGTAAATGTTCGCCAGTGTGAGGACAGGTAAGGCCACATGAATTCTGGTTACCAAGGTAACCTGTTGTAGTTGATGTTGTCAGAGTGACACTGGGACACTGAAGGTGACGGGTTACCTGCGAGGAAAGACACTCTCCGTGAACAGACTGGTGCACATCCCGGGGTGGGGGGACTTCCAGATGCTGCAGATAGACGCACCCGATGACCCCTACCCCCTCAACCTGCACCCTGGGAAACAGCACAGGAAGAATCAGGTGCGTGTGTTTTCATTTTCGTCTGAACACCACGTGTTTTCACTGCTTATGGTGGAACAAACACATGAAGCAGGAACAGTCTGACATTTTGTCAGACATGCTTGTTTTGGATGAGTTCGAAGGGCAAAGTGAGTGAGTTATTGAAGTGAGTGAGTTTATATTTTTAAATTTAGTTTTACACCACACTCAGTGGTATTCCAGCTATATGACGGCGGTCTGTAAAAAATCAGGTCTGGACTAGACAATCCAGTGATCAACATCATGAGCATTGATATACGCAATTTGGATATGATGACATGTGTCAACCAAGTCAGCAAGCCTGACCACCCGTTCCCGTTAGTCGCCTCTTAGGACAAGCATGGTTTACTGAAGATCAATTCTAACCCGGATCTTCACTGGCAGCATTTTTAAAGCTGCAGTCAACATCGGACTAGTTGCTACAGCTTTCGCCTGTCATGCCTGGGTTTGATTCGTCACATGAGTACATTGTATGAAGCCCCAAATAGCTGCAAAATTGCTGATGCGGCGTAAAGCTACTTTCACTCACTCACTCACCCACCCACTTCTTGTGTTCTCAGTTGTTATGTATAGTTTGGATATTGCTAAAAGTGGGGTAAAAGATAATTCACTCACTCACCATCCATTATGATTGTTTAACATTAAACAAACCCAGTTGGGTGTGCATGCAGTTATGGCTAGTCACTGTTACCTGTATGCACTATGGCTACGATGATGCAAGGGAACCCTGTGCATGACAGCTGTGATGTTGTGTTGCTGTAGGATGTGGAGATGGAGTCTGAAGACCCCCACAGCGATGTGAGGGTGCTGGAACGGTGTGACCCAGGCCAGCAGGAGAGTCTGGACAGTGAGGTGCTGCCCGACCCCATGATGGGCGAACAAACATGGCCGACGGAGGAGGAGCTGGCAGAAGGTATGGGAGTGTGTGAATGTTGATTATTGCAATAGTCAGCACTACTTCAGCTATACCCTGAACACTTGTATATAATCCTCTTTGTTAGTGAGTTTGTTGAGTCAGCAAGTATTCAAGCTTTAGAGAGGGGTGGCTTATACATAATCATGGTGGTGGTGGGGTAGCCTAGTAGTTAAAGCGTCCGCTCGTCATGCCGAAGACTCGGGTTTGATTCCCCACATGGGTACAATATGTGAAGCCCATTTCTGGTGTGCCCTGCTGTGATATTGCTGGAATATTGATAAAAGCGGCGTAAAACTAAACACACCCACTCGCTATAAATAATCATGCCTTTACCTTACAATCTAGTGTCAAATATTTATCCTCGTATAGGATCTGGGCAGTGGGGTAGCCTAGTGGGTAAAGCGTTCACTCGTCACGCCGAAGACCCGGGTTCGAAGCTCATTTCTGGTGTCCCGAGCCTGATATTGCTGGAATATTGCTAAAAGCGGCGTAAAACCAAACTCACTCACTCACTCACTCGTATAGGATCTGATGACATGCTTCAACCAGGTCAATGACTGCCTGATCTGTTAGTCACCTCCTCGAACAGTCAGGGATTGCTGAAGACAAAATCTAACCTGTATTTACTTATTCACTCTTTGTCAGGGAAACATGGGAAGATAGTGCAGCTGAGTAGCAGTCGGTTTACAGATTATTTATTATTTATTTCTTTATTTATCATAGGATATTTGTATAGCACACATATCCATGCAACTTGTACATGCTCAAGGTGCTGGTATGAGATGAGATGTTAACTGTTTGGTTTCAGCAGCCTTCAAATACCAATTGTAATATGTTTTGTCAGGTTTTGAATGTACACTGTCTGTAGTGTTTTATGTCTTGAGTATATAATGACTAGTATAGATCAGCTTTGTCTGTAGTGTTTTATGTCTTGAGTATATAATGACCAGTATAGATCAGCTTTGTCTGTAGTGTTTTATGTCTTGAGTATAAAATGACCAGTATAGATCAGCTGTGTAGAAGTATTTGACTTTGATTTTCACACCTAGTTTATGCGATTCAGTTATCCTACTGATTAAAGTTAGTCATGGTGATTATTGAGGTATTTCAATATTTTATGTTATTAATGGATGCCAAAATAATACAAAGTTTGCATGGAATAAATGGTTTTTGAATTCCAGTTTAGATGTGTCTGTAGTTGCAGTTATCAGTTTTTCAATGTGTGAGCCCTTCTAAGTGTTTCCTGCAGTGGTTTTCCAAAAGCTGAACAAACTCTAATTTGTACTTTGTCTACATGAGTTTTCGTTACTATAGAGATGTCTCATTGACCATTTTGATGGTTCTATGTTGATTGAAATGCTGGTGTGGTCAATTTTAAATCTTTTATGTTGATACAGCTGAATCCGAGTCAAGGAAAAAGATAGTGAAGAGAGTACCAAAGGGAACATCGGACTACCAAGCTGCCTGGATCATAGACAGTGATGAAGAGGTGGGTTATCTCCCCTTTGTATGTAGGAAGGTACCGGTGGCCCAGGCAACTTGACTGGAGCACTTGTTTCCCTCGGGCCTGTCACGATGTGTTCGTCCTATATTGAATCTTTCAGGTTATGATTCATTGTCTGTCAGCCATTTACGCTTGATTGTTGGGTTCACCAAAGAGATCATTATCTTTTACTTGCATCACTGCATGGTCTTGATTGACATGCTGTGATATTTATGAAAATATTGTTAAGCTGAGCTGAAGCAGACTGATTTTAGAATTCTGAGACATACTCATTACAGAGTTAAGAGAGTGAAATGTGTTTCAACTTTTTATCAGAACTTTTTATCAGGCATATTATGGCCTTCTTATAATAGATGCAGTAAACAAATTCCGTAATCTTTGTATCACCGTCCATAAAAATAGCAATGAGATCAGCACGAAGACATTCAGGATCCATACAGTGATGCAATGTCTTCTTGCTCAGTAAACTACTGGTAAGCATTCCTAGAGGGGCAGTGGGGTAGCCTAGTGGTTAAGGCGTTCGCTTATCACGCTAAAGACCCTGGTTTGATTGGTACAGTGTGTGAAGCCCCTTTCTGGTGTCTCCCACCGTGATGTTAATGGAATATTGTTAAAAGCAGTGTGCGAAATAGCCACTGGCCCGCTAGCCGGTGGCTAGTAAAAATCTAGTCAGGCCAGTAAATCTCCACAGTCACTGGCCATACTGGCTAGTGAATTTTCATGGGGTCATTTTGTAAATATATCACTCAATTCGACTTGTTAAGTTATAACACACTTTTAAATGATGCAAGATTATGGCCTGATAAAAAGGTTCATCATATCAGTAGCTTAATTAATGAAACCCGAGTCTACGTTCACATTTCAGACTAGTGAATTATTTTGTGGACTAGTAACTTCCAGGCATAGCTAGCCCAACTGGCTAGCAAAATATGGAAATTATTTTGCACACTGGTTAGTAGCTTAATTAATGAAACCCGAGTCTACGTTCACATTTCAGACTAGTGAATTATTTTGTGGACTAGTAACTTCCAGGCATAGCTAGCCCAACTGGCTAGCAAAATATGGAAATTATTTTGCACACTGGTTAAAAGCGGTGTAAAACCACACTCACTCACTCACTCATTCACTATAACTCTAGATTAGGGTTTCCACATCTTAGTGATTGAATAGACAAAATGTTACTGTGTTCACATACTTATCGTATGTTAAGGTATGAGAGTTGGGATCTACATAGAACTAAGATTGCATTGTAAAACAGGGGACTGTTTCATATATCAGATTTGGTGTTTTATATTGTCCTGACATGTTTTGAATGTAATCATACTTTCAGGAAGGGGGCGACAGCGAGGAAGAATCGGATGAGGAAATGGATGCTGACATGGAGGCTCAGGAGGAAGATGATTCTAGTGAGGAAGATCTGAACGATGATGACGACAAAACTGAATACGAGACCGTAAGTTTTAGAAACTGTTTACCCCAGGCAGGGTAAATAGGTAACCTTTGCTTGCTCCCATTAAATGGCTTGGGTGGTCTGTCTTGGGGTTTGTTGTTTAACACTACAATCAGCAATATTTAAATTCTTTTTCTTGGACATAGGGAATCAAGGGTATGACCTGACACACCCCAGCTCCCTCCCAACCCCGATATATACTTAACTACATGCTTCTTTTCTTGCCAGGTGACAATAGCTGAAGACGACGCCTCGAAGTATGATGCTGCTATGGACCTGGATGAAGATATGCAAATGTAAGAGTCATTCCATTCCTTCATGATCATAATTAGGGGCGGTAGGGTAGCCTAATGGTTAAAGCGTTGGCTCGTCATGCCGAAGACCCGGGTTCGAATCCCCACATGGGTACAATGTTTGAAGCCCATTTCTGGTGTCCCCCGCCGTGATGTTGCTGGAATATTGCTAAAAGCGGCGTAAAACCAAACTCAGTCAGTCAGTCATGATCATAATTAATGTTTTTATTATGAATTGTGTTTGAACCTCTACAGTAGCTTTTGAGAGATAACTGTAATCATATACAACCTTTTCAAGGATTTTGTGTAGTATTAGAGTTATCTCCCTTGTTCTCTCAAGTAGTGTTTTGCGTACCTACATTTAAAATACATAAAAAATACATTTCTTCTCAACTGAACAATGTCACATTAGTTAAGTCAAATCGACATCCTGAAAATTAGAATAAGAACATGTATCTATTTAAAGCTGCTTGTAGGATTTATTTGACAATTCAAAATATTTTTTCAGGCTCGCGAAGCTGAAGGAAGAGAAACAGCATGTGCAGTTTCCTGATGAAGTCGACACACCAGCTAATGTGACAGCCAGATCAAGATTTGCCAGGTACCATACACCGTAGCACTTTAAAAAAAGTTAGGGTGGTGGTGCAGCCTGGTGGATAATGTGTTCGTTCACTCGTGTCGATGAGCTGGGTTTGTTTCCCAAATTGGGCACAATGTGTGATCTGACATCCCCGTCAGGATATTGCTGGAATATTGCTAAGTTGATCATTAGTGTTGGTTAATAAGTGGAACAAAATGTCTGAGTGACTGGGTTGGGTTGGCGCTGAGAGAGTTTCTGTTGTGCCATGGTGTGTCAGTTAAATGTGGGAGGAAAGGGTGAAGTGATGCTGGTCTCAGATGTTTAAGGCTGCCTCTGTGGTGTAGTGGTTAGAGTGTCCACCCGGAGAGACCGGACGGTCGCGGGTTTGATCCCCGGCCGTGTCATACCAAAAGACGTTAAAATATGGTACCTGTTGGTCCCTGCCTGGCGTTCGGCATTAATGGGTACAACAAGGACTGGTCGGCTCTGAGTCAATATAGTGTGTCTGAGTGGGGTATTCATGCTTCACTGCGGCATGGTATCTCAGTGGGCTAGCACTATAAAACCAGCTTAAGTCTGGGCTAGTACAAGCAGCCACACATACACACGTATGCATGTAGTCATATGAGCAAAATATTCTTAAGCACGAGGTTAAACCCTATTTCACCTCACCTCTGATGTTTACCTCTTGGTGATTATCATAAGCAGGGTGAGTGAGTGAGTGAGTAAGTTTAGTTTTACACCGCACTCAGCAATATTCCAGCTATATGGCGGCGGTCTGGAAATAATCGAGTCTGGACCAGACAATCCAGTGATTAACAGCATGAGCATCGATCTGTGTAATTGGGGACCGATGACATGTGTCAACCAAGCCAGCGAGCCTGACCACCTGATCCCGCCTCTTACCACAAGCATGGGTTACTGAAGATCAATTCTAACCTGGATCTTCACGGGTGGATAAGCAGGGTTATGTTGCTTACAAACAGATCAGTTTGAAAAAACCCAGATCAGTGTATTGTAAGATACTAATTTGCCTGATAGCACTGAATGTAGTTCTGATTTTGACTTTCAGATTTGCAGTCGCTCAATCATGTAACAATGCATTGCGTATCTCCAGTCCAAGCCTCATGGTTTGGATTGGTCGTTCACCGATGCTAGAAGATTATGGCTATTGCGTAGTTGGAAGTAGCATTGACTGTATTTCTGATTTGTGTTAGCCATGACATTTGTTTTCTTCTAATCATTTTGTTCTGCAATCTCATTAAAATCAGATTTTAGTTCTTGCTACTGAAACATATATGATGGTGTCTTATTGTGGGTCTCCTCAGAATGACCTTTTATTGGACCAATCAAAATGCTGCTTAGGAGATGGGAAAAATGTCAGTTGGGATGTGTTTTCCAGTTGTTCAACCTCAAACTGGTTCACACAGGGTATTCTGAATGACAGATGTGGGCTGAAGGACTGACTCTGTCGAAGTCACTGCCTGTTCTCTGATCTATGTGAAGTGGTACTGACCACTAAGGTCTGACATTAACGAGATTATTGTGTAATGTTGTGATGTGGGTGTAGTTCACTGTGTGGAGGCTGATGAATCATTGTAATCCTACCGCTGTAATGATCAATATCTGGCTCAGGTTCCGGGGGATTGAAGAGCTTCAGAACGTCTCCATGGGATCCTAAAGAAAACTTGCCCTCGGACTATGCACGAATATTCCAGTTTGAGAACTTCAAACGGACAAAGAAGCGGTGTGTCGAGGAAGACATGGATGAAGGAGCCATGGTAAGATAAAGGGTTGGTGTATTGAGTTTGTTGATGCAAACTGGTCTTGTAACAAAATGTTTTTGTCTTGTTGGCAAACTGTATGTCATTCGCTTTGCGAGTTTAGGGGTGAAAACATTTATTGAATTTTGGTTAAAACTCTGATAACATGAAACAGTTGTAAAAGGTTTGCAAGGTTGATATCAGCTCTCTTTGATTGTAAAACAAATCAAATGTGTTGAGATGAATCATGTATGCCTGATTATTTTGAGTATGATTTTCGACCTACAACAATATTTGTTTCAGCCTGGATGGTATGTCACAGTTCATGTTGCGAATGTACCAAAGGCTTTCATAGGTGAGTCTACGTCGGTACATGAACACTGAAGTCTGTTAAACATCATTTGAGTTTAAACAGCAATCATTTCACTGAGTATGAATGATTTTCTTCTTGAGTGTCTGTTTATTTTCAATCCAAAATTTGAAACCATAGCCCTGCTTTGGTTGGTTTCTTGTTTAGTGCTGTACATAGCAATATCTGAGCGGTCTGTAAATAATCGAGTCTGGACCAGACAATCCAGTGATAAGCATCATGAGCATTGATCTACGCAATTGGGATACAATGACATGTGTCAACCAAGTCAGCGAGTCTGACCACTCGATCCCGTTAGTTGCCTCTTATGACAAGCATGGGTTACTGAAGACCAATTCTAACCAGGATCTTCACGCATTTGGGTTGGTTAAATTGATATTTGGGAAAATGCATGTGTTCGGATATGCGTGGTCTATGGATGTCTGCATTCAAATGTTACATGAGAGCATAGAGTGTAGTGTTTGACTGCATAATAATCCTTGAATTATGGGAGTCTGTAGCATTTTATAGGGAAGATAACTGATGGGATAGAGATATCTGGAAGTTTGTTTATCTGTATTTTATTTAAGAAAAAGCATGTGTCCACATATGTGAGGTCTGTGGATTAAAAAAATAGATAACAAGATACGATTTTGTGTTTGACTGCGCATATTACTGATATAATCATGTGCAATGTAGAGTAGAGGGTTATTTTGCCTTTATAGAATTAAGGTAGGGTAAGGATAAGGGATCTGAATTGTTTATCTGGACTGCATTGAGGAAATACAAGTGCTTGGGTAAGTGAGATGCACCTGTCGCAGCAAACCGCAGTGACTGCAGGACTCCCTTTCAGTTCGAAACCTGCATGTGCATGTTGTTGACGTCCAATTGTGGTTGTGTTTTTTCAGAGGGATATCAGCCTGGCTCGCCTGTTGTGTTGTTTGGCCTTCTGCCACATGAACATAAAGTATCCATCGTCCATTTTGTTGTGAAGAAATGTGCTGATGTGGAGCAGCCAATCAGGTCGAAGGACAGACTCATCTTTCACGTAGGATACCGACGGTTCTCGGCCAATCCCATCTTCTCTCAACACACACTTGGCTCAAAACATAAGGTAACGTGCCACTCAACTTTCTATTGGGATTTAGATGTTAGATGTACTGTTGTCAGAGGTAACAACTTATGGAAGTATGAAGGTTTGATATGTGTTAGTGAAAAGAGACTCTCACTATACTGATGGTTGGATTATCTGGTCCAGACTGGATTATTTACTGGCCTCACATAGCTTTACTACTGCCGAGTGTGGTGTTAATCCTTTCAATGCTGGTGTCGAACCCTTTTGACAGGAGAGCAGCATAATGACATCCCCAAATAAAACTTGCAATAATTATTCAATAAGTCGGATTTACGTATCATTAGAATTATGTATGGTATGCATTAATTCTCAGCTTTCTAAATATTTAATCTTCAATCAGTTTATGTACCTTAAAACGAAATGCCCACAAATTAAAAATTTACAAATTATGATTTGAGCAATATTTTTGTTCTGTTTTGAAGAGAAAATTCTGAAGTGTCCCATTTTCTAAACTTTGTAACTTTCGGTTTAATTAGTTATAAACAATAAAATATCCCAGTGTTACAACACACAAAACCAACCTAATGTCCAACATTGTCAGTCCGTCACACGTATTGAACATACATCATGGGCATACATCCACACACTTGGGATACGATGACATGTGTTAATCAAATCAGCAAGTCTGACCTCCCAATCATCTCCTTTGTTGGCAAACATGAAGTGGGGAAGGCAAATTCAATACTGACTCTCTGTATGGCAGTATATATTCGGGCAGCTGTCAGTGTTGAGATGTTGATGTGATCAGTGTAAGTAACCATGGCTGGTTGTCGTTTGTGTTTCAGTTTGAGCGGTTCATGCCGACGGGCACAGCAGTAGTGGCAACAGTATATGCTCCCAATCCTATTCCCACCTTCTCCGGTTCTGGTGTTTCAGGAAACGGCCTATGGTGAGATGAATGTGGTGGTGGTGGTGAAATAGGGTTTAACGTCGTGCTTGAGAATATTTCGCTCATATGACGACGTGCATGCGTGTGTATGTGCGGCTGCTTGTACTAGCCCGGACTGAAGCTGGTTTATAGTGCTAGCCCACTGAGATACCATGCCGCAGTGAAGCATGAATACCCCACTCAGACACATTATACTGGCTCTGAGCCGACCAGTCCTTGTTGTACCCATCAATGCCGAGCACCAGGCAGGGACCAACAAGTACCATATTTTAACGTCTTTTGGTATGACGCGGTCGGGGATCGAACCCGCGACCTTCCACACTCCGGGCAGACGCTCTAACCACTACACCAACGGAGGCGGTCTGAGATGAATGTACTTAATAGTTGAAGCATTTAGTCACTTAGCAGCAACACAAGACATAAATCAGCGATAGCTTATAGTCTTTAAATCTGAAAGAGAAGAAAAAAGCTGTGTTTATTTTCTATTATGCTTCACAGAATGCTAACAAGTTGGCTATCCCTCCACCCTCTTGTAATTATGGGCGGTGGGGTAGCCTAGTGGTTAAAGCATTTGCTCGCCGCACTGAAGACTTGGGTTCGATTCCCCACATGGGTACAATGTGTGAAGCCCATTTCTAGTGTCCCCTGCCATGATATTGCTAAAAACGGCATAAAACCATACTCACTCAGTCTTGTAATGAACAGCGTATGGTGTTTGACACAGTGTATTTCCATGTCCTACAGGAGAACAGAGCCTGGTGGCCACAGGTACCCTGCTGTCGGTCAACCCTGACAGGATAGTAGCCAAGAGGGCCGTGCTTAGTGGCTACCCGTTCAAGATTAACAAGCGGTCTGCAGTCATCAGATACATGTTCTTCAACAGAGGTGAGTTCATACAATATCATTTGTAGATTTTGATTGGGGGTGTTTTAGTATTGAGTGATAGTGAATTTTCAGAGGAGGTACAGCTTTTTATCCTCCCGGCATGTGATGCGGGGGGATATAGTCGATGCCTCTTCCGTCTGTCATTTTGTTGCCGGAGCATAACTCAAAAACCTTTTAATATTTTTCAACAAAAATTGGTAGATATATCAAACAGATCTTGAAGTGCCTTTTGCTATTTACAGATTTTTGTCATTTTTATTTTTCCCGGTTTCCATGGAAGCGTTTTGGAGGGTTTGGCTTCGTTTCTGGGCACAACTCGAAAACCTTTCAATATCTTTCAACAAAACTTGGCAGATATATCAAACAGATCTTGAAGTGGTGCCTTTTGCTACTTACAGATTTTTGGCATTATATTTTTCATGATTTCCATGGAAACAATTTGTTCTTTCAAATATGTGGGGGCCGGGGGGATTTGTAATCTTCTGATGACTGGTTATATTAGGGACTGGGTTCATCATAGGAGATGGTGGGTCTAAGGTGTCTATGAATTGTGTCATATTTCCTACAATCCACCGCCACCAAATACATTTATCTCTCTCTCTCTCTCGCATACACGCACACACACACACAATGTTTATGTTATAAGGAAATGACATAAACTGCCTTTCAGGATAATCCACAATAAAGCTTTTGCACATAACACACTGCTTCGTACTGTCAGTCACCAGGAAGAGTGTGCCTTGTACTGTCAGCACAGGTGTTCCTACTTTCAAATATGATTTTCATCTTGTGCTGGATTTAAGATTCCTGTCTCTTCACTGGAATTACCAAGGTAACAGTTCGTTAATATATTTGAGGATAGGTCAGTTTTGAGGATCTCAGTGAAGACCATCAGTGATAGGATGATACGAGAATAACCAAACTTACATGAATAAGTAGCAGACTAAATTACATTGTAACTCACATGAGAATATGGTTTGCATTTCAGAGGACATTTCGTGGTTTAAACCTGTTGAGCTGAGAACCAAGTGGGGACGGAGGGGCCACATAAAGGAACCATTAGGTGAGTCTTCTTTGCAGAACAGGACATGTTTTTGTTTGTTTGTTGTTTAACGCTGCACTCTGCAATATTCTGGCTACACAGCGGCGGTCTGTAAATAATCAAGTCTGGACCATACAATCCAGTGATCAACAGTGTGAGAATTGATCTATGCAATTGGGAACCGATGACATGTGGCAACCAAGTCAGCGATCCTGACCACCCGATTCCATTAGTTGCTAAAGAGGAAATTCAGCCTGGATACGGGTAGACATGTTAAAATGGTGTTGAACTGTCAGTTGAACTAGTCATCATATATGTTCTTAAATCTGACTTTCATCAAATTGCATCGTAAGAAAGACTAAGTGGTTAAGGCACTGCAATTTGCTGTGCAGAGTAGTGCCCCTTTCCTGGTCCCATTGTTTGTAATTTCTTAACCCAGAATTTGCAAATGTGGGCAATGTCAATAATGCGTAACATTTCAGGCTTTCATGAAATATTCTGTCACCAAGAATATAACTGTAAGTATTGAAATTGGCCTTAGTCGAACTTGTTCACCTGATGAGGAGAATACTAATAGGACCCCCCCCCTGTTTGCAGGAACCCATGGCCATATGAAGTGTGTGTTTGATGGCAAGATGAAATCTCAGGACACTGTTCTCATGAACTTGTATAAGCGTATGTACCCCAAGTGGACCTACAACCCCCATGTGACGACGCCCACGGTGGTAAAGGAATATGGTACTGGCAACATGGACAGTGATGACAAGGCGGAGGAGGGGGCAGCTTTCCAGATGTTCCAGTGATATGTGATGTAGCTGTAATATTACTGCTGTCATCTGTCACTGTTTCTTAGTGACCAAAATACAGGCCCGTTTCTCAGAAAAATCCTACTGCAAAGGTGAATGGAACTCCCATTCTTAATATAACTGTACGAAAGTCCTAACTTTCTGTTGGCTTTGTAGACAAGAAAAGAATTATTGAGATTTTGTTACACTTTCCAGCAAGACAAGTAAATGTATTTTGTTATAGAAGGGCAAGCCATCTTCCTGAATTTGAGGACATTTTCTATTTCAAAACCACAAGCCTGCTACACATTGGACATATTGCGTCTAAAATTATTCCAACAATTGCTCTTTAAAAATATTTATGTCTGGGCTGGACGGATTGACCATCTCTTTAATTCATTATCGATATACCTGTCAAAGAATAATCCGAAGAGCAGATAAAGTCCATCAGTGATTTGGTTGCCAAAACAGAATGTTACAGAGATGATGTATGGGATTATCTTAAGTGTTAAAGCTGTCGTAAATCTCATTTGTACTGGGATTAGTTCTAGGTACGTTTTGCTGTAGGAATTAACTGATTTTCATCCCAGCAAATAGGAAATGTGTAATTATGTCAACAATTACGCAGAAGATGGGCAGGAGCCTGTTCCTTTCATTTCACTTCATTGAAATGCACACAATGTTGGGTGTATTATGAAGATTGTTTAAAGAATGACCCCGTACCATTGTGTATATGTATTTGTACATATCTGAACTTGTACAAAATGTGAATAAGTGCATAAAACATCTGAACTTCCTTACTTGTTTTGCTCATTGTTACCTGTTCGGGATGTGAGGTCTGAATGTTTTTTTTGCCAAAGGTATGCATGCAGCTTGCAATGTTTATGCAGGTCATGGGTTCAAATCCTGACGCCACTTCAGCAGAACCATACGACTGCCTCTCCAATTCAGTCCGACCTTGGTTCCTCGGACATGTTGATCCACAAAAGTAGATCTGATGGCAGTGTAAATGTGAGAAATGGAGATTGGATGGTCAAAATGGCTGCTGAGTAATGGCGGATCTTCCACAAGGCAGGATTCAACCTTGGATGGGACTTAATGTGTCCAACTAACCTTTGGCAATTTGGGATATTTTCGGTAGTTAAATAGGCACAGGGCATTATGACTTATTATAAGGGACACGGAAGAAGTAATCTCCATGCAATTACTCACATTCAGGTCTACACCACTGGACAGGGCTGTGGCTGACGCGTTTGCTCATTATGCCGACGACCCAGGTTAGACATCTCACCAGGGGTACAAGAGTGAAGCCCATTTGTGGTGTCCCCCGCTGTGATATTGAAACCATACTCAGTCACTCACTGCTAGAGATATTTCCCTGATTTTATCAATTTAAGAAAGGCTATTACTCCACTTCGTTACCAGGTTTGTACAAGGTCTTTTGGACACCGGTCATTCAATGTCCAAACACTAAACAAATCTAAAACCCTGCTGCAGGATGAAAAACTGTTACGAGGCATGTGCAATGAAATACACATACACGACCACGATTGAAAGATCAAAGATCCAGCTACTGAAACCAATCCTTGATATTCCGTGTTTTCAAACTTTTCAAAGATTGGCTTTACAGCAAAATCAACACGCCCAGTGCAACAAGTTTCGATAAGCAACTGAAAAAGTCAACACAGCTGCCCGGACAAGATGATGTGATGACGAGGTGTCATCCTCACTTTTTGTGAGAGTAAATAAATAAGGAAAACAAGCGTTTTTCTGAAGCAATATTTACAAACAGCATTCATAAACAAAACACATTTCAGAATTACACAGGACATTCTGAGGATGAAAGCAGTAACATCTTGAAACATCTTCATATTTTGAGAGGACATTTAAACCATTAGACTGTATCTCTCCACAAATAGTATGTAAAATCTGACTTAAGGAGCATTTGACAATATTCGAAGAGCAGAAAGTAAATGGTATGACTTCTGTTTTGAAGACTGAAAAAATGTAAATTAATATATTAATTGCATTTGCACAGCTTCATCCTTCTTTGCACTGCCTTTCAAACATGTCCTTGAGAATTGTTAAGCTGTCGTTGAAGCGCAATTCATTTTTGAACGCTTGTTCCTTCCACCTGAAAAAACAATGTAATAATTATTACAAATACAATCCTAACTTTACATGAATATTATCAGCCAATTTCCTATGATACAATAAAGCCGATGGACAGACCTCAATAAAGGTCCATTTTGGTTCTATCACAGTGTGAGCTTTGATACACAAAGATCTTAACCTTCAACTAGCGAATCCTTGTCTGACAAAGGTATGCAACTCTGAACAGCTAAAATCTTGTCTTATCTGGTCCAAGTCGCCCTAAAACTATATCACCACCACCATATCAACTAGCGAAACTCTGCGGCGCGATTGATTTGCCGAGTCAACAAGTGCAGTCACATTACACCATTGCTGATACGCTTACATTGGCTGCCCACGAAACAGAGAATAGAATATAAAATCCTCACTCTCGCTTTCAAGTGCCTCCATGACAAAGCTCCAATCTATCTGAAAGATCTCCTCAGTGAATATGTCCCACCACGGCTTTTAAGATCAAGTTCTAATTGTCAGTTGAATGTCCCCAAGGTCAGATTAAAGTCATATGGACATAGACAGTTCTCTTACACAGCTCCCCTTTTCTGGAACTCACTGCCTCTGCACATCCGACAAGCCGCGTCCGTGGAATCTTTCCAGTCCCAACTGAAAACTTTCCTTTTTAAACAAGCTTATGAACTTTAATCCTTTCTTCAGATCACTCTATCTTTTAGCGCCTAGAGAAATTGCCTTGCAGTTTGATTTGTGCGCTATACAAGAACACTTATTATTATTATTATCCTTGTCTGACAAAGGTATGCAACTCTGAATAGCTACATACCTTGTCTTATCTGGTCCAAGTCGCCCTAAAACTATATCACCACCACCATATTAACTAGCGAATCCTTGTCTGACAAAGGTATGCAACTCTAAAAAGCTACATATCTTGTCATATCTAGTCCAAGTCGCCCTAAAACTATATCACCACCACCATATCTTGCCCTAGACCACTGGACCATTGCCAAGGCGATACAAACATGGGACAAGGTCAGTCTGTGAATGGGTGAGTGAATATTGTTTAACGAGCATCAGCAATTTTGCAGTAACATGCGGCAAGACAACCTGTGAATGAGTCATATCAAACTGATGTAGGCATTTTCCACTTTTCATACCAACAAGCAATGGTATTTATGTTTTTATAGGATTTGAACCTTTAATTCATACATAAAAATGTAATTTTTAGAGTAAAATTGATATTTTATACTTATCCTGACTCATGCTCTTTTGCTTGTCTTCTTCTTCTTGCGAACATAGTGGAACACTTGTATCTCCTTATTTGAAGCTCCCTTCAAAATAAAATCACTAATTGGTACTCACCACGAGTTGCTCCCCTTTGTTTCCCCTGGCGGGAAAGGTGTCGCCACCCTCTGGCCATGTGCTCCACTCTCTCCTGATTTAGCGAGCCCAACACTTGAACTTACAGGGAAATCCAAAGTGTTATGTGGGGAGGATGGGAGGGCTAACCTCATGAGTCAGGATAAGTATAAAATATCAATTTTACTCTAAAAATTACATATTTTTCCTTATCCTGACTCATGCTCTTTTGCTTGTAGCATCCTCTGAGCGGAGGTGGGTAACAGAATACTTTGGATTTATAATTAGTGATTTTGTATAGATATACTGTAATATCCCCTACGGGAACTTCATGAAGGCTTAGATTTAGGATGTTTCCTGTATAAAGAAAACCATAGGTTATATAAAGCCATTAAAGGGGAATTACATTATGAATATATTGAACAATACATATAAATTATATATATATATATAGGTGACTCTGATAGAGGCACTGAAATTGACTATACCAAAGTATATGCTTAAGGTTGAATACTTAAGCTGAACATATATACATAGCCCTAAAACTCCGTAGAGTTATAAGCTAGATGAGTATGTATAAAATACATATTAATCTTGTGAGGATAATATTTTAACGCCTCACGAGGGACTGTCAGTTGCTGGCGAGGACCAGTGGTCGAAATGGTGAATGCCAGAGACATCTTCTGTAGTGATGTCTCTCAGGTAGTGATTAGCAAATACCATGTTAGATTTCCAATAGCATCCTTCCATAATCGTGTTCAAGGAACAGTTACCGTGTAGAGAGGGCGAGGGTAGAGGCCAGTGCCCTGATCTCATGTGGATTTGATGCTGTTGGTGGGTCCAAGCCTGCTGCCTTGTAGGCACGGAGAATGACAGTCCTTATCCAAATAGATATTGTGGTCCGTGACACTTCTGTTTGATTCGTGGCGATAAGGGGATGAATAAGCGTTTGAGAAATCTTCTCCTTGTTTTGGATCGTCGTAAATAAACTTTGAAGCTCTTACGGACACAGTGATAGGTCTTGTGTATCTTGTGATCCGAGAATAGAGGATAAGCGCCGGGATGTGGAATAATCTGTCTGGTTGACCTGGCAGTTGATTTTCGCGATGAAATCCCATCTTAATCCGAGGTGCTGTGTTATGATTGTCATCAAACTGTATCCTCTCGTAATCCAGAGCGTGAATTTCAGACATTCTTGCTGCTGTGGCTAGCGATAGCAGAAACAGTGTTTTCTGTGAGAAATTCAAAGTTTGTCGATTCCAAAGGTTCATAGACCTCACTCGTGAGGTGTTGTAACACTACATTCAGATCCCAAGCTGGGCGTGGAACTTCCGCTTTTGGTCCTCAATCGGAAAGCTTCGTAGTAAGGCCAGTAACTCTGGAGATCTTGTCAATTTGACACCCGTTCTCATGGTGATTACAGAACTAAAGCGGCAAGATATGTTGATATCGTTGAACCTTTTAAATGCTTGTTTTGGTAGGTAACACAAATAGTCTGCCACTTGAGGTTGTGAAGCCTCTCTTGCTGTAAACCCTTTCTTTGTAGCATAATTTTTGAAACTGTGCCACTTGTGGAGTCGTACAAGTTACGAGTTGAGTAGCGTAAAGGCAAAGCGTGACTGCTTTTGCCGCCCTGGCAGAATATCCTCTCTTGTTTAAACACATTTGTATACAGTCCATACGTGTAGTGGGAACATTGCTGGGTTTCCGTGCACTTGTTTGGTGTGAGGATGAATTAACAGGTTTCGCGGCGGCAGGTAGCTCCAGTGTTGGTTGACCGATTTCTTGAATTAGTATGGGAAACCACGTTCTCTGGCCCGACCAGTAGGGCGCGACCAAAGTGAGTTGTAGGCTCTGTGTTTGTCTGATTTTCTGTAATACTTGAGGTATTATTGCTGGCGAAGCGAAACAGCGTGCGCATTGAGGCCTTCCATGATAGACTTAGAGCGTCCGTTGCCCAAGCTTGTGGGTCTGGGACTGGTGACACGAATGTCGGTAGCTGATTGTTGAATCGGCGTGGCGAATAGGTCTATTAGCGGCCCTAATTGCTTGATTATCTGTGCAAAAATTTCTCTGTTGATCATCCACTCTGTCGGTGATGGTAGATGAGGCGAGAGAAGCGTCTGCTAGTATATTTCTGGCTCGGGAATGTGCACTGCTCTGACATGTAGATTTAGATCTTGTATTAAATCGAACAGTTGAAAGCTTAGGTTCAAAAGGTTCATCGATCTCGTTGAGCCTTGCTTGTTTATGTAGAAGCGCCACTGTCGAATTGTCTGTATGGATCATTAGGAGCGCATTTTGTAGAAATGTGCTCCAATGTAGAATGGCGTTGATTACAGCTTTCATTTCTAGACTGTTTATATGGAGTTTGCATTCTTGCTGATTCCATAATCCTGATATCGTGTGGTTGGTGAGATGAGCTCCCCAACCTTGGAGTAACAGCGTCTACATACAGATGGGTTTTGTATTCCTGCTCTGCTAAACAAATCCCTTGAGACATTCGATTTCTTGGTCCACCATAGTAGATGCGGTCTGAGATGTTTCGGTAGACTGAATGGTTGTACATCGTTGAGATGTGCGTTGATGAGGACCTGTAGGGGGCGTAACTGTAATCTGCCTGTGACAGTCATGTCTTGGGCTGATGTGAGAAGACCTAGTAGGCTCTTCCATTGTCGCGAGTGGTAGCGGAGAGAGTAGAGCTGGTGGAATGGTCTGCTGTATCTTGAGCCAAGCGGTCTTCTGGTACCATAATACGGGTTGCGATTTGTGATGAATCGAATACCTAGGAACTGCAGGTCTTTGCGATGGTACTAGGTCCGACTTGCGTAAGTTTACTAACCAACCTAGTTGTGTTAGTAGCTTTATGATGTAATTTAACTGTAGTTTGAGGCGCAGTGGATCTTGATCTACTTGTATCCGTCGTCGAGGTAAAAAAGCACTGCGTAGCCCTTGACGATGTAGAAATTTGATAATCGGTTTCGTTATCCTCGTGAATAGCCAGGGGCTGATGATATTCGAATGGGAGTACTTTCCACTGGTAATGTAGCCCTTCTAGAGTAAATCGTGGGGTATTTCCTGGAATCGGGATGAATGGGGATGTGCAGGTAGGCATCCTGTAGATCTATGCTGCCCATGTAGTCCATAGGACGAATCATCTGGCGTAACTGAGGTAAATGTATCATGCGAAACCGGTGGTTTGCGTAGATAGTTCTTGTTGAAAAAGCTCATGTTGTAGATGAGTCTGTATTTCTCCGTGGAGTTTTCTTGGGAACTAGGAAAACTGGGGAGTAGAAACCTGGTTCGGACGTTTGCTTGATCTATTACTTCTATGGCCTGTTTGGATAGGAGTGATGAAACAGCCTCTCTTATCTTTGGTAGTTGTTTAGCTTGTAAATCGAACTTGGGGGTTTGATTGTCAGCGGAGGCTTGGCCTGTAGAGGATCTGAAATCCGTGTTGAAGAATGTTGGAGGCGTAAGGGTCTTGCAATATTCCCCAGTTTTCCCAGTGTAGTTGGGGCGTCCACCCACTTGAGCTGGCTGTACTGGAACGGCTGGGGTGGAAGACTCCAGTCGTTCGAACCTGTGTTTCAGCGTCTATAATTGCGGGAACCTCTGGGTGTCCTGCCTCTTCCTGATCCTCCTCTATAGTTGCCATATGGGCTGACGAAAAGAATCTTTACCTCTAGAGCTGGCTATCTTCCTGTCTCTTGCTCTTTGTAGGCCCGTGAACTTAGATCTGCCTGAGTATCTTTGTGAAGTCTGACGAATGGCGCTGGCTAGTGTGTCCATCGATCTAATCATAAGGACTTCCCTGGAATCCTTAGAGACTTCCTTGGCGACTTTGTCGATTTCTCCGTCAAAGATGGATGTTGTCGACCACGGGGCTGTATAAAGTGGGGCTGTAAAGTTCTCCCCAATTACAGGAGGCGAGGAGGCCTTGGACGACGAGCTAAGGTCAGTGCTGCTGAAACAGATGTAAGATGATCCGTTAAAAACTGCTGATCTTTCTTTTGCATAAGTAAGGCAGAATAAATCATTCTATCATCTTCCGTCGTGGAATCCGAATCTAGTAATAAGAGTCTCATTGATCGTCCTAGATCTATTTAACCCAAAGAACATCGTCTCGTCATGGTTTCTATATGAGCCAACTTTGCGATCATCCATCTTGTAAATCTTGTTCTTTACATCGCTGATGATCTTATAGTTCTCATCGATGTCCTGGGCCTTGTAGAAGGAGTCCATGTTATCGTGGAGAACTTCTTGGCTTGAAAGTTGGGCAGATGTGGTGACTGAACTTCGTAGCTTTCTGGAAAGCTGCATCTAGATTCTGTGGCACTGCCGCAATCGAGGTCGTCGGGGTAGAGTGATTGCATCTGGATCATCTTCCTTCATCAAATCGTCTGCGCTGTATTGCCACTTTTAGATGGTGATGTGAGATCTAGGTTATTGACCATCCAATACCGTATCTCTGCATCAGAAAATATGATTCCTCCATCATCCTCAAAACCATCATCATTAACAAATTGTAGATGCTCTTAGGGACTGCGTGTAGCTGTCTGTATATCTGATGAGGTTTGTGGCGATCTAGTTGACTTAATGCGCCGCTCTATGTGGAGATCTGACGGGTGATCGACCTGGTGATGAGCGAAGTGGAGATTGTCTATGGGATGATCTTCGGAGACTTGCGAGGTGAATGTTGATACCCTTCGTGAAGCTCTTCGGCAGTCCCTCGATGTTCTTCTAGATGATGAGGATCTGGAATCATATGTCCTTCGCGAATGCCTTCGCGATGCTTCATTTGCGTCCGGTCCGGGGGATCGATGATATGACCTTCGCGAAGCCTCCCTGATGTCTGATGGTCTGAGTCCATATCTAGAGATGAAATCGAAGATGGTGATGATCTCTCCCGCCTTAGCGAAGGCTGTACATCTAGGTCCTTCGTCAAGGTGGTGCGGGACTTCCTTAGCGAAGGTGACATCGTCTTGGCTGCTACGTTGACGGGGGGTGCCTCTGGGGTGCTGTCTACGTTGGAGCCTTCGCGAAGGCTCGGACCCTGCTTGCGCAGTTTGTAGTGGTCCTCCATGATGTTCATAATCTGCGCATCATGTCTTCTGGGATGATCTGTGGCGAAGTTAGTCCGGCGTCTTTTCTGCGATGGGGTTCATATCAATGGCGTCTGGCGTCGGTGTAGAGGCATCAGGCTGCATGGTGATCTCTGCAGAAGTCACAGTCGCTGACACGGTCGCTTCTTCTGCCGTAAAGTCGGGGATGATTATCGGCTGATCATCGTAGAGGCCCAATTCTGCTGCTGGAGCGATCTCGGCTGAGAAAGTTCTTGCTGTCTTCGTGGAGATTTCCCTTTGGAAGTCTGCGCTGCCCTGGGTGTCCTCAATCTGCGTTGAGGCGGCGATGAGCCCTCTTAGACTTGGTCTGCAATGGCGGGATGTCTGGGGAGGCGGTCGTTTCTTCGAGGTAACGGACTGCGTCCCGTTCCTCTACGAAGGGTCTCTAGCAGAACACCAGGCGGAGAGAGGTCGATCGCTAGCAGCTGACTGGATGGAATATCTGGACTCTCTGCCATGTTTTGCCCTTGTTTGCGTGATCTATCTGCTTGCGTCTTAAAGGCGCAAAGATGATATTTATTAAATGCAGAATGAGATAAATTAATGCAGTAACTGCAGCGTGAATTAAACGCTGCAGTAGAACAACTAGGGCATATTACATGTGGATGGGAGGCAGAAAAGCGTAATCTACAAATCGTACAGATTTTCATCAGCGTAAAGCTAGCTGAACAATCCGCGAATACTGCGTGAATAAACAGTAGAAATCACGATAATTAATCAATACAAATAGTAAAGGATACTAGCTATACCTCTATAGTAACCTATGAGAGGTAAAAACTAAGAGATTATCAAAGGATATGGTGTGTAAGGAGACACGAGGCGCTCTCACATCCTGCTCACTGGGCGAAGAAGGAGAGAGTGGAGCACATGGCCAGAGGGTGGCGACACCTTTCCCGCCAGGGGAAACAAAGGGGAGCAACTCGTGGTGAGTACCAATTAGTGATTTTATTTTGAAGGGAGCTTCAAATAAGGAGATACAAGTGTTCCACTATGTTCGCAAGAAGAAGAAGTCAAGCAAAAGAGCATGAGTCAGGATAAGGAAAAATACATACTTCATTCTGATGCGCTTCCATCGGGCCATGTGATTCAGCAGCAGGTGCTCTGGGGGTGGAGCCTGGTCAGGATCCTGAAATAGTTGGTTGCATAATGAATGTAATTAATAATTACAATAATACAATGTTATTGGTGTGATTCCTCAACACATGCTGGTCTAGTACTAAAATCTGAAAAATTTGAACTGAAGCCAGTTAACTGGGAAAATAATATAGCAGGATTTCGAAATAAATAGAAGAGACAAATATTGTTGAGAAACAAGGTAAACGTCGAGAATTGAGTGTGATAAATTCAATGCCGCTATTATCAGTATTCATGTTTTATAACAGTGTGTTTACTAAATGTGGGAGACATTCACCATTTTGGTGAAACCCATGCCCACAGGTGTCGAGCAAACAAACCTAGAGACATAATCATTTGTACTTGAATTTAAACCTACAATCAAAGGTTCTGACCATGGATGTGATGTTTGAATGACTGGATACACTTACCGCATGGATGTCCAGGGGAGCCTCCTCCACCATCAGTTGACTGGGAATTCTGGGATCTTTAAACTCATCGGTTATTTCCTGTTTAACTGGCACTGGTAGTAGAAAGATGTCCGGGAATCTGTCGGGCTGGAAAACATAAATCAAGTCTCATTATGGTAACTATATATCATTCACACATGAATTGAAGGTACCGTAGCCTAGTGGTTAAATCGCTCGCTCGTCATGCTGAAGACCTGTGTTCGATTCTCCACATGGGTACTATGTGTGAAGCCCTTTTCGGGTGTCCCCTGCAGTGAATATTGCTAAAAGTGAAAAACGACACTCACTCACTAACACATGAATTGGTGCATCAGGTGACATAACAGATCACGTTTTCTTGGTTTACAATCATTACAAAACTTTTCATTATCTGCAAATTCAGATTGTCAGCCATAGAAAAGGACTTTACAGTTTATCTTCACATTATTAACCCTGATAATACAAAATCTGGAGGTGATAAATTTATTGTGAGAAGTATAATTATAATCTTGTGACCCAGTCAGTCTGCTAGAAAGCCAATCTTTGCTCACATCATCATCCTGAGACTGTAGCTCAGCATCTGGTTCCGGGGTGGGCGGGCGTCCGCGGCCGAGGGCCCAGGTTGCGATTGTTTGGCTGGTTCTTCATCCAGGCTCGACACACAGGATACAGCGGTGTTGCCTCCTCAAACTGGGCCAAGTCCACACTCCGGTCAAACAGCTTCATGATGTAGCTCTCTGTAACACCAGGAAATTGTCAGGTCTGAATGCGAGACATGTCCTTTTCATCTCAAGTGCTGGCATTTTGGTAAACAAACCCCTGGGTCCCTTTTCATGATACTTGTCAAATCAAATTACCCGTCTCTGATTTTCATCAGTCAGTTTGCTTTGCATGCAAACCAGTAACAGACCAGTTGGAATGCAAATTACACACCAGCATCAAATTGGCTCAGGTCTATCAACAACATGGTGGTCAGTCCCACTGCTTACAATGGACTTGGTGTGACATTCACCATTGAAAAACTGGGTGTCATGCAAAAGAAAGTCTTCTTGATGGAACAGATGTATTCATTAAAACTAGCTGTGGCTTCGGTTTCAGATATTATGAGTTCCCCCCCTTCCCTTTCCTACTTCCTTTTTTTAAATTAACTTGATGTTTGAGTGTTTGTAAAATGTTAATAAAGTATTAGCAGTCCCATATCTGCTCTTTTCCAAGAAATTGTACTATGTGCCTTGTGAGAATCTGAATCAGGGCAACTGTTTACTGCAAGAACCCAAGAAGGTACAGGATCGGGTGGTCAGGCTCGCTGACTTTCTTGACACATGTCATCTGTTCCCCATTGTGCAGATCGATGCTCATACTGTTGATCACTGGATTGTCTGGTCCAGACTCGATTATTTACAGACCGCCGCCATATAGCTGAAATATTGCTGAGTGTGGCGTTAAACAACAAACAAACCATACCAAAGCTGAAAAGAATCTGGCGGCGTAAAACTAACTCACTCACTCAAACTCATGTTTACTGCAAGAATATATTCATGATATCCTTGGACTATAGACTTGGGAAAACGTAGTGTACAGAGTAATTCAAATCTGCCTTGTTCCTATCCCCACATGTCAGGAGACAACATCAGACATATCAAACAGTATAACCAGTGATCATCTCAACCAGCACAACTCACGATGTGATGGATCCCCGTCTCCCCCGTCTTCATCATCTTTCCTCTTCCTCTTCCGTGCCCGGGCCCCAAGCTTCCTTGGGGATCCAACTGGAGAGATTGGGCTGAACAGAGACAAGGATACTTACAACTCAAGTATCATATAGGGATGAAACTATACAGCAAGGTTTCGCTACTATGTGTGTTATACATGGGATGTGATATGCAAATTTACATAAAATTGTGTAGCGATACATAGGATTCAATATGTATATATTGCATGGAGATTTCTTGAACATAACTATTTCAGAGCAGGTTCAAAAATAGTCTGTCATACAGACCCTGAAACAAATATACAATGTATCTAAGAAAGCCCATGCAAGTCTAGATTTCCAGAGTTTCAGGGCTCCTTTTCACCATATTTTACCTTTTTAACTAAGAACTGTTTTTTTCTGGAAAATATGTTCATTTCAGAGACTAGTTGTTATCTATTTCAAAGGAAAAGAAGCGTTGTATCTTATCGTGGCAGGAACACTCATGATGTTTTGTGCACTGAAGTACTGTTTCAACCATAGTATCATTCTCATCCAACAAAGACGTTTTACAAATAAGAACAAGAGCACTGATACTATATCCGCCTAATTCAAGTATTTACTCTAATTTCAGTTTTTATATCTTAAAGACCCACAAATTGATATATTGAATACAGCCTTTATGAGTTTATAATAATTGGCAAGTCTAACATAATGCGGTTTCTGAAAATTAAAACAAGAAGACAAAGTCATCAATATCCCCCGCAACGGCAAAATACTCTTTATGAATATGTCTACTAGTTATGATTATGTCAATGTTTTGAAGTGTATACAGCAAAGTGGAAGGAGAGTATTGAAAGGTTTTAAGATCTGCTCCAGAAAGGAGCACTACCACCAAATTCAGTTGAAGCCTAACTTGTTGCCATGGAAAATGCAACAAGATGACATCCTCATAGTCACAGCCTAAGTCATGTTTCCATGGAAACAGCAAAAAATAAAATTCATATCTGGATCTAAACCCCAAAAGGCACATCTAGGGATAATGGTTGATATATGTACCAAGTCTGGTTAACATATCACCAATAGTTTAGGAGATATGCTTCGGACAAAGTGTGACAGACGCACGGATGGACACACAGACGGAACTTCGTTGTTGCGGGGCATAAAAATGAAGAAAGTCTCTTGGTTTCTTTTCATAATATTTTATTACACAACTTAACATCAGCTTTTTCTTCATAAAATATGTTGATTTGAGAGTCTGGATGATGTTAGTCTGTCCTAGTGGTTATTAACTGTAATATTGATAGTAAATAGAAATATATTGTTTTATTAGTTGCCATAGTTACGTTTATATACATACCGGACCTGCACTTCAGGCTGACTGCTTGATCCTTCACCTTCACTCAGTGGGCTGAAAATACACACAGCAAGGTCAAGGAAATATCTTAACTTGACCTGATAATAACATAATAAATGCACATTTCTAATGTGCTACTTCCATGCATTGGGGCCAGACATGGGTTCAATTACTTTGAAATGTAATTAATTAAATTACAATTACTTTGATTTTCCTCAATTACAATTACAAATACAATTACACCTTAAATTAAAATGTAATTAATTAAATTACAATTACATTACCAATGTAATTAATTACATTACAAATTACTTTGTTACAAACAAAAAAACCCCAAAAAATATATTTCTGTATTCCTTTAATCAACAAGATATCGATGTTGGTAAAGAGTAGTCACTAAATCCGATTCATATTTTTGTCATCAAAAAGTTAAATGCAAAATTAGATTATATCTACAATGTACACTATTTGATCAAATTTGTATTTTGCATATTTCTTTGGGCTTATTATCAAATACACACCTCTATCATCTCTTGTTGCAAAAAACACTTTGTCCACCACTGTTACCTAAGGTATACTGTATCATGACAGGCCTACATTACAATATATAATCAGCCGGTCTCTCTATCTGACATAATCCACATTAACATACTAAAGGATTTGTCAACTTGGATTTATGGCTTATTACCTTTCATGATTATAAAAATAGGACTACAGTTCAGTAAGATTTTGAATATCATATCCTATGAGAAATAAACAAAGAGGCCATTTTGATAGGAACTTGACTAATAGTACTGTTAATCCCCATTTCCTCAAATACCAACCTACATTCAGTCATGCGTTACTGATTCCCTTTGTTTCACAAATGTGCAGATGGTGATAGTTACAAAGGCTTAGACATTCAAATCTCTTTCAGAACTTAACACCTGCTAGAGTATATACCAACAACAAGCATCTTATTGAAAAACAATGCTTTGTCCTCCTTATTGTACATAACTTAATTGAAAGGGTTGCCTGATGACCACCAAAATAAAAAGTGAGATGTAATTTGATGTAATTGAAAAAGTAATTGAAAAATTCAATTACATTGAGATATTAATTAATTAAATTACAATTACAAATTACATTTTAAACATTCAATTACAAATTACATGCAATTACAGTGAAGCCCCGTTAGTCCGGACTCTGATAATCCGGATGTCTCGCCTCCCGGGCGATTTCAGCTTGTTACCAATCTATGCCTATATAATTTGCCTCGATAATCCGGAAATTCGGTTTCCGGAACCGGACGGTAAGTAGCTGTAGCCAATCAGTAAAATAAACAGTATATTGCTTCACAGTCCGGACGCTGTAAGTCGTGTTCACGAACCGTAACAACACCTCCCGGCGATGTTTACTTAATTAACTGGCCAACTGGGTTGTTGTTTTAATTAGACATTAAAAGCTCCGACTGAAGATACTGTACATTTACACTTTGATTGACACCACAATACAAAGCGTGGATGACAAGTGAGCTGTTTTGTGATTGGTTAATGTACTTTGACAGACAGATCTTGGTCCGCGTGGACTTAAAGTGATTTTGCTTTACGACAATGCTGCAAGTCACAAGTGTGCCGCTAACTTTGAGAAATGTGACCAAATACCGTCTCATATTCAACCCGATGGATGCAGGAATAATTCGGACATTCAAGGCATACTACAATAGATTGCTTGTTAGACATTACCTCACCTGCGCTGAGGAAGGACGTGATCAGACACGTCGGATCAACATGCGGATGTCACTCGGTAAAATTATTGATGTGATGAATTAAGCTTTACATTAAATGCTTATTTGTTTTATCCAGATTCGTGTCGTTTTTGTAATAGTTAGGGAAGCAACTTGGGTCTTGATTCAGTAGTCCGGACTATTCGCAATCCGGACGAATTTACTGAGAAACGCAACCGTCCGGATTAACGAGGCTTCACTGTACATAGATTTTTGTAATTAATTACATTCAATTACAATTACAAATTACAATTACCCCATGTCTGATTTGGGCATGCTCATAACATAAGTATTTGTAATTGGAAATTGAACTGTTAGCCTCTGTACCATATATACAGACAATAAAAAGGTCAGTTTCAGGTGAAGATGATCAACATCTCTTTTTCAAACATACCAAAATTTCATTTTATAATCGACAGTGTTAAACAATTATATATCCTGGCGTGGTAGTAGCCATTGTCTCTTGCCTATGTTCATAAATTCTTCTGATTTTATACACATCAGAGAAAAAAGATAAAAATGAAATATAATTTAATCAAATTGATTAGTCAATGTTACCTCTCATCCTTCTTGTCCACCAGATACTGAAGGGTCGCTCCAAGTTTAGATCTGAATGAGGCCACCTCAGCTATAAAAGATGAACAAATTCACATCATTATTCCTGAAAACAATTCAGACTGACAATGTGACATTTCATGATAATTAATATTTACAAGGAGTAAGAATGCAAGCAGTGAGTTTTAGTTTCACGCCTTTTAGCAAAAAAAATATTCCAGTAATATCACGGCGGGGTATACCAGAAATGGGTTTCAAATATTGTACCCATGTTGGGAATCGAACCTGTGTCTTTTGTGTGACAAGTGAATGCTTAACCACTAGGCTACCCCACACCCCAAGAACGCAAGGAACATTTGGCAGTTCATGAACATCAAAGGAACCAGAGGAAGAATTCCTCTTGTGTCTTTGGAGAGCATTTGGAAGGGATACGCATAAGGGAGAGAATTTGTGGATGTAAACTTCAATATTATGAGGAACACAACATTTCAGAGTACATGTATATGCTTACTCCTTCATCACATGTTAATCATTCAACTGATGAAGCAACAACATCCTCTGCAGCACTAAGTTTCTCACAGAGAAGAAGGTGACATCCATCAATTCTTTCATTCATCATGCTTATGTGCATATTCTGAGTCTGATATAGAGTGAGTGAGTGAGTTTAGTTTTACGCCGCACTCAGCAATATTCCAGCTATATGGCGGCGGTCTGTAAATAATCGAGTCTGGGCCAGACAATCCAGTGATCAACAGCATGAGCATCGATCTGCGCAATTGGGAACCAATGACATGTGTCAACCAAGTCAGCGAGCCTGACCACCCGATCCCGTTAGTCGCCTTTTACGACAAGCATAGTCGCCTTTTATGACAAGAATGGGTTGCTGAAGACCTATTCTACCCCGGATCTTCACAGGTCGTCTGATATAGAACTGAGATACAACACATATGACTTTTACAGAGTCAAAGTATCATAGCATGGCATTTGGGACATATGTATCCCTCCCTGTTGACAAAAGTTACTTTCAAGGCATCAATAGAGTTGTAATTTCATAATGGTTGCTGTAAGTAATGATAAGTTTTGTTACCTGTCAATCACTACAATTTTGGTGAAATCTATGAAGATCTAAAATATACTGAATGAATTTTAAATTCAACTCATAAAATAAATTACAAACATATGTCGATAGATATGTACAATAATGTAATTTTTAGAGTAAAATTGATATTTTATACTTATCCTGACTCATGCTCTTTTGCTTGTCTTCTTCTTCTTGCGAACATAGTGGAACACTTGTATCTCCTTATTTGAAGCTCCCTTCAAAATAAAATCACTAATTGGTACTCACCACGAGTTGCTCCCCTTTGTCTCCCCTGGCGGGAAAAGGTGTCGCCACCCTCTGGCCATGTGCTCCACTCTCTCCTGATTTAGCGAGCCCAACACTTGAATTTACAGGGAAATCCAAAGTGTTATGTGGGGAGGATGGGAGGGCTAACCTCATGAGTCAGGATAAGTATAAAATATCAATTTTACTCTAAAAATTACATATTTTTCCTTATCCTGACTCATGCTCTTTACTTGTAGCATCCCACGGACGGAGGTGGGTAACAGAATACTTTGGATTTATAATTAGTGATTTTGTATAGATATACTGTAATATCCCCACGGGAACTTCATGAAGCCTTAGATTTAGGATGTTTCCTGTATAAAGAAAACCATAGGTTATATAAAGCCATTAAAGGGAATTACATTATGAATATATTGAACAATACATATAAATTATATATATATATATATAGGTGACTCTGATAGAGGCACTGAAATTGACTATATCCAAGTATATGCTTCAGGTAGAATACTTAAGCTGAACATATATACATAGCCCTAAAACTCCTTAGAGTTATAAGCTAGATGAGTATGTATAAAATACATATTAATCTTGTGAGGCTAATATTTTAAGCCTCTGAGGGACTGTCAGTTGCTGGCGAGGACCAGTGGTCGAAATGGTGAATGCCAGAGACATCTTCTGTAGTGATGTCTCTTAGGTAGTGATTAGCAAATACCATGTTAGATTTCCAATAGCATCCTTCCATAATCGTGTTCAAGGAACAGTTACCGTGTAGGGCGAGGGTAGAAGCCAGTGCCCTGATCTCATGTGGATTTGATGCTGTTGGTGGGTCCAAGCCTGCTGCCTTGTAGGCCTGAGGAGAATGACAGTCCTTATCCAAATAGATATTGTGGTCCGTGACACTTCTGTTTGATTCGTGGCGATAATGGGATGAATAAGCGTTTGAGAAATCTTCTCCTTGTTTTGGATAAATTAAGTAAATAAACTTTGAAGCTCTTACCGGACACAGTGATAGGTCTTGTGTATCTTGTGATCCGAGAATAGAGGATAGCGCCGGGATGTGGAATAATCTGTCTGGTTGACCTGGCAGTTGATTCTTTGCAATGAAATCCCATCTTAATCCGAGGTGTGCTGTGTTATGATTGTCATCAAACTGTATCCTCTCGTAATCCAGAGCGTGAATTTCAGACATTCTTGCTGCTGTGGCTAGCGATAGCAGAAACAATGTTTTCTGTGAGAGAAATTCAAAGTTTGTCGATTCCAAGGGTTCATAGACCTCACTTCGTGAGGTGTTGTAACACTACATTCAGATCCCAAGCTGGGGCGTGGAACTTCCGCTTTTGGTCCTCAATCGGAAAGCTCGTAGTAAGGCCAGTAACTCTGGAGATCTTGTCAATTTGACACCGTTCTCATGGTGATTACAGAGCTAAAAGCGGCAAGATATGTTGATATCGTTGAACCTTTTAAATGTTTGTTTTGGCGTAGGTAACACAAATAGTCTGCCACTTGAGGTTGTGAAGCCTCTCTTGCTGTAAACCCTTTCTTTGTAGCATAATTTTGAAACTGTGCCACTTGTCGCCGTACAAGTTCTGAGTTGAGTAACGTAAAGGCAAGCGTGACTGCTTTTGCCGCCCTGGCAGAATATCCTCTCTTGTTTAAACACATTTGTATACAGTCCATACGTGTAGTTGGAACATTGCTGGGTTTCCGTGCACTTGTTTGGTGTGAGGATGAATTAACAGGTTTCTTGGCGCTTGGGTAGCTCCAGTGTTGGTTGACCGATTTCTTGAATTAGTATGGGAAACCACGTTCTGGCCGACCAGTAGAGGCGACCAAAGTGAGTTGTAGGCTCTGTGTTTGTCTGATTTTCTGTAATACTTGAGGTATTATTGCTGCTGGCGGAAGCGCGATGCGCATTGAGGCCTTCCCATGATAGACTTAGGCGTCCGTTGCCCAAGCTTGGGGTCTGGGACTGGTGACACGAATGTCGGTAGCTGATTGTTGAATCGGCGTGGCGAATAGGTCTATTAGCGGCGCTCCTAATTGCTTGATTATCTGTGCAAAAATTTCCCGGTTGATCATCCACTCTGTCGGTGATGGTAGATGAGGCGAGAGAGAGCGTCTGCTAGTATATTTCTGGCTCCGGGAATGTGCACTGCTCTGACATGTAGATTTAGATCTTGTATTAAATCGAACAGTTGAAAGCTTAGGTTCAAAAGGTTCATCGATCTCGTTGAGCCTTGCTTGTTTATGTAGAACGCCACTGTCGAATTGTCTGTATGGATCATTAGGCGCGCATTTTGTAGAAATGTGCTCCAATGTAGAATGGCGTTGATTACAGCTTTCATTTCTAGACTGTTTATATGGAGTTTGCATTCTTGCTGATTCCATAACCCTGATATCGTGTGGTTGGTGAGATGAGCTCCCCAACCTTGGAGTGACGCATCTACATACAGATGGGTTTTGTATTCCTGCTCTGCTAAACAAATCCCTTCGCAGACATTCGATTTCTTGGTCCACCATAGTAGATGTGGTCTGAGATGTTTCGGTAGACTGAATGGTTGTACATCGTTGAGATGTGCGTTGATGAGGACCTGTAGGGGACGTAACTGTAATCTGCCTGTGACAGTCATGTCTTGGGCTGATGTGAGAAGACCTAGTAGGCTCTGCCATTGTCGCAGTGGTAACGGAGAGAGTAGAGCTGGTGGAATGGTCTGTTGTATCTTGAGCCAACGGTCTGAGCTGTATTGCCACTTTTAGATGGTGATGTGAGATCTAGGTTATTGACCATCCAATACCGTATCTCTGCATCAGAAAATATGATTCCTCCATCATCCTCAAAACCATCATCATTAATAAATTGTAGATGCTCTTCGGGACTGCGTGTAGCTGTCTGTATATCTGATGAGGTTTGTGGCGATCTAGTTGACTTGTGTGCCGCTCTATGTGGAGATCTGATGGGTGATCGACCTGGTGATGAACGGAGTGGAGATCGTCTATGGGATGATCTTCTCGGAGACTTGTGAGGTGAATGTTGATAGCTTCGCGAAGCTCTTCGGCAGTCCCTCGATGTTCTTCTAGACGATGAAGATCTGGAATCATATGTCCTTCGCGAATGCCTTCGCGAAGCTTCATTTGCGTCCGGTCCGGGGGATCGATGATATGACCTTCACGAAGGCTTCCGTGATGTCTGATGGTCTGAGTCCATATCTAGAGATGAAATCGAAGATGGTGATGATCTCTCCCGCCTTCGCGAAGGCCTTCGCGAAGGCTGTACATCTAGGTCCTTCGTCAAGGTGGTGCGGGACTTCCTTCGCGAAGGTGACATCGTCTTGGCTGCTACGTTGACGGGGGGTGCCTCTGGGGTGCTGTCTACGTTGGAGCCTTCGCGAAGGCTCGGACCCTGCTTGCGCAGTTTGTAGTGGTCCTCCATGATGTTCATAATCTGCCGCATCATGTCTTCTGGGATGATCTGTGACGAAGTCGTCGGCGTCTTTTCTGCGATGGGGTTCACATCAATGACGTCTGACGTCGGTGTAGAGGCATCAGGCTGCATGGAGATCTCTGCAGAAGTCACAGTCGCTGACACCGGTCGCTTCTTCTGCCGTAAGTCGGGGATGATTATCGGCTGATCATCGTAGAGGCCCAACTCTGCTGCTGGAACGATCTCGGCTGAGAAAGTTCTTGCTGTCTTCGTAGATTTCCCTTTGGAAGTCTGCGCTGCCCTGGGTGTCCTCAATCTGCGTTGAGACGACGATGAGGCCCTCTTAGACTTAGTCTGCAATGACGGGATGTCTGGGGAGGCCGGTCGTTTCTTCGAGGTAACGGACTGCGTCCCACGTTCCTCTGCCGCAGGGGTCTCTAGCAGAACACCAGACGGGAGAGGGTCGATCGCTAGCAGCTGACTGGAAGGAATATCTGGACTCTCTGCCATGTTTTGCCCTTGTTTGCGTGATCTATCTGCAGCACGTCTTAAGACGCAAAGATGATATTTATTAAATGCAGAATGAGATAAATTAATGCAGTAACTGCAACGTGAATTAAACGCACACGGCGTAGAACAACTAGGGCATATTACATGTGGATCGGAGGCAGAAAAACGTAATCTACAAATCGTACAGATTTTCATGAACGTAAAGCTAGCTGAACAATCACGAATATACGTGAATAAACAGTAGAAATACGATAATTAATCAATACAAATAGTAAAGGATACTAGCTATACCTCTATAGTAACCTATGAGAGGTAAAAACTAAGAGATTATCAAAGGATATGTGTGTAAGGAGACACAAGGCGCTCTCACATCCTGCTCACTGGGCGAAGAAGGAGAGAGTGGAGCACATGGCCAGAGGGTGGCGACACCTTTTCCCGCCAGGGGAGACAAAGGGGAGCAACTCGTGGTGAGTACCAATTAGTGATTTTATTTTGAAGGGAGCTTCAAATAAGGAGATACAAGTGTTCCACTATGTTCGCAAGAAGAAGAAGACAAGCAAAAGAGCATGAGTCAGGATAAGGAAAAATAACTCTTTTTATAACCGGATAGTGTAGTAACAGGATAAACTGTTTCAGAGGCATTATAGAATATATCCACCAACCGAACCTGACCCTACCTCAAGCTTAACCCTAAAGAAATACCACCATTTCAGGGATTGGGATAGAGAACTTTGACAATGGGCCATTTTCAGGATTATTAGCCATTTTCTGAATTTAGAATGGGCCCAAACCCTTGTATCAATAGTAAAGTTTAACATTTTAATGGGCCATTTTTTATTCTAATGTGCAAAATGGCCCATGGCTCCTGCCTTTCCCAATCCCTGCATTTCATTGTTGACAAGTACATCAGGTTGTGTGCCAAAGCTGATAGACTTCATGTCTGTATCATTAGCTCATGGTGAATGCGTAACAGTCCATTCACTATATAATTTTGTATGCAATTGGCAAATATAAGGAAATGACTGCCAAACACATTCTGTATGCTACTGAAATAAAGTTACTGTTTTCTAGAAATGTCATCTAGTTAAGAAATTAATCATAAACTATCTGCAATATTGTTTAAGTGTTACATTTAAGAATTTGCATGCCAAATTTTTCATTTTTCTAGGTGGACAAATATCATAGTCTTGGGAAAATGTGAAGTATACGCGCATCTGATTATTGGTTGACACATGTCATTGTATCCCAATTGTGTAGATCAGTCAGGGGTTCAAAAATCCCATCACCTGATGCCCGGGACAAGTCAGTTTTCATTTCGGGCAATCAAATAATGGTATCTTACTTGTCTGTAGGCTACTAGATAATTTCCACTTATGATTTCAAACTGCAAAAAAACTTGGATTTAATTTCATATCTGCTCAAAATGTAGCTATTAAATTTCGTAATGATAATAAAGTAGAGTTGTCTTTCTTTGCTATATATCAGTTTACAATAAATAGTCCAGTAAACATTAACATCAAATGCCATGTTGATTTATTCTTTCATAATTACATCATCATGATTATGTAATAAAATCAGGGCAAGTGGAAAATTAGTCAGGACACTGATTGTCTGGTTAGGTCTCGATTATTTACACTGTCAATTACAGACCACTGCCATATAGCAGGAATATGGCTGGATTGTCTGGTCAGGTCTCGATTATTTACAGACCACTGCCATATAGCAGTGCGGCTAAACAACAACCAAACCAAAACCTGAATATTAATTTATTACATGGGCTGATTAGAATGTTGTCTCTGCTGCGATACAGGGTCATGTCTTGACTGTATAGGACCGCTCAAGGCTGGTCACTGGGATGACTGTGAGCAGATACCATATATCATATATGGTCTCTGCTGTGAGTTTGTGAGGAACAATATTTATGGACAGACAACTTCTTTGATGCAAAATAGAGGCTAACATCGTAGATGTAGATCCTAACATCGTTATTACTTGCTTGATAACGGTGTAAGCATCTAGTATCTACACCGAATCGACGTATCTATAGTTGTCTATCCATAAATATTGTTCCCATTCAGAATTATGAAAGATCAAACAATCAATAAATCAGGTGATAATATAGTAGACTAAAGGATATTACTGAACAGTCAGAGTGTACTTTGTAAATTGCAGTGTGTCCACATTCTGACAGATGTGTCTACATAGTCCCACATCTCTAAAAACCTCTGGGGGTTTAGAGGATGTGGCAATCATCGTCATGCAGATCAGCTACAGAGGATATTTCATGCATTTCAGACCATTCTACTGCAAGTACGTCCAAAGAGTTACACACCATGTTTGTTTCTTGACATCTTGAATTCTTCTTGAAATAGCAACGATAGCTATGGTTATTTAATTCAAGGCACGACAGGGTCGTACTCAAAAATCTTCCTCTTGGCCTTATTTTGCAAAAGCCGCCATTGACACTGCCGTACGCATTAACGACGTTTCTGATTGGTTAGATAACGTAACAGGCTCCCGTTAGAGAGACAAATACTGATTGGATGAAAGCATGAAACGCCTTCATAATAATGCATATGATCACGATTTGCTTCTAATGGAACAACATGGAGGTGTCAAAAGAAACCACGGACAGGTAACATGTTACGTATATATATTAAATAAATATAAGAGAATGTTTCGTTTGTGGTTTCACAGATTGCCTTTGGGATATTTCTTGTTACGATCACATTCACGAATATAGGCCATAAACCACGTTGATTTCTGTCAAAATCGCAGTGAGTCTCCTGTGTGTCCATGTTTTGTCACGGTGAACCAATACGTTATCTTTGTACAACATTCACACATGTAGGTGTTTCAAATCATCATGTTATCATTTTTACTGAAAGAATGTGGCGTAATGTGAAAGAATATTCATGATGTAATAAGACATTTCTGATTAAAATCAATATTTGTACATAGATCTTTATCTGAAACCGAAACAAGGATGCTTTGTAAGAGTAAAGTTGTCACAATTAATGTGGTGATGTATCAACAGTGACAGATTGACATTTTAGACCTGCCAGTATCATCAACATGTTTCCTTTCAGTTGTCATGCTGTCATGTTTCTACTGACACTCTGGGCACTTAAAATTATCACATTTCTCTTGAGTATTACAGAGTAGCGTAATGAAGTTTGTTTCTCCAGTTTTGATGCTGCAGTAGCAATTACACACACACACACACGCACACGGACACTTTACTCCGTGGTTGTTGTTGTTATGCTGGAACCTGATTATGATGGTATCAGCCTAGCTCTCGCTAGTCAGCCAGCATACCATTATATTTCACTTGGCATCCAATTGTTGAGGCATTCAGCAGGGCTCAAGATAAGGGCCGTATCAGCGTATGTACGGATAAAAAATATGCACGATACGGTAGGAAATAATTTAGAAAACGTAGCAGATACGCACCACAACAATGGTGTACGGTCTTAGAATCATTTACAGACGTATTTATCTGAAAAACTATTGTTTTATTGTTTATTGACCTGTTTACACAAGAGTAGCAATGTTGTGGTGCATATATGAAACGAAACACAAGATTACTGATAAATTCCATTCAGTACTCTAAATGTACTCTTAAGTTTTTCCAGTACTCCTGTATTGAAAAAATAAGGAGTACATACTCCTGATGATGAAACATTATCGGGAGCCCTGATTCAGAGTACATGGCGTGATTTGTAAATATGACTGGGATTTACACTTAGGATACTAGAACATGCGAGCTAAATATTTTAATGATTTGTTAATTCAACAATTTACACCTGCACAGTGGCATCTGGAATATCAACTAATCTCTAGCTCATCATTAAATGCGGAAGCCTAGTAGGGAAAGCATCCACTAATCTCACCAAAGGCCCCGGTTTTATTTCCAGCATGGTTGCAATATGTGTTCACCGTCATGATGTTGCTGGAATATTGCTGTATGTGATGTAAAGCCTAGATCTTTAGTTTCAGGTGTTGTATGTACTAGGCATTTCTGCCTGGGTTAGAATTGATCTTCAGCAGTCCATGCCTGTCTTAAGCGGCGACTAATAATTATACTGATTGATGCTCATGATGTCAATCACTTGGATTATGTGGTCCATACTCAAATATTTACAGACAACTGTCCTAGAGGTTGAATATTGCTCGGTATGGTGCTAAATAGGGGTGGGTATTGCAAGGAATTTTCATATTGCGATAAATTGCGATGCGAAAGCATGTATTGTGATATGTAATGCATATATATTGCAAGAAGTTTTCTTTAACAAAAAATATGTATAATCGAGTTAATGCTTGATTTATAAAGTAAAAACACAACAAAATCACAATGCTTGATTAGGCGTTAATAAAAACATTTAATCATGACAAAATAAAAATGTAAATAATGTTTGGCACAAATGAAACAAGGAAAGGAACAATTTAAAAAACGGAAATATCCGAAGATTTCCGAGTGTTACGAAGTTTTCTGAATGCATGTCAAAATACCGGTTTTCGATCAGCGTATCACTATACATATCGTTTTCATGTCTGAACCGGTAAATACCGGTAAACCGGTTATATTGCGCAGCCCTAGTGCTAAACAACAAACAAACAAAGGTAATCATATCTTGTCTTGTTTCAAGGTATGGCTACAGTAAATATCTGGTTTTGCATACTGGCTGAATATCAGAGCCATTTTGATTCATGTCGTATTGTCTGATAAATAATTATGCAATTTATTGACATCTCATTACAAATCTAAACTGTAAAACCACTTTGTTTCTCAAGCTTGTACTTTACGTCAGGAGTGTTATCATCGAACTCCATTTTGTGTCTGAGGAAATAAGAATAACAGTCTATTCTTTATTTCAGGAGTGAAAAACTGAAAGAATATGAAGACAATGGAAAGGGTTCAGAGAACAGTTCTGATATTCAGATAAGCAACGACAGTCCATCAATTGAAAGTAAAACCAAAGTTAAGAAGCTGTCGCCTACAGAAGAAAAACAGAGAGCTAAAGTTGAGAAATCCCAGTTGTACATACAGGTTGCTCAGAAACAATGGCCGATAGTGTATGCAGCTGAATATAATATTAGTTTCCTTGGGCTGGAGAAATTACACCCTTTCGATGCTGGGAAATGGGGAAGAATCTTTGATTTCTTGAAAGGTAAGTTGGGCAATATTTTATGCAAGGAAATGACACAAATTGCTGATTAATGTTTGTTTTCTCAAAGGCACCACAATACAATGTGAAGAGTTGCATCCCTTAGTCATGCAAGGAGCCACTGATTGTGGCTTCAGATCCAAAATATTGTGAGCCTTGGTTTGTCAGCACAAACTCTGTATTTATTTGGTTGGCAGTTGTACAACTTAAATCGTCAGTGAGTCACTGGAATAAAAGTGGCTAATGTTGATGTTACAGGGTCCCACTTTTGTTGTTTGCCTACAGTTGGGCGGTGGTTAAAGTGTTTGCTCGTCACACCTAAGCCCTGTGTTCGATTTCCCACATGGGTGTACTTACATACCCTCAGAATGAGGCCCCTAATCACCAGCAAAGTCAGCCATCTGACCCACTCAGCCCCATCAGCTTCAACGAAAATGAATAGCTGACTCTTTCTTTGTGAACCCCTCTGACAAGTGTAAAACTTTGATAGTTTTGGAGGCAGCATAAAAATCAGGTAATATGATACACCTGGCCTTATCACCCTGCAGTGCTTGTCATGGTCCATTAGACCTTATGGTTGATACTCATGCAGTTGGTCTATGAACATGTGGAACATGTGAACAGTAGGGTAACCTTGTTTGTTTTTAGTAACCTGATACATTCTGTGGCTATTTCCATATCAACAGGAATTTCTGGAGGGTGGGAGGTGTCATACCAATTACTGGATAACGGTTTTACTGCTGCTGAAAGATCCTAAAAGATAAGGACTTTTCCAGCATTTGGCCCAGGACTGATAGCTTAACTTTTGATTTTTTTGTTCTGTTTTTTGTGATGTAAAATCATATAAAAATACCATTTCCTTCCATCACACCTTTAATTAACTCTGCAAGATAATGAGCATGATAAACACCAGATGACTCAACTGGAAGCGCCAGGGTAATTAATTGGGTTGTTTTATGTGTGAGCCAACACTAGCCTACATGGCATACAACAGCAGCTGACTGACTGGCTGAACATATGTTACCACATTCTACACTCAAACAATGGAGTGTGTTGACACAATGGGTCAGGTCAGGTTTCGGCTCAATCTTGATGTATTCAGAGATCATATTATCTATTATATGGTCTCTGGTGTATTGTATGCTGGTATTATTGTCATATTCTATTTATAATGTTCTTGTTTTGTAAACGTGTTAATGGAAGGAGAAATGACTTTTATGTGATTGTTAGACACAAATCAATGAAACAAATCAAAAGTGGAGTTATTTGCAGAAAGGCAAACAAAGTGTGAGATCTAACCCAGTCAGCCATATGAGCTGTGTCAACTGTCATTTCCCCACATGGGTACGATATGTGGAGCCCATTTCTGGTGTCCCCTGCGCATGATATTGCTGGAATATTGCTAAAAGTGGTGTAATACCAAACACACTCACTAACTCAACTGTCACTTGTCAGGGGGTTACACAAAGTATGTGATCTAGACTACCAGTTGTCAGACCAGTCTGACCTCCATTTTATGTAAAAGACAAGTATTGGATATGTTTATATATTTTTTTACATGTACTAAGTGTATGTGGACATACATTTTGTTGAATGTTTCAACAACGGGTTCATTAGCTAAATCAAGACATGTACACATAAGATTTCCACCACATTCATGGAACCGGATCAGCTGTGATAATTTACAGTTGAATTTAGACACATGTTACATTGTAAGGTTTAGTCTCTACCCAAGCAATCGTAAATGTTTAAATTACTTCGACAGAAAATATAACCTGTCCATCAGAAATTAAGTTCAAATTTTCTCTACTGTCACATAGCTTTGTGACATCTTGGGCATGCAGTAACTCCAAACGCTGCTATACATTTGAAAACTGACGTAAATATGTTTTGGCATCTATAGTAGATATTCGCAAAATGTCCGCTCTGGTTTAAATGTGTATATCTCCATAAACACAAAACATTTTGAAATTAATTCTTGTAAATACAAATGTCAACAAAATATTTTCAAGGGCCCAAGTGACAAAATATATTGTCATAACGTAACCGATTTAAGTTATAAGGATTGTTTTCAAAGTATCTCAATCCTTACCTGCAATCTGATTGGTTTTGTTGTATTTTGACACATAATATTCATCAGTGGGGTGCGAATCTTCTTCGAGGTTACGGATAGGGGCAAGTTGTGAAAGTTCTTGATTCTGATTTAGTGAGCCTGTTGTGATAATGATTGAATTCTTTGTTTTTCAGAATCAAAGATGGTAAGAGAAGAGACAATTGTAAAACCACTAGAGGCAACCGAAGATGACTTACTGGTTGTACATTCCCGAAATTACATTAATTCATTGAAGGTGAGATTTAGAAATATAACTGTACATTGTATTGAATATTCTCTGCCATTTCAATAGACTTTCATCCATATTATTCCGCACTTATGGTAATTTTGCATATGGAAAAGGCATCAGTAATTTTATATATTATATTTGCATGTGGGTGACAGTTTGGTGATATGGTGAAAGAGATCATGTGTGTGGGTCTGCCTTAAACTTTATGATTTGTAAGATTAAATAACATTAAGACATTTCTACTGCTTCTTGCTGAAGCTTTGTATGTATAATATACTAATAGTAGATATCATGCAATTAACTTCAAAATAAACTATTCCAAAATTGATTTTTTGATAAGAATAATCATATTCTTTTGACAATAAACAGGTTAACAGTTATAATTGGATTATTTAATTACTGAAATGTAAAAACTATCGCAATCACGATTATCATTTTAGACACAGATTACGCACCACCGAGTGCAAAAGTGAAACACATCATTCTGTTCTATATAAATGAAACCGTCAGTTTTGTGCAGTTTTATTTTAATTTACATTTCTAATTTTGATCAGTTATAACATGTAATTTTCTCTTTTTATATATTCTGAATGACATGATATGAATATTTCTGGTGTATCATTAAGAAATGTTCGGTTGTTTTCTTTTGTTATCCAACTTGAATCTTACTATCTAACTTGCGCTTCTTGCTCTGTAATCTGATTGGTTGGTTTCGGGATGTGTCCTTATACATGGCTTGCATAATTCTTCTGGCTCCAGTTGACAGACATTGTGGAAGGAATCAACGAGGTATATATACCACGATATCACTCATTCAATCTTGTCGATAACAATATCTTGTCAATATACACTTGACAGGCATTCATGTACTTGTTCTAATATGGGGCTGCATATCATCCTTCATGTCAATTTCTAAGATATTTGTTAAGTTTTAGTCGACATACCTGATATGTTTTACAATGTTACAGCTTTTTGTGTTGTGTTAGTTCAATGTTCAGTTGTCATTGTGTCACGTACTGAAGTATGCTTCGATTTATAGTTCATATTTATATAAACCATTCACATTTTTATGTCATTTTTTTCTCATTGATAATTCTGGAACTCATGGCGCCAGTTATGATTATAATTTACTTTCAAAGATCATATTTCATTGAGTGTAAAATCATAAATGTCATTGACACTAGTTTGATTCGGCTTCTCCTTCCTGCTTAAAGTGTGTACTTTTATCAGGGATGGCAATTTTCCGCTGATCCTCGGATTTCCGCCGATTTTATTTCAAATTGATCAATTCTGTGAATCGTCTGAACCCCCCCATTTGATAACACAAATTTTCAGCTGGAAATAGATTTTCCTGTTGCACTCCCTGTTTTATTGATATTTAGAATGCTTTAATATTTTTCTGTGTATATATTAGCATGATTTGACATTAATGTCTTAAATATCAATATAAGATATATTTGCATGTGATCAGCTTTTGTTTTACTGTAACATTTAATAAACTAACCCTCCTTGTCCTAACCTTGGATTTGTTATCGGTTTTCATATTTATTGTAAAAATGTAATATTGCAATGTAATGTCTTATTTATAATTTTTACGTAAATTGTAAAGCCCAGAGCAAGTACAGAATTGCCTTCTACTGTGAATATATGTTTACAGAATACTTCCATATTTGGTCATATTTAAATTTTATCATTGTGACAACCCTTTTAAAGTTTAATTCACGATGTGTTAATAATTTACTGATGCTGACAATTTTCCAGTTTCAGAAAAAAAGCTGCACTGAAACTATAATATATTTAAAGAGTTGCATATTTAATCATTTCTGGAAATATATATGTCAAATTTACAGTCATCATCACATGTTTGGTGGTTGGAATAATTGGTCTTGGAATCATGTTGATCCCCAACACTGAAATTGTTTCATAAGACTGAAGTATGGAAATATTCTGGAGATTGTGTTTGTGATGTTGATAGCCAGTGCATGTTATCGGTGTTAGTACATCAGCTTACTTCATCTTGTCCCCAACATGCTCAAATGTGCTTAGTCCTTGCACTAGAACAGGCCTTGTTAATTTTCAAGGGAGAAATCCGTATATGAGGACAAGTACAAGAAATTATATCTTCCTCAAACATTTTGTGACTTGTCAGCAGTAAAATGTTTATGGATAACAATTTGGTCAGTGATGAATGTATGCTGGACAAAATAATTTAGGGATATTGGTACTTTTATGATTGATATTTTATCAGTGTATCAATGAATAAATAGATCAGTATTAATAATTTCAAAATTTACATATATCCTTAACTATATTTGTCTGGTATATAAGCCTGCCTCGTAGGGGTGACTTTTGAGGAGGAAGTCATTTCCCAAATGAATGTATAGTTTATATGAAATAAAAACAAGCTGAAGTAGTTTCAGTTTCTTTTAATAACTGACAAGAAACTTGAAACCCAGATCAAGATTGTTTAAGAGGTAACGGGATGGATAACTCAAAATCAAAGTGAACGAATCTGGTACTTCCTGTATTTTGCATTGCCCATTTATCAACCTAAGTCAATTACTAAACTATCAATAGTCACTTAAACTATCCATGGATCGATAGTTTTTCATTTCTACCATTGATTAATTGCTATCGAAGATTCAACAATTGAAATCCATCAATAGTTTGATGCATCGTTACAGCCCTATTGCCTAGACCACAGTGTGAGTCATAAGTCAATTTGGTACTCAGAAGTGATATTTAGAATTATCGGTCTCAATAAAATTGAATGGGACGAATATTTAAAATTACAACGGCTTATCTGACTTTGATGAAATGACACTCACTGAGTTAATGGGGAATTAATTTAGAAGCAGTGGTCTAGTTGGCAAACTATAATTCCAAAACCTCTAAAGATCTGTGTTAGAGTTGCTCTACATCAACCCTTGCTTGTCTTAAGAGGCGACTGACAGAATTTGTGGTTGGGTTCAATGGTAGATGGATCTGGTTGAATCCCATTTGCATAGATCAATGATCATGACATTAATCACTGGATTGTATGATTCAGACTCAATAATTTACAGGCTGACATCATGAAGCTGCAATATTGCTCTGTGTGGCATTAAATAACAAACAAATCAAAAACTTTAATAATTACAAAGGGCATATTTGAACATCTTTTGGGGAACAAAACCCATTTCTCTCTGTCATATGATCTGGCGATTCGAGAAGGATTTGGGACATATCGCTGGGAAGGGAAAATCATTTCGTCCATCATTATGTATTTGTTATTTGTAAATTAACTTGGCCTGAAATTTTAGCATGTCTGTTTCCCTCAACACATTTTCCTCAAGTATTTTTGAATTCATATGTTTTGTTGTTGCAAGTAACATGTCTTAGTTTTCAAGAAATGCTATGAATGAAACTATGAGATTATGACATGTACCTGTGATCATCCATTGCTAGGAAAAGAAGCTTAGAAAGGTTTGACAGCTGTAAGTTATGCTCACAAAACAAGGAAAAGCTAAATGCATTGTCTATTATGTTCTAGCTCACCTGGCTGAGACGCCCCCGAGAGCTTATGTGGGCACAAGTCACCAGTAATCCACAATAGCGATGTTGTTACATAATATTTATGTCCATTTCTCAGCAATTGGTTTAAAATGCATCGAAATTTGGTTTATGTGTAGTTAGTAGTGCGGATTAACATATGTTCATCATTTTGCGATGTTATAAAATTTGGTTTTGCTTTGACCATACCATTAAATTCTCACAAGATGCATTTTCTGCTCTGTACACATCTTCCTATTTGGGAAGTGCCAGACAGGAAGCTGAAAATTCTTCATATTTTAATGTACAAAATTTGTACAAATCATTATATGACCTCAGTATTTATGCAGATAGAATTTTAATACCTGATAATGTCACATGGCCAAATCATTATGTGTCTTTAGTATTCATGCAGATAGTATTTGAATGTCAGTGCAGACATATGTTGACATGTGAAATGATTGACTACATATATAGGTGAGCAACAGTGCCAAGGCAATGTTTATGAGGCAAGAACTGAAATGCACAAATCTTGGAAATATTTTGTTGTAATACTTGTAATGCTGGTTTTAAGTAGTCTAAATGGGTCGGGTGATCAGGCCTAGTGACTTGTTGGACTGTGTCATAGCAACCTGACGATGTGGTTAGATTTTACAATATCCACCACTTTTGGTCTGGTCCACACTCCTTTATCTATAGTTCATACATCAGGGCTCCAGATAATTTTTCAACATCAAGAGTACGTACTCCTTATTTGTCCAATATTGAGTACTGGAAAATCTTAAGTGTACATTTAGAGTACTGAATGGAAGCTAATGGACTCACAGTAATCTTGTGTTTCGTTTCATATATGCACCACAACATTGTTACTCTTGTGTAAACAGGTCAATAAACAATAAAACAATACTTTTTTCAGATAAATACGTCTGTAAATGATTCTAAGACCATACACCATTGCTGTGGTGCGTATCTGCTACGTTTTCTAAATTATTTCCTACCGTTTCGTGCATATTCTTTATCCGTACATACGCCGATACGACCCTTGTCTGGAGCCCTGATACATCTTCATTGTTACAAAGTTTGGCATTTAGCAAGACAGAAAGAAAATATTTTATCATATATTATGGTGTGAAATATAATTCTTTAAATTGTAATTTTATTTAATGAAGTAGCTTTCGAAATGATGTAAGAATACAGATTGAACCACCCAAATTGATAAATAATACTGAGTAACGTTAAGCCTTGGTTTTCAGCAGCTCACACCAGTACATCTTAGCCTTTTGGAAATTTTAGTCTCAACTGTCATGAAATGATGCCATTCTTAGAATAGAATGTACGCAAACAGTAGAATGTATTTTCAGGATTAAATACATTGTAAGTATGGAATTATCTTTAGGAAATGGTCTGTAAGGGTATAATTCATTGTCACGACAGAATGTAGAATGACAATAGCTGATCCTGGTGTAGGTTGAGAGTGAGTGAATGAGTATGGTTTTACGCCGCTTTTAGCAATATTCCAGCAATGTCACGGTGGATGACACCAGAAATGGGCTTCACACATTGTACCCATGTGGGGAATTGAACCTGGGTCTTCGGTGTGATGAGCGAATGCTTTAACCACTAGGCTACCCCACCACCCCTGGTTAAGGTTGAGAGTTTTCACCTTAAGTAAAGGTGAGCTCCTGTACCTTTATTTCTTTTTCTTCTAAAATTTCTATAAATCAACCATAGCATAGGTTCCTTTTCAAATTTGAAGTAACCATTGCTAGTTTTTGCACTAACATTGACAAGTTACGGGAGTTGTCGTCTCCAGATTGAATGAGTGGTCTCCTACAAGATGGTGGTACCGTGTTCAATGTGCTCACTTGGAGTGTACATGTTTCAGTGGAGCATGAATGTGGCTGGAATTACTGAAGTGCCTCCTGTAGCCTTGTTGCCTAATTTCGTCGTCCAAAAACGGGTGCTCCGTCCATTTCGCCATCAGACTGGTGGATCCATATTGGTAAGAGAGTCTTTTATAATTGTTGTGGTGATCAAATCTTTCAGTGAAAAGAACCTCCAATCTCTGGTATTTTGTAACATGGAGAGATGCAGAGGTTAAAGGGTAGGCATAATTTTTTACTCCAAATTCCAGAACATACAAAAATTATTACAGTGTGTATCGTTGGTCTTCATTAACCCATGCTTGTCGTAAGAGGCGACTGTCTTAGTTGACACATGTCATCGTATCCCAGTTGCGTAGATCGATGCTCATGCTGTTGATCATTGGATTATCTGGTCCAGACTCGATTATTTCCAGATATAGCTGGAACATTGCTGAGTTAAACAACAAACAAACCATACCAATATAGAACAAACTTTATGGATAAAAACTTCTTTTATTCGTGAGTGCAACCTTCTAAAATGCCACTCAAAGAAGAAAACCATACCACACCAGAAACGAATCTTGCAGTATACTAGCATTGCCGTAATACTATGCAAGTGTTTGTGTGAGCTTATTGTGGGAGAGTAGTCCAAAGTGGCACAGACTGATGATTTTTAACAGTATTGTCAACATCGGTTTAATTTCAGGCTGGCAAGCTGGCCATGGATCGAGGCTGGGCCATCAACATTGGCGGAGGGTTCCACCATTGTTCTGCAGAACGTGGCGGCGGCTTCTGTGCATATGCTGACATCACCTTGTCCATCAAATTCTTGTTTGAGAAGGTGGAGGGCGTGTCAAAGGTCATGATAGTTGACCTTGATGCCCATCAGGTTTGTGAAAATATTTGTTCAGAAATAGATTAAAATGTTGTTTGAGGGTATTTAGTGTTAATATTTGTGGTTTCGCTGTACTCTATGATGTTACCAAAATTCATCTGTCAATACTGGATAAATATGAATTCCTCGTCTTTAGAGGAATGCTCTGTCTGGCCGTCTGCAGTTTCTGGTATGTTTGCAGGGAAATGGTCACGAGCGAGACTTCATGGACGACGATCGGGTGTACATAATGGATGTGTACAACCGAGGAATATACCCACATGATGGATATGCCAAGAGTATGTAGTCAGAGTTTGACATTCAACTTTTATTTTTCGTGGGATTCCTAAATCTGATCTCATTTGATACATGATGTCAGATTTTGATCTAACCTATTTTCAAAATGCCCCATGTAATGTAACTTTCTTATCTTAAATATTCGAGTTGCTGAAATGTTATCATTACATTCAGAACATACCAACCACACTTTTTTATCTTGAATTTATGATGTAGGACGCCATTCTGTGGATGTATATCGTATTTTCCAAATGAAATAGATCAACAGGGACCAACTCCCTCCCTTGATTAGCTCTGTGTTGTCTGCAAATGAATGTTGTTTATCATTCCTGACTTAGGGAAACAGGTCACTGAGTCTGACCACCCAATCGTGTTCGTGCCCATGTCATGTTTTGTATTTAAAATTATTTAATCTTTATTTATTTTCAGGGGCGATCAAGCGCAAGGTGGAGTTGAATCACTTCACAGATGATGTGGACTACCTGGATGCTGTTAAAAAGTAAGTGTTACCGTCAAGATGACTCTGGAGTGCCAGGCCACATTGTCAGGGTTTCGGTCAGAGGTAGAAATGTTTGGGTGTTCAAGATTCAGCACCAAAGTCCTTCACAACTTGTCAAACCTTACTAGGGTCATCATAGGGGCGGTGGGGTAGCCTAGTGGTTCAAGCGTTGGCTCATCATGTCGAAGGGCCAGGTTCGATTCCCCACATGGGTACAATGTGTGATGCCCATTTCTGGTGTCCGCCGCCGTGAGGTTGCTGGAATATTGGTAAAAGTAGCGTAACACACAACTTACTACTAGGGTCATCACATGTCATCATTTCACCAGCGCTGTGGGAATCCTGGGGATAATAGATCCCCACGTACATTGTTATGATATGGCGACATTCTATTCACTCGAGCCCCAGTCCTAATTGCTATCTCAGCACAACTGCTGTCGTCAGTGGATGTGAAAGTTTGTGAGTTACAGCAGTATGATCAATTTATGATGTATGATCTCATCAGTAGTGAACATTGTTTGATCAACCACTGGTTTGTCTGGTCCAGGTTCAAGTACAGACAAAGTGTTCATAAAGTCTTGAATTTCAAAGGCTGACCAGTGAAGGGCCTTAAATTTGAATCTGCTTTGAAAATTATGGGAAAATGCCTTGACAAGGACTCGAATTTGGCAAACATGATGAACCTCCCTGTTACACATATACTACTCAGAATAAGTTAAGGGCAAATTCTTTGTATTCCTGTAGTTCATCTGTCATGTTAAGACAAATAAGCTATGATGATATGAAATTATCAAGTGGCCTTTAAGTTATTTTGAGTAGTATATGTACAAATACAGTTTTTTTGGTAGGGCTGAAACGGTATACCTCGGTATTTTGTTTTCGGTTTGGTACGTCGAAACTCACTTTGAAAATATGGTACTTCGGTTTTTTCGAACCGAAAATATTATCTCACTCACTTAATGCAGATTGCTTTCGGAATGTTATCACAAAAATTCCATGTAATTTAATTCTGGATGACATCTTCATGCAGCTACCATTTCTGACATTTCTGTGCCATAGTGCTATTGACAACAACTGAGTTCGTGTAAAGGCACTCTCGTTTGGTTCCCAATTCCAAGAAGATTTCTTCTCGGAAATTTAATTCTTATTGTTAATGAACTGAACCGAGAGCTGTGTACCGCAATACGTACCGAACCGTGGCATGGGCGTACCATTGCACCCCTGTTGTTAGTCTCTCATTTTACAAGATGATGTCATGATGTAGAGGTTTAGAGACCCATATCACATAACATTTACTGAGGTCTTTATCATTTTGTTTAGTCTTTGGCACATTTCCTTCACAGCAATTTAAGGGCATCTCTTGAGGAATTCACGCCAGATATCATTGTATACAATGCTGGGACAGACATATTGGAAGGGGAACCCCTCGGAAACCTCTCTGTCACTGCTCAGGTTTGTGATGCAGTAACTGTTGTATTTTCTAAATTTTTTACAAATGGTCCACCTGTGCTTTCGGGTTCACCAAACTGGTAAATGTCTGAGACCAGCATCACCTTTTGCTTTCCTCAACTTGTCGTAAGATGCGACTAACGGAATCGGGTGGTCAGGTTTGCTGACTTGGTTGACACGTCATCATATCCTAATTACCTAGATTGATGCTCATGATGTTAATCACTGGATTGTCTGGTTCAGACTATTATTTACAGACTGCTGCCATATAGCTAGAGTGTGGCGTTAAACAAAGAACAAACACTCAGAAACTACGGTTGATACCTGAATGAAACTTTACATTCAAAGAGTTAAACAACTGGGCCCATTAGTTAATGGCCTGTTAAAAAGACCTTTCAGCAACCGAATTTTAACGTACCATAAACTAACTATTCGTTATCTATATAACGGGTCGTTAGTGTTTATCGGTATGTTAAAATAACAGCGTTTGGAACAACCGGGCCCTGATGCTGTGTCAACAAACTGGAGTACTGTTCAAAGCAGTGTTAAAGCCATGTTATTCACTCAGTATTACAACTTCGTTTCCATTGTTTGTTCAGGGCATCATCCTCAGAGATGAGATGGTGTTTGCCAAAGCCAGGGAACTGAATATCCCCATCTTCATGCTGACCAGCGGGGGATATACGAGAGGCACCGCCCGAATCATTGCAGACTCCATCCTTAATCTGCGACAACAGAAACTCATCTCGTGTGAAGAGGCAGATTCTTTCATGCACACTGAAACAGGTACAAGTAAGAACAAGAGATTTCATACAGGTCAAATACGTTACCAATGTTTTCCATCTGTGGTGATCTGTGAAGATCTGGGTTGGAATTGGTCTTCTGTAAGTCATGCTTGTTGTAAGAGGTGACTAACGGGATCGGACTTGGTTGACACATGTCATCATATCCCAATTACGTAGATCAAAGCTCATGCTGTTTATCACTGGATTGTCTGGTCCAGACTCGATTTTTTACAGATTGCTGCCATATAGCTGGAATATTGCTGAGTGCGGCGTTAAACATTAACCTGTCCTGTCTGGACAACAACCGACCGCCTCCATGGTGTAGTGGTTAGAGCGTCCGCCCGGAGAGCGGTAGGTCGCGGGTTCGATCCCCCGACCACGTCATACCAAAAGACGTTAAAATATGGTTCTTGTTGGTCCCTGTCTGGCGCTCGGCATTAATTTGCACAACAAGGACTGGTCGGCTCGTAGTCAGTATAATGTGTCGCAGTGGGGTATTCATGTTTCACTGCGGCATGGTATCTCAGGGGGCTAGCACTATAAAACCAGCTTAAGTCTGGGCTAGTACAAGCAGCCGCACATACACATACACACGCATGCACGTCGTCATATGAGTGAAATATTCTCAAGCACGATGTTAAACCCAATTTCACCTCACCTGGACAACAACTAATCAAATCTCACGTCAAGTGAACAACAATTTGAGTTTTGCCTCCCATACCTGAAGAAGACGAATCATAACATTGCATCAACTGGAACTGAAAAAAAATAGGATGAGATGTGTTAGTAAGAGGAAAGAGTAGACTGTCATGTCTGGGAAGATTACAGGAACATGTAGCTATACATATAATCTGAGGCTGATACACTAAAAGTTTGAAGCAGTTAGTGTTCTTTGAAATAAATTCAATGTCTTGATGACATTGTTGGGGTTGTTGTTCAAAATTATAAAGCCAGCCCAATTTTATTTCTTGTTTTATGGATTTTTGTCCTCAGAAAACCTAAAGGCAGGAGGGGAAAAAAATAAAAATAAAATCACCAGTCAAAGTAATATTTTTCTTCTAAATACTAGAAGTATTTTACTTTTGGCAATTTATGAAGTGTATATGGGGCAAACAATTTTTTTGTAAGTTTTCATTTTTTGCCAATAAAAACATTAGGATTTTATTTTTTGAGCGGGGAAAGTTAACTTTCATTTTTATTCTTATTGTTGAAAAAATGCGGCCGGCGGATCCACAAATCAAGAAATAAAATTGGTCTGGCCTAATTTGAAAAATGTGTTGTTTCAGTGATTTCTTAGTAATAATGTCTGGTGAGTAAATAAATAAAATATTTTTATTTGGTGTTTTTGTTTGGAAAGGTAAATTCTTTCTTGTGTGAGCTGGTTTGAATTTGTTTTCATTACTGAAATTTCTTAAACTTTAAAGACAGCCCCAAACAATTATTCCCATTGTAGTTAATACATTTTGGTAAAGTTTTGGTTGAATAATTCCTTAGACCAAAAATGAGGAAACATTATGGTTTACTATTATGTGTGGTAAGGTTTCTTTTATGTTGGTCAGGGTTTCCAACAAAACCATCTTCCCAGAATTCCAAGAATTCCCAGCTGTAGGCTTGAGCCAGCACATAAGGTGATGTTTGACATCTTATCTGCTACGCATGCTTACACCAATCTCCTTAAAATCAGATTTTTTTGTGCTGTGAGCTTACAAAAGATATTTGGACATGGACAGGTCAAAATGATTTTTGCAAACTTTGACTAACCAATGAAATTAAGAAGAAGTTATCCAATCAGAAGTTTGGTTTCTTGAGCTTTATGGCACTGGTTCCAAACTTGTGTCTTCCATTCCAGACTATTTTTTATCCCCCGAAACGCGTTTTGCAGGGGGTATTAAAATGGACTCTGTCCGTCCGTCCGTGTGTGCGTCCATGCACATTTGTCTTTTCCGGAGCATAACTCTAAAACCGTTCAATATTTCTTCACCAAACTTGGCTCATAGATAGATCTGGTGGTCTACTGGTGCCTTTTGGTAGTTTTGGATTTCTGAATAAAGTAATTTTTTTGTGTTTCCATGGCAACAATTTTGACTTCAACTGAATTTGATGGTAGTGCTCCTTTCTGGAGCAGAACTTTGAAACCTTTCAGTACTCTCCTTCCACTTAGCTATATACACGCCAACACATTTGTCATAGTCGACATATTCATTAAGAGTATTTTGCCATTGCGGGGGATATTGATGACTTTGTCTTCTTGTTTATAAATATTTTGGCAAAGTTCTTGATTCAAAATCTGAAACTAAACTATAGAAAATGCAGGAATATATTGATGAGATTGTATGGTAGTACTTCCCAGAAGTCAAGGGGTGGTGGGGTAGCCTAGTGGTTAAAACGTTCACTCGTGATGCTGAAGACCCAGGTTTGATTCCCCACATAGGTACAATGTGTGAAGACCATTTCTGGTGTCCCCCACCATGATATTGCTAGAATATTGCTAAAAGTGGCGTAAAACTAGACTTACTCGCAGGGGCCATTGTAAATCTCTTCTGTTCCAAATGTTTATTCTTTTGAAGCCAGAGGTAGTGATGATTGTGATAGAATCAGCTATACATAACTGTCATACATGACAACACATTCCGACTGTGACCTTCCTAATATGGTGTGTGATGCCCTGGTTGGATGAAAGGTGGTTCTGGCGTGACTCATTATGGGATGTCCTCAGATCTTTGTTCAGTGGTAGAGAGAACCAAGATCTGATTTTAATGAGATTGCTGCTGAAACATCTATAAAGCCTCCCAATTTACTTATGTTTTGGTGATGGGTTGGTGGAAAGGATAGTGTTTAGTTGGCCAGCTTACTAACAAGTTCAATCCCATGGATGATTTGAATGTAGACATTCTGTTTTGGTGATTGGTTGGTCGGAAGGATAGTGTTTGGTTGGTCAGCTTACTAACAGGTTCAATCCCATGGATGATTCAATTGTATTGTACATTTAGGATGAGGGTGCAAAGTGGTTAAAGGTATCATTTGACCTTTTTTTTCACATGTTGAATGTCTTGAGGAATTACGAATTATTTTTAATATTACCGTATATGACCGTAGCTAAGCTGAAGTTTTAAGGCCCAAAAAAGCAGTCTGTAGAAGGGGGTCAACATATCTACAGGTTACACTTTCGTCAGACTTTTTTTCTATTGGTAAGAAAACGATATTGTATTGTTTCGCGTGAACGAACAAGGGAAAAGGACTTTGTCAGTGAAGATGTCAAATTTGCAATTAAACATCACTTGACAAGATTATGTACCTTTTCAATTCTAATTTGTTTCTGTTAGGCATTGTATTATATGCAGGGATTAAAATTATCGTGTGTATTTGTCTGGTATATAGAGCCGGAAATAGCAATCAGCTGTGCACATGTTCCCCCGTGATCTGCCAGTGATTTAGTTAAAACATACCCAATGATATAACATAATGAGCTAGGATGCAGTGACTGGAAAGATATAGTATCTGAAACTGTTATTTTACCAAGAAAAATATATTCTTGAATGGTGTCATTTTAATTGCAGGTTTTGCTCTATAAATGTAAAATATTTTTGATCTTTAATTGCTAACTGAAATGACTGTTTGATGTAACTTCAGAAGAGGTGTATGGAGATGAGCCTGTAAATTGTCCAGCTGTTAACTGTAGTTATAGGAAAGAATCAGATTGTCCTTAACTCTTCTTCTGAGTAGTACAGGAGAGGTTCGGGGAGAGTGAGAAGACCAGCTATTACAGAGCAGTGTTGTATAATTTCATTATCATCCAAAACTGTGTTCCACAGAAGATATTGCTTGTGTCAGATAACCGATATATCCTAGGAGATGTCATTGTGACAGTAGATTTTGTACAATGCCCTGAGAATGCTATGACATCATGAACATGATGACGTCACAATGCTATGAAATTGCTGCACTGCAAATCTAATGGTAGTACTGTGTTCGGAGATGTACATCTTTCATTGAAAACTAAAGAAGAGTGATTTTTTATGATAGATAGAATCTCACCCTCGTGTCTACTGATATCAAATATATTAACATTCATTGATGATGTTTGTAACTTTATCAACTCGTGGTGATATATTTGATATCAAAAGACACTTGGGTGGGATTCTGTATGTAGAAAAATTCGTAAAATGTATTGTAAAAAGTGATTGTGCAAATTATCATATTTGTTCTTTTTTCATTTCTTTTCATGATACTGATGCAATAAACAAACAAAATGTCATGTTGTTTTTCTATCTTTTAGATCTGTCAGATGTGGGGATGTCACACAGTCAAAGCGAGGGCAGCCTGTTGTCTCGGTGTAAGAATGCTTGCGTTTCGTTCATAACTCGGTCATCAACGCAGGAGTTTGATCAAGTCGGGAGAGAAAATGGACAGAGTGACAAGGGATGAATACAGGCGCTGGCGGAATACGTCTCGGAATGAATGTGTGTAGACATGTGTACATAGCTTCATGGGATGAAAGGACCATTTTAACTCGGACATTTTTGTAAATAAAGCAGACATTTTGTGACATTATTTTGCCCTTTAGCAGAACGTCACAGTATTCAAGATTTGATGTGATAACATATTTGTGATGTTTTGGGTGAAATTGTTCTTATTCCATGTGGCCCAGCTAACACGAGGGTGTTGCTTTCAACTTGTTTATGAGTAACTTTCATGAATAGTAAATGTAGGCTTGTTTTAAGAGAATAATGCCATCAAAGTTAAACTAATTTTTTATGATCACTCACCTAAATAGATATCAAACTGGGTTATTGTAAATATTATAGGTTACTTTGTGGAGGCTAATATAGAACAAACTTTATGGATAACAACTTCTTTTTATTTGTGAGTGCGACGTTTCGATACAAATTCTTGTACCGTTGTCAAGCATAAAGAATCTGTATCGAAACGTCGCACTCACGAATAAAAAGAAGTTGTTATCCATAAAGTTTGTTCTATATTGTACTTCCCAACTTCTAAAATGCCACTCAAAGAAGTTTGTGGAGGCTGATACAGATTTTAATAATGAATGGATACATAGGTAGCTATTTTATGTATCATATCTTCCATGGAATGTTGTCCTCTTTCAGTAAATCGTGACACGCCTCCTCATTAACGTGTTGTGGTTCAGGCGGTAGGTTAGATACTAAAGGTTCTGGGCACACTCGGGGCTGTAGGGTTGCCTAGTGGTTAAAGCATTCACTTGCCACGCTGAAGACCCGGGTTCAATTCCCCACATGGGTACAATGTGTGAAGCCCATTTCTGGTGTCCCCCGACGTGATATTGCTGGAATATTGCTAAAAGTGGCATAAAACCATACTCACTCACTCACTCTAGCCACACTCAATGATGGTAGAAAACAGTCAACAGCATCATTTGCCCCGTTTGAGAAACGTTTTTTGCCTGTTTTGTACTCCTTGGTACAGTTTTCCAAATCAAATGTCAGTTACCCATTTCCGAACTTGAGAAACAATTTACGATTCCAATTTAATGTCACAATCGATTGCAAAACTGTTAAAGTTCAAAATATATTTGGGGGCTACAGTATGGATTTTCTTAGAGAATTAAATAAATATTTTGGTGTTAGTATCTTCTAACCTGATACAAGTGATTTATTGTGCCAGGCTGGGAGTCTATTCTGTATGAGTGGTAGCCCTGTGGTAGCCCTGTGGTAGCCCAGTGGTACATGCATTAGCCATAGTCAGTGAGGACCTGGATTGAATCCTGCTGTGCTAGAATGTAGTCCGTTGTTGATGGTGTTCACTTTGATATAGCTGTTGTTTATTACAGTGTCCGACATTTTGCTCAAGATATGTGTCTGTACCTGTTATACACCTCATGTGATGATATTCGTCAAACCTAAGCCCTTATCAACAACCTTATCTGCTTATGTCTATGATGTTATTGAGACATCAACGTATTTATGAAAGGTATTCTGAACAAAAATTCAAAATTCATTGCTTCTTTTTGACTACCGCCCATGGTTCATATGTAACACAATTTTCTTATTGCAAAAAGTCGCACAAATATCTATACAAATTCAGTATCATCTTTTTAAGCCTTTCAAAACATTTAAAACAACTGTTGTGACATGAATGTGAAATGTTTATTTGTGAGATAAGGTGCAACAAGTCAGTCTAAGTAAACTTAGGCTCAGTATTATTCGTTACACTGATTATACTGAGTCTAACAAACCCTAGTAGAAGGTCGCGTCAGCTAACCTTTTCAATTGACCAATCAGAACACAGCTTACCAAATCGTGAAAGTTGACATTCTGTTATACCTTTTGAAGTTTTACCTTGGAAAAGTTTGTACCCAAACGATTCCGAATGCTATTTTCCGTACGATCACTTCCGAGTGATGCACATGGAGCACGCCACAATAGTGAGTAAACAGTCGCTGAGAATACCGTTTTTTGTCAGTATTCAAGGATGTCAGCTTGCCGAAATATTAGCTAATTGTAACCATGTCATCAGAAAGCCCAAAGCGTGTATCCTGCATGTCAAATATCTGTTTTATGCAGATTTTCGTTTGTTGAGAGATCAGTGTCAGTGACCGGGGGAATTTTGTAAGTCCCGCAGAAACCTAAACAGTAGCCGTTGTCTGGTGGGTTAAATCCGTTTGGACGTCTCGCATTTGATTGGACGGTCATATGTCGCTCAAAAGTTAGCTGACGTGACCTTCTACTACGGTTTGTTAGACTCAGTATAGCAGTGTAACGAATAATACTGAACCAAAGTTTGCTTGGACTGTGCAACAAATTGGAGTGTCGTTCCCTGTCTTTGTGCTACGTACACTGTTGTAGATACAGTATTCACTATGATAAGTGCACCAGTCACTTAAAAATTTACAAATGGGATGCTTATAAAAATCATTCACAGCAAGTTAAATTTGTTGTGAGAGGTTTGTCAGTGATTTCATTTCAAGAAACTAAAACGTTTTCAATAATAGTTACTTGGAAATTGTGAAACCCCTACTAAGGTATTGTTTTCTGTGAAAAAACAGAATCATTAATATACTCAAGAATTATGGGAGTCTTAATATGCCGTGTTTGTGAAAGGATACTTAGAGATTGGCCTGGCAGTTCATCAGTGGATGCTTTCTGTAACCAATATGGTACGTTTAAATATGGAGTCAATGCTATTCCCATGGTAGATGTTTTTGTACTTGTATGTGGTGGAAGATCGGTTGTGATAGTTTTCAGAAGGCCGATCATTGATGTATGTATGTCCTGGCTTGTAAATTGTGAAGCTAAAACTGTGATGATGGAGCTGTTACAAGTCATAGCTTTAATGCGATGGTGAAGACTACTTAAGGCTTGTATAGAAAATTTAAATTTAAAATACAATTTACCATGAAGATCTGGTTTATAACTGGTCTTCAGTAACCAATGTTTGTCGTAAGAGGTGACTGACGGGATTGCTGGGTTGTCTGGTCCAGACTCGAATATTAACCCGTGAAGGTCCGGGTTAGAATGAACCTTCAGTAACCCATGCTTGTAGTTAGAAGCGACTAACAAGATTGGGTGGTCAGGCTCGCTGACTTGGTTGACACGTCATCAGTTACCAATTGCGTAGATTGATGCTCATGCTGTTGATCACTGGATTGTCTGGTCCAGACTCGATTATTTACAGACCGCCACCATATAGCTGGAATATTGCTGAGTGCACTTACTTGAATATTAACAAACAATGAATAACAAACAGTGAAAGACGGTTACTTGGAATACTTGTATTAAGGTTAGCTCCCATCATAATACAAGGCGTTTACGAGTCAAAATTTCGCGAAAGTGGAATAATTTTTTTTTAATTTGTGCTGAGTGTGTGAAACATTTTATGAGGTGACATAAAATGGAATCTCCAGAGAAGTCAGTGTAGAAGAGATAGTACAGTCCATTTGAGTCAAAATCTACGTGGCTGTTACCTGAGCTGTCGCTACACCCTTGTCACAAATCATGATATAGTTGATGAAAACCATGATGGTTTGGTAAACAACTTTCTTATTTTGTTGACAAAAATGATGACAAAATTCTGCAGAGTTGGTGTGTTTTTCCTTTTTACTTTGGCATTGGTTTGAGTAATTTACAGTTTTGTTTTTTGAGTAAGAGTGCAATTCATTGGGGAGCTTTTGACTATACCAGTGACTCCTTGATTTTTAATTTTTAAAACATTTATTTTTATCATCTATATTTCTCCAACCTCCAGCTACTGTGACCACCAGCAGAGTTTACGGTTTGGTAATACAGAATCATAATTATCATTAATATATCATCTATATTTCTCCAACCTCCAGCTACTGTGACCACCAGCAGAGTTTACGGTTTGGTAATACGGAATCATAAACCCCAGCAGCAATAATATTGTCATACCAGGAGTCCGCCTTGTTAGTCAGATGAAATAGGTTCAGTAAGATCAGTAACCTCCAGAGGCCCAGATAAGCTGCGTATCCGGGTGAAATACGCATAGAAAATTTCCAATTACGCATTGAAAAATAATTTGTTGCGTACCAATTACGCATTTAAAATGTTAGATACGCAAAAAGTTTAAAACAAATGCGTACGGAATTTATTTATAAAAATCGCTTGCGTATCAAGTTGTACTGTTAGTATAGGACTAGTGTTGTACTGTCAGTAACGGATAAGTGATTTTTTTATGAAATCATTTCCATTATATTTAAGTTGGTTTTGATTAGGTATGATATAAGGCAGGACATACCTGCTTAGTAAACTTACTCAATGACATAATACTTAGGTGAGTAAAATGACTGAAATACGCACATATTTGAAAGCAGTGGGTAACGGAAAATGAAATACCCACTCAACATTCATAATACCCACTCCAAAAAATTACAGTGGGTACAGTACCCACATGACCTAAATCTTATCTGGAGTTCTGGTAACCTCCCTATAAAGTGTCGTGTAAATATCAAATCTCAGCTGTAGGCAATAATGAGAGCTGACATTAGTAATTCATGCTATTAATGTAGCCATAGGCATGAATATTCTACAAGCCTACTTCAGCACTATGATGTCATACATTTTTGTTAAGCTATTACATTAGCACTAAGACCACTTGTACCACAGCACCAGGAGAGTTCAGTGTAGAGATCGCTAGCCCTCCAAGCTGGTGTAGTCCCAACGGAAACTTTGTCACTTTCTAAGTGGCAATAATCTTGCAGTATTTCCTTCAGTTACATAATAGTTTATTTGTGACAGAATAGGCAAAAGACTTTCATAACAACTGCTTTATTAAACTGCATGATTATGCCTCTTTATTTGCTGTAACACAAAACAGTATTTTACAGAAGAAGAGAAGTTGTTATCTATAAAAAATATGATAAAGTTATTTATCGTTAAAAATATTTGATATTGTTCATCCCGCGGTTACCAACCAATAATGTTTATATGTAAATACATAGGTAAGATATATCACCATATGTCTGGACAGGTCAGTTTCATCAATTTCTGTAAGAGTTGTATCATGACTAGAGTTTTTACATCATAAAAACCGCTTTTATCAATTATTTGGTTTCCATAAGTGCTGAGTTAAAATAGAGTACTTTAAAATACAATTTAAGTTTTGAGATGTTATTTACTTCCCTTGAAGACATTTTAATAAAATAGATGTATACCTTTTGCTGCAAAATGCAGTTAGTAAAAATTCATTGTAAGAACTTTTATCTTTACAATATTTACATTTGAAACCAAATGCTCTACTTAAACATATTAATTGCACTGGCAACATTGTAGAGACAAACATATAGAAACATATGGCACATCCATATATTGTGTTTTATCGTTCTATTCCTTGTGTTGCATAATAACAGCTTTTCTCCTTCATTATAATGCATTCTGTGTATAATATCCATCATCATGTAAGTTTTAATAGGTTTCTATATATTTTGCAATTATGATTATTTCACAAAAAGTATTTGAAAAGTATTTTTTTAACATTTTAACTTATATAAACAATTGAAATACTAAATTGTATACAGAAATGAAGCCAATTGATTTTAATGATTATGGTTCTTAGTGAATGATGGCTTCGGAAACAAATGCATTCACATCTTACCAATTAAATATTCAGATATCCTTGGCAAATCTGAGAGTTAGAATTGATCTTCAGTAACCCATCCTTGTCATAAGAGACGACTAAGGGAAACTGGTGGTCAGACTCACTGACTTGACTTGACATGTCATCGATACTCATGCTGTTGATCACTGGTTGTCTGGTCACTCAATTTTTGCAGACCGCTGTCATATATATAGCTGGAATATTGCTGAATGTGCATTAAATAACAAACAAGCAAACATAATCAGGGCTCACTCACTCACCCTTAATAAATAAGTGACATTGAGATTAAGTGGAAGTTTTGACACCAGGTGTTCTGAGTACAAAGTATCAGTCGTTTGTTTTTTGTGTTATTTTTTGTTTTATTTCTGCATTAAGCATTTTATCTTCATGAAAACAAATGTAAGCATGAGTTTGTAGTGTTGGAATTGCATATAATGTAATTTTTCTATGGATGCATTGTGATGTGCTTTTAATTGTCACTGCAGGAACTGCACTAACTGGTCATCAGATTTCCATTGTTATCACTTTTTGTTGTTATTTTTTTGTTCGTCTCTGTTCCTAATACATCTATGCAACTTTTGTTGATATGTTGTAAAAGCTGCCTGTTATGAATAAATGCCATGCTCACCTTTGTTTATCGGGTTTTATATTCCCAAATCAAGGAAGCTCTTTCCATATCTCAGATGATGGTTTTGATTTCCCACATGGATACAGTGTGCAAAGCAGCATTTCTCCTGTTCCCTGACATGACTGACTGAGTTTGGTTTTGCGCCGATTTTAGCAATATTCCAGCAACATCAAGGCGGGGGACACCAGAAATGGGCTTCACACACTGTACCCATGTGGGGAATCAAACCCGAGTCTTCGGCGTGACAAGCCAACGCTTTAGCCACTAGGCTACCCCACCGCCCCTTCCCTGACATGATGTTACATGAATATTGCTGAAAGCTAACCCTACTCACTCACTCATTCGAATGGAACCGATTCAGCACTTGTACAAGATATATCTCAGGAATGTCCAAGCACTGAATGGTCTATGTTATATGCAGAGACATTGGTGTTGATGGTTGTGATGGCACTGAATTTCAGGAATCCATATTAAATCTTCTTTGACCCGTGAAGGTCCGGGTTAGAAATTGATCTTCAGTAACCCATGCTTGTCGTAAGAGGTGACTAACGGGATCGGGTGGTCAGACTCGCTGACTTGGTTGACACATGTCATCGGTTCCCAATTGTGCAGATCGATGCTCATGCTGTTGATCACTGGATTGTCTGGTGCAGACTCAATTAATTACACACTGCTGAGTGCAGCATAAAACTGAACTCACTATTTCACCTATCTCAAGAGAAACAACGCACTGGGTATCTATTCTGACCACAAATCCAGCCCAAACATAAGTAACTTGGATACTGTGCATCTATATGACTATTGCAACATTACTGGAAATTAACAAAGAACAAAACTGACTTTTCAAATTTTTTTACTTCTGAAGACATGACAATGACCAACTAATGATAAGTATGAGATGTGTACAGGTTTGGTGTAAATTACAAGTAATCACCAAGTAAGTCATTTCATCATGGGAAGCATACAAATTAAACCACACTACTTAAACAAATGCTTGACTGAGAATATCAGCGCCATATGCACTGTCTTAACTTTCAAACCACAAGCAGTAAAATACAGTGATCCCAACATATTGAATCCAGAAATTCCATAACATGAAAACTTTCAAATTTATATCAAGACAGGGACAGCACTGAATGTACTGGAGCACAAAGCAAAAGACAATAAAACATTATGAAGAAGAGCATAATTTGTGAGACTAAAATCACATTGGAAAAATTATAATCTTCCACACCGGATGGCAAGTCTTGTCCTTTGGTATAGGCTTTTAAAGAAATGTTTGTTAAAATTGCTACAAGTATTATAAAACCAAAGTTTTAAATAACAGTAACACATCTACAATTCTCATTTTTACAATTGGGTTTGTTATTAATACCAACTAAGATTTAAGCAAAATGACCATACATGATCAGTTATATTATCAAAAGGAGAATTAAACTAGAAATACGTGGAAATACATAGAGTTGCCCTACAATATCAATAATAGCGACACAAGAAGTCACATACACTATTCAATAAGAAATCCTGAAACTTGGACATTACCGGTAATCATCTGATATGTGGCCCTAAAATATTCTCGTCTCTAAATCCTTTAGTACTGAACAAATAGTGGAGACAACATGTAAAACAATAGTAAGCTTACTGTAAGAAAAATATTCTCATCATACGCAATTCTTTAAAACATGATTATTTCATTCTTCTTTCCCAGTAGGGACAAAAAGAAGGAAGCATAAGTCTTCTGTTATAATCTTCAAAAATCAGTAATGAACCAGATTATTTTAAGATGTAAACCAAAACTGATCAATACTGAACAAATTTTATGGATGACAACTTCATTTATTTTGTGAGTGTGACGTTTCGATACAGATTCTTGTACCGCGTTCGATACAGATTCTTGTACCGTTGTCAAACGTCGACAATGGTACAAGAATCTGTACCGAAACGTTGCACTCACAAAATAAACTAAAATTTGTTCAACAATGTACATCCCAACTTCTAAAATGCCACTCAAACAAGTCAAAATTGATCACATTGAAAGAAAATCATTTCTTCATGACCCAAAGTGAGGAGAAACATTTCCCCCATTTCCCAGATCCAAAGATCATGTTTTCCAGCCATCACTGTTGAGGCATAAGCAGAGGACCCTGTCAAGGTAAACACTAGCTGCCACAGGAAGTAGGGTACCAGGCTATTGTTGAGCTTAAGAATAAACTGTCTCCAAATACATGCTACATTTAACACCTATTTACTAAGTACAGTCGAACCTTGTTCTGTCAAACTTGTGGGGACAATCAAAAACTTTGAGACAACCATTTTTCAAGACCAAACATCACGTCATGAGGAAGGCTATGATATATGGAGAAGAACTTCTTTATTACAACAGGAATGTTTCTATTGTAATCGAGTTGTTCGTCGACATGTCTTATCCTTCGATAGTATTTCAATGTCTAAATGCCTCTCCGAGTTATAACATACTGAGTGAGTTTAGTGTTACGCCACTTTTAGCAATATTCCATCAATATCATCACAGCGGGGGACACCAGAAATGGACTTCACACATTGTACCCATGTAGGGAATCGAACCCAGGTCCTCGGTGTGGCGAGCATATGCTTCTTGTAAGAAAACTTCCCTAACTTGCTGGTGATGTGGATACACTGATTAGCTTGATTTAAAGTGGACTTGTTAATTAGGTTTGATTGGATATTGGAATGTTGTCAGAAAGCATCCTGCTTTTGATGTAATTGCCCCAACCACATTGAAGACGGTCGATTGAGTGTGAGTGAGCGAGTTTAGTTTTAAGCTGCTTTTAGGAATATTCCTGCAAAATTAAGGCGGGGAACAGCAGAAATTGGCTTCACACATTGTAGCCATGTGGGGAATCGAAACTGGGTCTTTGGTGTGATGAGCAAATGCCTTAACCACTATGCCACCCCACTGCCCCCAATTGAGTGAGTGAGTGAGTTTGGTTTTACGCCGCTTTTAGCAATATTCCAGCAATATCACGGCGGGAGACACCAGAAATGGGCTTAACACATTGTACCCATGTGGGGAATCGAACCCGGGTCTTTGGCGTGACGAGCGAACGCCTTAACCACTAGGCTACCCCACCGCCCCGCCCCCAATCGAGTGTGAAAGGAGTTACAAAGTTGAGAGATCCAGGAATTTGGATAAAGTAGTATAAATGATAAAGACAGGAAGGATTTTGCGGACTTGAAGATCATTTTCGAAAACCAGGAATTTGAAACATCCAAGTTTAACAGTACATGGTTCGACTGCCACTGTTTGTTAATGTGAGGGATCAGGGCCAATAACTGTACATCAGGCTGATGTAGATATGATCAGAAAGATGATGGAACAATGATCTGTACTGTTGTAGACAACAAATGAATATGAGAAATTCAAGCAAAAATTCAGACTGACAATGCACCAACAAAAGCCAAGATCTAAATGATTGTGTATAGCAAACAAATACATCGCACATTTCATACAACACAGTTTATATATGCAAATGTTCTAAGGGGGTACATACCACTCATTTGAGGGGGATCCCAGGCTTTTTTCGTGTTACAAAACAAGGAGAAAGAAATTGGTGTACTAGAATCATGTACTGAAAGTGCCCCTGCTTTCATTACAATGACATGGGATACTATTTGTCCGACACCATATCCAAGCAGCCAATCGCATCCATTCAGGTCCCACGCTTCAAGTATCCTTATCAAACGTGTGGTATAACTGTAAAGGTATGAAATGTTAAGCTTCAAACTGTAAGCTAACAAACCAGCACCAAATATCTCATTTATTATATTTCCACTGTACTAGCTCGATAATCGTGACAATATAATGCTGTTTATGAATCATGAAAAATCTCTGTAGCATTCCTGAAGGATGTCATTCTTCTATAGCTACTCCTATTTGATTCTATCCAGAGATGTGGATTTTGTTATCTGTGTCAAGTAATATTGTGACTTATCTATATATTTAGCTAGCTTTACCATTGCCCTCTCTATTAAACCCCCTTCTTGGGTCCATGTATCTGTCCCAGTTTCACATATCTATGAAAAGGCAGCGAGTTTGTTTCTATGCCATTTTTAACAGTTCGTCAGTCCTACAGTGGTGAGTCTAATGGAGATAATGACATATATTAAGACATGCAGTGCCCCATTTCACAAAAAAATGTAAACTCTCGTAAGTCTGAGTTATGGAGTTACGTATGGGAGTTAAGATCACCTTAGCGCAACAATTGCTTTGTGGAGGGGACTCTCGTAAGTCTGTGTTAAGATATGGGTGTTTCGATCACCTTTGTGCAACAATTTTGTTGTGGAGGGGCTCTCGCAAGTCTGGGAGTGATGGTCACCTTAGTGTAACTATTGCTTGGTGGAGGGGACTCTCGTAAGTCTGTGTTAAGATATGGGTGTTTCGATCACCTTTGTGCAATAATTTTGTTGTGGAGGGGCTCTCGCAAGTCTGGGAGTGATGATCACCTTAGTGTAACTATTGCTTGGTGGAGGGGACTCTCGTAAGTCTGTGTTAAAGTATGGCATTTACGATCACCTTAGTTCTTTATGGAGGGGACAAGGCCACAAATGTAACGACATTGGGGAAATTCAAAAGCAGGATTTTCTGATTGACACCAAGGGTCGTATTCTGGGTGAATCTACCATTCAATTCATTGAAGAAGATCCCAGCACAAACAACAGATAATTCTATTAAGTGAACTTCACACTTGCCAATCAATGCTTTTTCCAATGATTCCATGATCTGCTACACAGGTAAATAATTACTGTTTTGATTTCAAATAGCTAGTGCCTGTGAATAAAAATGGTTTCTACCAGAGTATATGTGTGTACAAATACTGCTGTCATTAATATGTAATGTTCATGTGTATTCAAAACAGAAATTCAAGAAATAATGTATACAAAAAGATTTTCACAATATTGAATTTCACCTGCCATGACAATATATTTCAAAGCCAATGCATGTACAATGCAATGATGGGTGTCTTACCAGACCATAATCAACTGACTTACGATTTCATCATAATCCTCGACATATAGGAGAACTTTCAGTATCCACAAAGTAATTTCAGAAGCCAGCAATGGGTCTTGATGATTGAGGACGGATCAAGTTGCCAAAATGTACTGATCAGTTATTACGATCTCCTACAGCGTACCACGACAGACCTAAAGTGCCTTTCACTATATACAGGTGTAAATGATGCGTGACAATGACTTGACAGATACTAGGAAGCGAACCTTTTGCAAAAACTACCAGAGCTACATGACTCATTTACCATAACTGATGTATTTAGAGTTGAGTTTAATTTTATGCCGCTTTTAACACTATTCCAGCAATAACATGGTGGGGACACCAGAAATGGACTTCACACATTGTCATCATGTGGGAATCAAACCCGGGGCTTCCTCATGACGGGCAAACACTTTAACCACTATGCTGTCCCACCACTTCATACTCTCACTGACGTCTAATTGTAACAAGCCTGACCATGATTATAATATGTACATGCTGTATACTATATCCGTGCAAAATATTTTTAAGGATGACTGATGACTAGGATTTTAAATTTAAAAACATGCATAAACCTTGTAAATTATGAAATTGTTCATATTATCAGAAATATATGAATATGTGACTCAGAAACTGAGGAAGTGTAACCCCTAACATAACATGTTGTATCACAAAACTACATGAGAATAGCTTGAGACAATTTCTAATTTCAATGCTTTGCGTTCAGGGGGATGTAAGTTTGTCATTAACGATATTCACAAAAAATACATGTGTGTCAAAACCAAGGATTATTTTTATAAGTGAGCACACTTAAGATTGGTTAATATTATCGTAAACAAGTTTATCATAGCGTTACCCCATTATAACAGTTAAGGAAGTTTCATAAAACAAGTAAATACCATGAATTACATATGAAATAACCTTTTATTTCAGACATTGGTTTAAACTCCCATGTTACCTTTGAACACATCAGTTATGATAAACACAGGCAATAGGGCTACCTGATTCCACACCTTTGCATTATCTCAAGGCAGGCAATAGTCTGGTATAATTACAATCTTACATTGCTTGCAGAGGTACGACTGAGCCCCAGTTAACGTAGCTCTGTAAGCAGTTAGATGACAAAATAATGAAACTGCCCAACAATAGTTAAACAAAAAACAAACTACTGAAGAGAAAATGTAAGAATTCTTGCAAAACAGCAAAACTTGGCTCAACAGTAGCACTAACCACTGACAGATCTAGTGACAACTTCAATATAAGAATGTTAAAACTGGTGATATCTATTTGCCACCATTTGGGCTTGTCATTAGAAATTTCCTGCAATTTTCATACTATATGCAAGGGATAAAACTATTACACCTGTAAGAGCTATAGTCCATTTGGCTCAAAAGCGGACCGATGAATTGCGATATAACCCGAAAACTGATAAACATACAATACTCAATGAAATGCTGATCATAATAAAAGCATCAGACCAACTCCTCCCTCGTAACAAATAGTGAACTGTCTCAACATTTTAATGATAGTGTTGTTAAACAACTTTTTTCATTTTTTTTTCAGGACAAAAATTCTGCAAATACCTTACAGAGTTGGTCTGATGTTCTTATTATGGTAAACGTTTCATAGAGTATTATATATTTATCAGTTTTCAAGTTAGCTTGCAATTCATCGGTCCGCTTTTGAGCCAAACGGACTATAACACATTGTACCCATGTGGGGAATAGAACCCAGCTCGACAAGCAAACGCCTTAACCACTGGGCTACCCCACAGCCCCTCATGCATTATAAAATCATAAGATGAGCGAAAGAAAATCCCAAATTCAAATTTAACTTTACCCTGGTCCAAATCAGCCATGTGTATGCGCTACTCATTCAAAGCGATCTTCGTAACGATGGCAAATAAATATCACCATGTAACTGTACATGAAATATACAACAATGTAACATGACATGCATGTCACACGAACCGAAGAACATGATACAAAAATAACAATTGTTATGACGAGAGGTAATGACCCACAAGGATGACATGTCGTGATATAAATGCTCACACAATGTTACCATGGTTACATGGTGTAAATGGAGAGAAGACTACTGCAAGCTGACCAGGTCCTTTTTCAGAATGCAACATGAAGAATATACAATTGATTTTCATTTTACAACACAAATACAAGAAAAACCAAACACAAAATGCCCCAAATTAAATAATCTGCCATAATTGATGAATTAGAATGACCACAAGCCTTCATGAACAAAATTCGGAGATTTGTGAAAGGATATTTTTGTCCAGATAAAGAATGTGGAATGAATTCATTTGTGTTTAAACATTATAGTCATATATTCAAGTTTATCACTTTTGCTAACATTGAAATAATCCTAAATAAATATTAAAACACCCTAAAATAAGTTTGGCAAAATCAGAAATCTAAAAATTCCTTGCCGAAAGCATCAATTCACTACCTAAGCACCTAAAACAGATGGAAAGTGTCTTTGGCTATCATCTTCAGGATAAGGTAAGTCAATACCTTTCTCATTAATCAGACAACCAACACTAGGTATCTGAATTAAAATTACTTCAAAAATCACCTCACGACCAATGTCATGGCTGCCTGGAAGTGTACGAGGGCAGCTATGGGAAATGCAGAATGGACAGTCTAAGGATGTTTCAACACCTGATAGTCACTGTCAAAAAGCAAAACTATTATGACTTGAATGAAAAGGAAACCTTTGAATAAGTACGAATTTTTGGTAAATTACAATTAAGATTGCAATATTACATCAACTATCTTTTTTCTGTTCAACAAAGAGATGTTAGCTCTCAACTCTCTCAACACTATTTCAATAAAGTGTAGAGATAGACCAAGAGACAGATCACATTATAGAACAAAGCTCGAGGATAAGATACAGTTTAGGGCCCCATTTCACAAAGCTATGGTAGCGTTACGTCTGTCATAACTCCTATACTGAAACAGACTTACGACAGTCATTGAGCTACGTACGATAGCTTTGTGAAACTGACCCCAGTTTCATACCGATTAAAGCCATATCATGAACAAGATAAAGATATGAGCTATCATTAGCCTGTTACTTATTCATTGTGGGGGCTTGAGTGGGCAGGGATGAGGCTTGATTGATCTGCGAGACAGTGTCAACTGGAACAGTGTTGAATTAGGACACCCCCAGGAACGTCTAAGACTTATTTGGGGAAGCCGGCTTATGACAAAAATTGCATCTCTGGTAGAGTAGCAGTTTATAGTAATTTGACATTATGTCTCACTGCAGATAACATTGCACTCGAAAAGATGCCATTTTCCTGTGATCCTATCCAGTAGTCTTCCCTCGCTTCTCTATACACTTGAAAGTGATCTACACAGTATGTACATGTGGTTGTCGACAGCTGGGACATCACTCCCCCTCCTCCCCTGCCTCCACGTCGTCATCGTTCACATTGTCATCATCGTCCTCAGCCTCTATCACTTCAACATCAGCTGCAATAAGTAGAGATAATACCATGAGCCCATAATAATTTAGTCAGTTGTCCTAATATCGTTTCAACAGCATCAATAACACTTTCAGCAACTTTCTATTCAAATGTTAGATGTATGTTTTCTCGATGATGATAAACTTCAGGGATTGGGCCATTTTCAGGATTATTAGCCATTTTCTGAATTTAGAATGGGCCACTGCCCTTGTATCAATAGTCAACTTCAAAATTTTAATGGGCCATTTTTTTCCTAATGTGCAAAATGGCCCATGGCCCCTGCCTTTCCCAATCCCTGAACTTACAACTACTGAAACTGTCAAAGTAACTTACCTGAATCATCTAATGTGTCACCTTCTTCAATGTCACCATCTTCTACTGAATACACCTCATCATCTTCTTCATCTACAACATCAACATTTACTGGATTTTGAAAAAACAGCTGTGACATACCACTGAAACTGCTAAACGTGTTAGGTAAATGGTTTTGATTTTACTTCATTTTCTGATTGGAACTCAAGATGCATTCACTCTGACATAAGAACCCCCACCCCTCTGCTCATGGCACATACTACCAGTGGGGCATATACTACCAATGAATGGGGCACATACTACCAATGAATGGGGCACATACTACCATGAACGGGGCACATGCTACCATGAATGGGGCACATACTACCATGAATGGGGCACATACTACCATGAATGGGGCACATACTACCATGAATGGGGCACATACTACCATGAATGGGGCACATACTACCATGAATGGGGGGGCACATACTACCATGAATGGGGCACATACTACCATGAACGGGGCACATACTACCAATGAATGGGGCACATACTACCATGAACGGAGCACATGCTACCATGAATGGGCCACATGGGGCATATACTACCATCAATGGGGCACAGACTAAAAAAGGATATATACTTTAACACTTGTATATATTTCACTCATACATCAGTGTGGAACTTTGTGGAAACCTAAGGAGCATGTGCACGATGCTGATAAACCAACATACATACTCAGGACAAGACTGGGATTTGTACCCAAGCACTCCCAAGGGAGACGACTGTCACAGACAATTGTTATATGTTTGAGGTTCCACTACACTAAATCAGAATCACATGCTCCCTGAGCGAGCACCGTATGTAAACAACTGAAAAGACAGAGACATGTGACAGCTGTGATTGGATGAAATAGTGTGAGATGTTTATGCTTTTTAAATGCACATCCATCCAGTAATTAAAACTGACCACAATTTTAAGAATTTAGTGCTGTCATTTTTTATCACCATCACTTATGCTTATTGTGTGTACAGATATTTTCCAGTAGGTGACATTTGGTGCGGAACTGGGGTTAATGTGTTCTGCTTCCTGTGCTGGGAAAATGAGCCGGACAATTTGGCCAGAAATTGTGTTTTATTGTAGTTTAAAGGCCTGACGTGTACCTGGAATGGCTGTTGATAGCCTGGATAATTTAAAAAATATATATCAAAGGTGACTATTGAAGTCTGTGGGAAAACATTTGGTGTTGTGTAACCTTGATGAATGGGTCAGTGCCTCTCCTACCTTGGTCATCTTAAACTCAAACTTCGTTAGAGAGGAGTATATGGGGTTATTGCTTACCATCATCTTCGTCCTCAACAACATACACAGATTCCTCAGGATCTTCATCATCACTGAAATAAACAACACATGGCTTTAAAACAAAATAGAAATACATATATTATCTGTATACTACCAGCTTACAAATGGGATTCAACAATGTGTTCCCCTTAGCAGAATACAACGACAAGACCTGCACTGTGATCCGACTAAAATAAATGCACATCCTCAATCACCCACATCAAGTTTACTGAAGCTCCAGTGTTCCAAGGTTTTTGATGTTAGTAGTATTAGTATGTATTTCTAACACCCAACCTCACAAAATGTGTCTCCATTCTATGAGAAATAGCATGGTCCCATGTGCCTAAATACAGTCAAATCCTGATGAGTCGAATGCCGGTGTCTCGAATATTATGCATAACTCGAAGTACCTGTCGGTCCCGACCATTCCCTGTTATAGTTGTCATCATTTGATTTCCGGTTACACGAATTCGTCTCATAAACACACACGATGACTCGAGAAGGAAATTTGGTCCCATAACATTCAAACAACAGCAATATTGTATACATAAGCCGAAGTCAGTCAATGAGAAGTTGATTGGTGTAGCAAACTGATCCAATTAACAAAAAAGCGCGGCTCACACCTTTCCGCCATTGACAGGTGAGTTCAAAAGGCAGAATGGTGATTTTACGGAAATCACTGTCTGTGCTAATCAGACTGGAACTGATAAGGTGCCCCTATTAGTGATAGGGAAATCATTAGGTAAACCAATGCTTAGGTGGAGGAATTAGGACTGGATCATCTTTCTTTCTACCCTCATTGACATACCTATGTCTCGAATACATCGATAAGTCGAATTTATTACTTGGTCCCCAGCGATTCGACTCATCGGGATTTGACTGTAGTTGCATTTGCAGTAAGTCTCCAAAGTCTGGGTTAGAATTGATCTTCAGTAACCGATGCTTGTCTTAAGAGGCAACTAATGGGATTGGGTGGTCAGGTTCGCTGACTTGGTTGACGCATGTCATCAGTTCCAAACTGTGTAGATTGATTCTCATGCTGTTGATCTCTGGATTGTCTAGTCCCGACTCGATTATTTACAGACTGCTGCCATTTAGCTGGAATATTGCTGAGTGTGGCATTAAACTAAACTCACTGTCATCAGTGACAGATATTCTTTGTAAATCATAGAGAAACAGAGATGGCAACATCAATCTGGAATGATGGTCACTGTCACAACTGACGATGACAAAATGCAGCATGGTCCAAATTCTGGAAATCTTGCTGTCACCTGTAATATGTACACAGTTGCCAGGTGTGTGAACTTCTCGTGTGACATCCACTGTACACAATATGCATATCTCCAATACTGACTCTCTACCAGTCCTTGGTCCCGTTCCTCAAAACAATCATCACCCTAAGATGTTCGTAACTCCCAGGCTTTAACATACACTTACGACAGTCATAGCACTACGATTGCTTTGTTTAACGAGGCCCTGTTCCACAGCGCTATGGCAGCTCTATGACTATTGTAACTCCTATGGTTCCATATAGACTTACAGCAGCTTTGTGATACAGGACCCAGTTGTGTAACATGCTTCTAGATAAGTCAACGACTGATTCTGGAAACAATCCCTAGATAAGTCGAGGTGAGGTGAAATTGGGTTTAACGTAGTGCTTGAGAATATTTCGCTCATATGATGATGTACATGCGTGTGTATATGTATGTGCAGCTGCTTGTACTAGCCCAGACTTAGCTGGTTTTATAGTGCTGGCCCACTGAGATACCATGCCGCAGGGAAGTATGAATACCCCACTCGGACACATTATACTGTATCCGAGCTGACCAGTCCTTGTTGAACCTATTAATGCCGAGTGCCAGGCAGGGACCAACAAGTACCTTATTTTAACGTCTTTTGGTATGACGCGGTCGGGGATCGAACCCGCAACCTTCCGCTCTCCGCCCAAGATAAGGCACAACCACTATTGTGTTTAATAACCCATACTAACAGTGCCTCAAATGGAACAGACAACTAACCTGATGCCATTTTCTTCAACCTCTATGTCTGGTGCCAAGTAATACTGAAGGGGGTTCGGCCACATGTCATCTTTAATCACCTGAAACAAGTACAACAAAATAATTTTATAAGGCCAGACTTACAAATAGCACTACGATTCAGTACATCCACAACGGTAACAAGCTGAGAGAATTTAACACTGCTTTGAACAGTGTTCCAGTTTTACACAGTCCACGGTGATGCAAATGTGAGCCATTTTCCACTTTAAAAAATCTAGAATCATAATCTGACTGAGCTGGGATTTGAACCAACGAACCCAAGGGAAATAACTCTATGCAACAAATCATGGTGCCTTAGAATGGGTCACAGCTTGCATAAATACAGGGAGAGGGAATCACTGTATAATTCCTGATACTGCTTGTTACAAGTCAACATCAGCTGCTACAGGCGGTGACAATCATGTGACCTACCTCTGCAATGTCATCTGCTGATGGGTCAGTGTTGTCAAGGAACCACGAGAAGAAGTTTCTTGCCATGCCCAGCTTCCTCTTGCGACCATTCTGTTCAGTCTGCTGGAGCTTCTTCGTCAAATCCATCCCTTCCTTCCATTCGATACTTGTGGATTTGGATGCAGGATCACCTAAGCATCATAACTCAGTATTTAGATGATAAAGGAACAAAGTTTTCTGTAAAAGGGTAATAAATCGGCAATCATAAGTTTCTGTTCTAATTCATCATAATACTGAAAAGAAGAGATTTCAGAACATATCAGCATCCTTGGAGTAACACATCACATTTTGTTGTCAGTTTTCGCTATTTTATTATGAGGGGGGACTACTTAATGGTAGAACAACTGTTTGTTAAACAACATTTTTATTCGGGTGTATCAACCAAGAGAGTGAACCTGACCACCACCGCCAGTGGGTTCCCACTTACAACACACATGCATGGGTTGCCCAAGACCAATTCCAACACAAATATTCACAGGTTCAATAGTTTGAGCAATATCTAATGCCAAGTAATACATTATGACCACCAGATACCCAATTCTCTGTTAGAATGGAGGCTCCAACATGCACATACATGATCTGGGTTATGCAAGTGGATGTTGTTTAACACAACAGTAAAACCCATGTCAGTAATATCATGTAAATATCAAACCTGAATCAAGGATTCAAGACACAAGCCACAATCCAAGTCTCAAATTTCATTTACACACTTTAAAAACTAGCAATTCTGGGACAGACTTGAACCCTGATCTTCATCATGATCATGCTACTATTCTTACATACAATAACACAATAACAGAAAAACAGTAAATACTCACCTGAAGTAGCCAGGTGAAATTCTTTGCACAGTAATTCATTTGTAAAGTATGGATTCTGTGAGAAACTGAACTTGATCTTGTACCCAGACTTGATGTCATCAAACTCTTCTACCTCAACCTTATAAGAAAACACAGGACTATTATGATAATTGCACAAGTAATCATTGCTATTAGCATGAAGAAAATCAACTATAGAGAAGAAAGGTATACACCCCCAATTACAGGCTTCCCGAAGGCGACTTTCAAATGGCAAATATATCTGCAATATCTGTATAAAAGACATTATTGCCTAGCATTCTCAAAACACAACAAAAAGGTCGAGATGACATTTACCAAAGATCACTAGATTGCTTCATTTTATTCAGTCAATTTACCTGGTGATGGCAATTCACATCTTATTCATTAGTTAGGATGACCACTTGTAATTGTGACTGTTTATAAATGCGGACTGATATATTCAATAATTCAATCAATATACCTTTTTCAGATAGTGTAGACATTCCTCCTCCTCTTGGTCAAGGACAGCTGAGATTTGTGGGTGATTTACAAACTTTTCATTAAGGAAGACAACAAAACTTAATCAACACAAATCAACATAATTAACACAGCTCATATATTAATGCATTACCGGTATGTTTTAAGAAACACATTGTCCATACTCCCTCTCTTTGAAAGTGTCAAGCAAAACATGCTCAAGAAACAACATTACAGGGTTGAGAGAGGAGCGAAATAGTTTGTGTACAAGATGGACATAAGGACCTCAAATTATTAGATTAGTTCAGCTAATAACACCACTAAGAGGTTATGTATTTATCCTGTGAGTGTGATATTCTCTGGAATTGATCGTTGTCCCATCTTCACTGCTCAGGGGTGGAAATAACTTTAAAATTGCTAGTGTACTCTGGTACAGTGGCACATGTAAAATCACTTGCCCTGATAATTTTTCCACTATACCGTCCGCTTTCTTTTCTTGTTGATTTTTTAAATAAACATAATTAACATTGGAATATCAACTGGACACCGGTACAGTGTGATATACAAATTTGCTTGCCCGACAGCAAAAAAAACTGGCGCCGGGCAATGGGTTATTTCCACCCCTGCTGCTCCAATAGTATCTAAACTAAGACCTGGTTTAATTATCTGCTTGTCTAGGAATCAATCTTTGACTGCAGCTGACAATGATCGTGTTATTTGTGATACCACATTTTTTCAATGAGTGATAAATTACTTGCTTTATGAGACTGCCGTTTACAATACATTCCAACTTCAATGACATACACTAATGTATTGCAGTTGTTAGTTTGGCATTGTATGTTGTATGGTGGTGGTCTGCAAATGGTCCAAATCTGGATCCAGACTAGTGGTGGTCCGACTGATTGAAATAATCAAAGACTGATCGCAGTGGCTAAATGACCAAACAATTGATAATATTTTCTCATAATCGAACACAAACAATTTTTGAATACTGGTTTGCATTAACAACATATTTCACTAGGTTGGTTTTGTCTGTGTCTTTGAATTTACATTTAATAAGCAATGTCTTCCAAGTTATGATTAAATTTATCATAAGACTCCTGGAAATCTATGATCCTAACATACTAGTCCTTCTTAAACTAAAGATGTGAAATTTACAAATGCATTTGTGCAGTCTGCCCAAAAAACCCCAAAGGACTATGTGCTTTTCTAAAGAAAATTGAGCATTAACAGGAATATTTTATAAATGATGCTAACCAATTATTTTTGATGACTGAACGGTTGTAATGAACCAATCATCAATTATGAGATTTTTACCAATTCCCAACAGTACCAGAGCATGAGCATCAATCTAAGCAACTGAGATATGATGATATATGCATTTTGCATTCTTTACAGGTTGCATCTAAATGGCACCTTGATTGTATGAAAAGGTGTGTCACCTAAAAGTATGCACAATGTTTTGACTGAATGGCATAGTTACAAAAAAAGGCTGAAGTTTTCACTATGGGTAGCTTCAAATGTTCATAAAAATGTTTCTGATCCATAATTTTGGAACCAACATGACATCGAGGAAACAATGACTGCAAATGCATCATGACAATCAAAACAAGCAGCATTCTCTTAAAACGATAGTACTGGAACTGTTACAGTCCATATTTCAAAGAAGGAAACAATATTATCTCAGATGAGACTCATCAGTTAAAATTCTGTGCCAAGGAAAAGTGTTTATTATTTCATTTTTTTGGCAGTCTTTGAGTATAACAACTGAAAATGAATGACTTTTGTAGATAGCCAAATTGAAAATTTAAGTCATTTTACACACTGACTGATTTGACAAATACACTCCCCAGGAAGCTGAGAAAGAAATCAGAGGTGAGGTGAAATTGGGTTTGACGTAGTGCTTGAGAATATTTCGCTCATATGATGATGTGCATGCGTGTGTATGTGTTTGTGCGGCTGCTTGTACTAGCCCAGACTTAAGCTGGTTTTATAGCGCTAGCCCACTGAGATACCATGCCGCAGTGAAGCATGAATACCCCACTCGGACACATTATACTGTATCCGAGCTGACCAGTCCTTGTTGAACCTATTAATGCCGAATGCCAGGCAGGGACCAACAAGTACCTAATTTTAACGTCTTTTGGTATGACGCGGTCGGGGATCGAACCCGCGACCTTTCGCTCTCTGGGCGGACGCTCTAACTACTACACTACAGAGGCGGTCAAGAAATCAGAGACCAGTCTGATCCCAAGATGGATTAATAAATTAGTAGGACTTCATTGAGTATACCTCAATACACTTTTCAAGCAACACATATTGCAATATATTTTTCAGATTATCGGTATATTGGGTAAACATATATTACAAGTTATGTGATTATCTCAATTGTTTAAAATCTTCACAGACTTTCATTCACAACATATTTTCCTTCATAATTGATGCACACTATAAAATAGACTTAGTCTCTGAATATATAACTTTGATTGTAACAAATAAATCCATTTCTACCTGAGGAAATCTAGACTTGCTATATTTAGGGCTGACAGTAGGGAAAATATGATTCAGGGATTGTGAAACAGACTAACTATAAAAGAATCTCTAACTATGAAACCTAATTTTCAGATTCCTGTTATCAGAACTATAACATATATTTTAGGGCCTTAGTATGTAGACAATAGGGTCAACAGGACAGTGGTAGATACAATTAGTTTCTCTCACTGTCAAACATTTCAGCTCCCAATATATCACAATGCAGATACCTTCAACCCAATATACTGCAACCCAATTTACTTGCCAATACACAGCCCTAATAATTAGCATGATTACTGTGTTTCAGCAAGAGTATTATCTTTGCATTAAATTGCAACAGTGTCCACCCATACTGCCTAATTGTTATCTATTAGGTAGGGGAAGGCCAGTAGGTGATATGGGATTGTCATAGTTGGTTAATTAATGAAAATGAGGTGGTATGGGTATGGAAGAGTTCAAGTTGAAACATTGGAGGGATGTACTACACAAGTCAAGCTCATACTGGTATTTGACTTGGGATTCACATAGCAATATATTATGACATAAAATATTTGACTGTGGTTGACACTAATGGTACATGCATATTATATTTTTACCATACTAATTTAAATATTACTATGTCCAAATCAGCATGGTCAGTTGCAAACATTTTGTGGACATGGATACAGACTGGACAATCAATAAACTTTGTGGGTCCTTGTTGGTAATATGAGGGTCCTGTAAAGCATTGAAATGGGGTAGTGTAATGTTTGAGATAATTACTTCAGAGCCTGGAATGAATCAATGATCCTGTAGACAGTGATCATGACTGATTGGTGCATTAGCATACACAAATAAATACTCTTGATGCGTTTGATTTTCTGGGTGTCTATCAAGACTCAGTGTTTAGGGTTTTCTGCAGCCATTCTCTACTTTTGTACATATCTGACGCAAATGTATATGTTGTATAAAAAACTATGTTCAGCACTTTAGAGTATGATGCAATTAACACCACCATGCAAGCAATTATCTAGCCCAAATTTCTTATTTTTTGTGCATAAATTTGGGCTTTTAATATATGACAATTGAAGTATGACATTTGATTTCAAGGGGTAATTCAGAGAGTTGTAAGATGACCTATATCAATAGAAAAGTCCATTTTAGAAAATTGACATGTAGACACATTACACAAGGTTATCAGTGCCAAAGCCTTGATAACCGCCTTGTAAGCAGTACGTTCTTTACAATATAGTGATGATATATGGAAAGATATAGAATGACAATGGATGGCCCCTTCAAATACTTAGTTGATCACACTCAACACAAAAGAAACTGTCATGTTCAATTGCAGAGAAGACTTGAAATATTAATTTTTTAAACACATTATGCAGTAGCTTGCATATATAACAAAAATTCACATATTCCTTTCATGAAACAAGTATGTAATAAAATACACCCAGATCAACAACAAACAATAGTGACAACAAAGGACACAATGGTTGTCTCCCCTGACAGGAAACTGAGAACCAAGCTCATGCTTGTAAAAACAAGTTTCCTGAAATTAGTAACGATCAGAAGACATTAATAACATGCAATCTCTAAGAAAAGATCAGTTGTATAATCTGTTTGTAATTTTATACAAACAAATTATCACTGTCCACATCGCTAGGGTTCACACGAGTTTTCCCTACCGCGAAAACAGGAGACACTAAAAGTTTTGGTTATCTTCAAAGTTGACCATTTACGCTTTCACACCAAAGGATACGGCAGTGACCCAGAAATTTGGGATTTCCTCAATTAATCCATTTCGTCGATCAAAGTGCGGTTTTCTTAATTTGTTGTACTTTTGTTCCACCTGCAAAATTTCCTCGCTTGCTTTTTCGTTTAGAGCATCAATTTCATTCTGGCACGAGTCGATGTCTTCCAGTGTCTTTTGCATCTGTGATTCTGCATCTAAATCGCCGCTATCAGCTCCATTCGCCTCACCTTCCGGCGTAGAGAGCTTCTGGACTTTCGTCGCTGTCGCTGATTCTGTTGACATTTCTAGTGCACTCAGATGATCAATGTACACAAGCGTGAATGCAAAACTGCACGTTTGAAAAGTCTGCGATGGTTTAATAGAGTCAGAGCGCATGCGCGGCAAAAGTCTCTTACTAGCTGGAGAAAGACCCGTTTTCATTCGCTAGATTTCGCAATTCACATGACGTAATGAAAATATCAGCAAATGAAAATGCTTCTCACGGAAATTTACGGCTGGCTGAAACTCGAGGTCGAAAGAAGAAACAAAATGGCGGAGGAAGAATCGTCAGAAACACGGCCTGATGACAGTAAGGACAATATTTTCGAAATATTACAAAAGGAAGCAAAATTATCTGCAGAAAATGTCGTAGGAGGGGATACCAAATACAACACTGGTGTTGACATGCACCACGCTCTCTCGGATTTAAAGAGAGATCACCATGCCATTCATGGATTTAGGAATTTGCCAGGTTTGCAATGCCCACCTGTTCAGACGAACATTGCAAAGGAAGAACTGGATAATTCAGAGGTAAATTCCTCTCCCGAAGCTAAGAAACTAAAACTGTCAATGCCTTCGACACCCCAAGGACTGTCTGATTCATGTGTCAGTCCTGAATCGGGAAAAAGAAGGCGCATTCAACACGATTATCGACGCCTATCAAGCTCAGGTTATGTTGATGATTATGAAGCAGGTAAAGATCAACGTTTCGCGGTTGGGAACGAAACAGAAATGGTCCCGGGGACAACTGCAACATCCCCAAGATCTAAAAGCAACACATCATCACCGAAAACAAGATCTCCAATATCGTTTGGCACTGCAAAGTTTCCTAACTCTGCTGCACAGGATACAGGAGTAAAACTGAATGTTCAGAATAATTCTGAAGTAGATGGTTGTAGAGGTAAGAAAGTTATAATTTGTCCCATTTAATTTTTTAAATGCCTTGTTCTAAGTTAAGATTTGTTAAAACAATGATTAATTACATGTGATTTACAACAGTTTATGACAAACTGGCTCTGACAATGAAATATTCAATGAGTAACAGTGTGACATGGTACCCTACATAGCTATTTACTCTGCAAATTGCAACATTAATTCATAGCATATTAACAAGTCCATAAGCACTTGCATCAGAGGTCAATTTTGTATATTAGTGGTTTATATATTTTTCTGGCTTTATAATAAGGAGCGCTTATAGAATTCAGCATTTCACTAAGACAACCAGTTCATGTATATTTTTAGAAACATATCTGTCTTATGACTCATTTATTAAATCTATTACTTTTCACATTGTCTAAAAAACACATATTATTTTTCATTTCGCCAAAAATTAATTGCCAGGTTTAACATTGTTAATAATTTTCCACAATGTTACTGAAAAAACAGTTCTCATACACATGCTTCAGCAATGGGTCCACATTGGAATTGTCAAAGTGTAAAAATAAGGTGTTTCAAACAAACAATAGATAAATAAAATGACAAAACAAAATTACTTTTAAAAGTTGCAACATATATTTAAGTTACTATTTTCGTCCTTTCATGCCATTGTGTAATGTCAGTAAAATGGCATCTCAGCCTCTGTCACCTTGATTTTTTCACTCAGGCTCTGTGTTTAAAACGAAATGAATAAATGAGAAATTTCTGTCACAGGTCACTACTTCGTACAACATCTCCATGATGTTCCATCTTTTAACTATAGGTAGCCATTTGACGCCTAAAACGTTCAGAATACAATGCTTTAACCAAAAACTTTCTTTGAAATCTGAAAGTTATCATACACAATTATGGTATCCATTACTGTAATGTAATGTATTGCTGCCTTAGGTCTCATACTTGATTTTGGTCAAATCACGATCCTTATAGCAGATTGTTGCAGAAAAAGCATCATCTCAACCGAGTTTGATCCAATAAGATTGCTTGTTACAGCTGTGACAATACTACTGGCAAAGTTTTGACAATGTTATAAATGTCCAAAGCTTTCTAAAAAAATAAATAATTAAACTTGAAAATGTAAAATAAATGGGTCAGATAATATTATGATATCATTCAAATGGCAAATATCGCCACAGTTTTAGCTTCCTCTTTGATTTCATATGATGTTTGACATGTGGTGGCAATAATGTTTTACAAGCTGATATTTTCCTTGATAAATGTTGTTTTTATCCATCATCTCAGAGTCTCTGGGAAGTTGCTGTCATAGCAGTACATGCTTCTAGTTGACTGGGGTTTAAAGGGTTAAACTACCTCCTCATGTAGCTTTGTTAAAACTGTGAAAGAGAAAACTTTAAGGAATACCTGATCAAAGCTTTGGCTGCCATCCAAAATACACGAGAAGGGGTACAACGTCCTTCAATCCACAGCGGTTGTCTTTCTGGTCAATAAATGCCATTCCTGTGTAATGATGCAAATACTTAATGAAAAAAATATATATGCAGGGATCAAAATTATTGGTGCCATTGTCCTGCTGGCACTGATAAAATCGAAATGGCGTGTATAAATTCTTACCCGCGTGCCATTATGGCACACTTGATTATTAGTGAAAGTGCACTTACGTATTTTTTCACAGTTATTATCTTTCATGATTTAAAGTGAATGTCTGAAGAAGTGTGAAATTATTTTCTCGGAAAACAGCAATGTGAGCATTGTATCTACGCGGCCATTATTATGATTACTGCACATGTCCAAACTGAATTATGGGCAATCTCGGAAGCAGGCGATATGCGAGCGTGACAGTGACCCATGTTCGATAGACATGAATGGATATTGAGGTTTTAATTGTTTCTAAATCTAATCATGGAACAGCAGATGATTTTAAAATTTTCTGGAAACTTCAAGTCTTTAAGAATCTGTTTTGATTTGTAATACATTATGAGACACTCGAGTTATTCATAACATAGCATAAAGGCCAAGTAATATTGTATTTTCCATGTGCATAGCATAACTTCTATTTCAGGTATTGTGCCCTTTCTAAACTGTGTGGTATTGTCGGGGTTAACAAACAAACATTGTATGTGATAAGAAACTATCAATCAAACATCACTAGACATAATAATTCACATTGTCATTACCATGATGCTACCTGTTATTCAACTAAGCCTGAAATAGCAATCAGCTGTGTACTCATGTTTTTCTCCAATCTACCAGTGATTCAGCTAAAAACGATCCGAAAATATGACTACAAAGAATTTCTATTCTATTATCAGAAGAATTTAAATCTTAAGCGGTTATACTTGCTGTGATAATAAATATTGCTATCGTGTTGGTATGAAGCATTTTTTATGTACATATTTAACATGATAATTAACACAGGTGGAGACGTTTTGCGTATGGAACAGTTTGACAAGTCACAGTTGACTTCGCGCGGTACATTTGCATTTAATTGTCAAATATGACTTCAATGAGTCAATAACGCAGGTCTTGGGGTCCATGGATGACGAGGTGGTAATCAGTTCGTGATTGCTGAGAATAATGTGAAATTGGTGCTATCACGGTAGGAGCGAAAAGCTGGCCCTCCACGAACATAGTAAGCGGAAGTTCTATCACGCTAAGCCATTTCACACACGTTTTCACTGGTGTTACTGTAAACAGTTTTTAATGAATGAAAATGTGACAAAATTTAATCCAATGAAATGGAATGTAGGAAGATAGGGGCGGAGATGGTTTTATCATTTGTTTTTGACACTATACTTTTTTGCATGGCCGTGTGTACTTGCCGCGTTAAAACATGGTGTGTTGCATCACAGCAAACATTGTAATCACTCAGGTAATGCCTTGTCCTTATTAAAAAGTTGTCTTTTATAAGTTAGTACAACACTCCGTTGTTCATGTGATTAATAATGAAACCCCTGAATGTTTAAAAAAGTATCTGAAATCCTGATCAGTGTTCACCAGTTGCAGGCTCGTAGCAAACCAATGTTTTCGTGCAGGGTTGGGAGTCATCCTGACTCACAGTATTTATTTTTGAGAGTCGTTTTCAATATCTGGGAAGTCTATTGGCTTTCTAAATATAATGAATGACATACACAAATGCTGTTGGCTGGTATCTTTATCGCATTCTAGCAAGGCTCTATATTTAGCCACTCCCGTACTTCATGTTAATATCACCAGCATTTTCAACACAGTTTGCAATAAAACGAAAGCTATCATTGTTTGCTTATCAAATCGATTTTATTGAACTGAATTCTGAGGGTCACTCATAAAGCTTGCGTCAAGCTTGACTCGTATGATAATATTTTGAGAGTCTTTTAAAAAAATTGTTGCGGCAAATACGCAGGAATCATGCGTTATGTAAAACACTGTTCGTTTAAGCCTGATCATTTGGAAAGAGTTATATATAGAGAGTATTAAGTGCTTGCCCAACCTTTTTAGGAAAAGTCATGTGTACGCCCCCTGAGTTGTGAACAATGACTAATTAATGGTAAAATGTTCAGGTCAGACAGATAGCTAATCATCAATGTCTTTTCAAAGTTTGAGGTCAGTTAATAAACAAAAATACTTACCTAGCATTGTCTTATTACTCATGATATATTAGTGACGGTTATAATACGATTACAACTTTGACAGTCACTTCAAATCCTGCACTTCAAGTCTTGTAATGTTTTTAAGTTCAGTTTAATAGACCATGAATTTATGGCACACTTGAAATTGAAATGGCACACTTAAATTATCATGACAGTGCCCATGAGGCATACTTGAAACTTTAGTCCCATAAATTAAGTTGAAAGCAAACTATAAAATATGTTTGAAATAACATGGCATTCATAAATGCACCATCGCCTGCTATATTGAACACACAAATATTATATACTCCAAACATTGCTGGGCTTACTCAATGACAGAAATGGAACCGAGAGAAGCTTATATTATTAGGCATACTCAAGAACCCAGCAGCAGTCTGATATCATAGGCATTGTTTCATCGGGGTTTTGGGTATCGAAGTTCACAAAATATTTGTAAAGTTTGTGGTGCTGCATTCTAAAGGTAGGCCACACTTATAGTAGTTTAAAATTACACTAAGTGAAGACAATGTACAAATACAATAACTGACTGACTGAGTTTGGTTTTACGCCGCTTTTAGCAATATTGCAGCAATATCACGGCGGGGAACACCAGAAATGGGCTTCACACATTGTACCCATGTGGGGAATCGAACCCGGGTCTTTGGCGTGACGAGCGGAAGCATTAACCACTAGTTTACTAAGCAGATGTGTTCTGCCTTATGTCATACCTAATCAAAACCAACTTAAATATAATGGAAATGATTTCATAAAAATTCACTCATCCTATACTAACAGTACAACTTGATAGCAATCGATGTCTTTTTCATTACGCAAGCGTTTTTTATAAATATATTCCGTACGCTTTTGTTTTAAACTTTTTGCTTATCTAACATTTTAAATGCGTGGTAATTGGTAACAATTATTTTCAATGCGTAATTGGAAATTTTCTATGCGTATTTTACTTGGATACGCAGCTTATCTGGGCCTCTGTATGTTTTCTGTATTAGATAATAGTTGGTGTTATCAATAACGAGGAACTGGGTTTCGTTTTATTTTTAACATGCAAATGAGGTCATCCAGCAGGAGCTATTTTTATTGACCTCTGTACATCGATGTGGTGTATATTTGTTTAAAATTATTACACCTAAATTAGATAGTAGCTTTCCTGATATATGAGGGCTTCTGTAAACACATATTTTAGTTGCCAGCGCAATGTTAATCTATGATTGGCAATCTAAATTGATGTACAGCACACCATTTGGCTGTGTCTAAAATAACATTCATGGGCACAAAATCAATTGAAGAAACAGACATCGCTTGTGCTAACATACTTCTCAGTACCTTTGTTCTGTTTTAATCACAGAGTAATCATTTTCTTGTATAAATTTCAATATTTTCCTGCAAACCTAGATCTTCACCATTCAGACATTATCAGAATAGCTTAAAACATACTATATTTAAGAAATGCAGTTCGCTTCTACCACCATGTGTAGTGTAATAAAGCACACTTTCTCCCTGAACTATTATAGTTAAAGCACTATGACGCTTAAACGTTATGATAGTTCAGGGCGAAAGTGTGCTTTATTACACCAAGCATGGTGGTAGAGCGAACTGTATTTCTTTTCTAAGATGCCAAATTTAATACTCTCTAAAGATAATTGCGATTAATCTATGACAGAAAACAAACGACGGTGTCGGTGACCTAAATTAAGAATTATCGCACAGGGATAACTGGCGCGCTGTTCTATTGACGTGTCTGCCACCTTACGTTAAGACGAACGTTACCAGATAAAAACAAATGATAAACAGTTTGATGACGGGTTACGTTCTGATTAAATATCTTTCTAAATTATTTTAATTACATCTGTGAATAACGTAAACCATATGGGGCAATATGAACATCGCATATCTACTATCAATGTAAGTTTAGATCAGTACATCCAGATGAAGCTGAGTAGTCAAGCGACACAAATATTATATACTCCAAACATTGCTGGGCTTACTCAATGACAGAAATGGAACCGAGAGAAGCTTATATTATTAGGCATACTCAAGAACCCAGCAGCAGTCTGATATCATAGGCATTGTTTCATCGGGGTTTTGGGTATCGAAGTTCACAAAATATTTGTAAAGTTTGTGGTGCTGCATTCTAAAGGTAGGCCACACTTATAGTAGTTTAAAATTACACTAAGTGAAGACAATGTACAAATACAATAACTGACTGACTGAGTTTGGTTTTACGCCGCTTTTAGCAATATTGCAGCAATATCACGGCGGGGAACACCAGAAATGGGCTTCACACATTGTACCCATGTGGGGAATCGAACCCGGGTCTTTGGCGTGACGAGCGGAAGCATTAACCACTAGTTTACTAAGCAGATGTGTTCTGCCTTATGTCATACCTAATCAAAACCAACTTAAATATAATGGAAATGATTTCATAAAAATTCACTCATCCTATACTAACAGTACAACTTGATAGCAATCGATGTCTTTTTCATTACGCAAGCGTTTTTTATAAATATATTCCGTACGCTTTTGTTTTAAACTTTTTGCTTATCTAACATTTTAAATGCGTAATTGGTACGCAACAATTATTTTTCAATGCGTAATTGGAAATTTTCTATGCGTATTTTACTTGGATACGCAGCTTATCTGGGCCTCTGTATGTTTTCTGTATTAGATAATAGTTGGTGTTATCAATACGAGGAACTGGGTTTCGTTTTATTTTTAACATGCAAATGAGGTCATCCAGCAGGAGCTATTTTTATTGACCTCTGTACATCGATGTGGTGTATATTTGTTTAAAAATTATTACACGAAATTAGATAGTAGCTTTCCTGATATATGAGGGCTTCTGTAAACACATATTTTAGTTGCCAGCGCAATGTTAATCTATGATTGGCAATCTAAATTGATGTACAGCACACCATTTGGCTGTGTCTAAAATAACATTCATGGGCACAAAAATCAATTGAAGAAACAGACATCGCTTGTGCTAACATACTTCTCAGTACCTTTGTTCTGTTTTAATCACAGAGTAATCATTTTCTTGTATAAATTTCAATATTTTCCCTGCAAACCTAGATCTTCACCATTCAGACATTATCAGAATAGCTTAAAACATACTATATTTAAGAAATGCAGTTCGCTCTACCACCATGTGTAGTGTAATAAAGCACACTTTCTCCCTGAACTATTATAGTTAAAGCACTATGACGCTTAAACGTTATGATAGTTCAGGGCGAAAGTGTGCTTTATTACACCAAGCATGGTGGTAGAGCGAACTGTATTTCTTTTCTAAGATGCCAAATTTAATACTCTCTAAAGATAATTGCGATTAATCTATGACAGAAAACAAACGACGGTGTCGGTGACCTAAATTAAGAATTATCGCACAGGGATAACTGGCGCGCTGTTCTATTGACGTGTCTGCCACCTTACGTTAAGACGAACGTTACCAGATAAAAACAAATGATAAACAGTTTGATGACGGGTTACGTTCTGATTAAATATCTTTCTAAATTATTTTAATTACATCTGTGAATAACGTAAACCATATGGGGCAATATGAACATCGCATATCTACTATCAATGTAAGTTTAGATCAGTACATCCAGATGAAGCTGAGTAGTCAAGCGACATTCCACATTGCCAACGTTATTGTGCAACGTTACCGTGTCGCTGAAAACTTGTTAGTCGAATTGATACATTTTAAACGTCGGAAAACATTAACGTAATGTTTCCACCAGTGACGTTAGCTGCGTGAAGCAACTGCAAACCAAGAAACGGGATGCAACGGAGCAGTTTACTGTAGGAGGCTGTACGAGGCGATGACAACTGACATGCATCATGATGTCGCTTACATTGTGACGTAATGCACAATTGTTCGATCACGAGGGGGCAGACTAGAATGGCATTACATTGTGACGTAATGCAAAAAGTGCACATTATCGTCTGATAAAGTACTGTTGGCGCCTTTGATCTTTCACCGAAGCATCTTAGAATCTTTTTACATATCTGTTGTCATGGAAGGTCAAGGTCACTACCTCAAAAGTAAACATACAGACTGTTTATCACCCTCCTTACTGTTTTATGATGGATATTCATCTACACAATGTCTATGGGATAGACAAACAGTGAAACACTCCCTTCAAATACTCTTACGTCTATTTCACTGCATAAGTGATTTGTTTGCAGCATGCTATGGACAGTTTGACTTTTCTGAACCTATTTAGTATAGAGTTTCATATATCTTGCTAAGAGGTTCATAAGAAATGACTTGAAGATAATACTGAGCTGTCATATTGTCTCCTTTATCATGTTTATGGCCAGTGTTGACAGTCTAACATCAGTTATAGGATACAGCAACCAGGATCAGGTCACTGTGACCTATTCTAAAGAATAGCTTCTGTATATTAAAGGGAGACTAAGCTCTGACTTGTAGTCTGGCACTGCCCACTTGGGCTGATTATTTTCCATGGGTGAGTTTGAAGGCTGACGTAACTGAGTGTTACAAGAGCCTGTGAAGATCCGGGTTAGAATTGATCTTCAGTAATTGATCACTGGATTGTCTGGTCCAGACTCGATTATTTACAAACCGTCACAACATAGCTGGAATATTGCTGAGTGTGGCGTAAAACTAAACTCACTCACACTCAGACTGGGCTACTGTCTGTAATAAACTCTGAGGAAATATACATAGTATACACATCACACACCACATTATACTGAGAAGTCATTTGACATGATAGCAGTTAGATAAAACCACAAAACCATCAACTTGTTGAAGCAAAATCTGAAGCAAGCACCTCAACTTGTTGCCATGGAAATGGAAATTGTTTTTGGGAAAATTCCCACAAACCACTAGGCACTAGTTTAGTATATGCCTGATGTGTATATAAGGGTTAAAAAACCTCTAGTTTTTAACAAAATCACTGATTTTCTTCCCATTTAGACACTTAGTTGGAATCCTTGATAAACAACCTTGATGTATTAGTTGCTCTATTCCTCCCAGACATATGGTAAAGATGTTATAATGTGTGGAGCATAGTTCTTGCCACATTAAGCATCAGTGACCCCAGAACCATGAGGTCAGGTGTACATTGTAATACAAAGAAGTTACATCTGTCAACAAATCCATCTGTACCAAGACATTTTAGTTCAAAACTATCAGTTGGATCCTTTTCAAATTTGGGGACCACTTTCTTTGTCTGAAGAAAAGATGCAGTGCAAATTTTGATTATCATGTTTTAATTTACAACAATTTACAAATTTGAACTTAGGAAATATTTGTTGAACTTGAATTGTTTGAATTCTTTTCAAATTTGGAAAACAGTTTCTTTGTCAAAAGGAGAGGTTCTGATTTTCCAATTTTTGAGAGTTATGTCAATTTACATATTGTGAACTATATGAAAAAAGATAGGGGAATTTTAGTTCAACGAATAACTTTAACACATGTTCAAGTTTGATGACCACCTTCCGTATCTATGAGAGAGATGCAGTGCAAAAGTTTATTGTGATATTTTAAATTTATCAAGAATTAACACAATTTTCGTCTCTTGAACTCAGGGAGAAGTGTCTCCTAGTGGTGGCAAAATGTGTTTAGTATTGTCATCCGCCATATAACAGGAATATTGCTGAGTGCAGCATTGAACAACAAACAAACAAACTAGTACTGTTTTTTAGTTAAGTTGTGACTCATGGTCGAGGGTATTTGTGATCCTTGTTCAGATTGTTTTGCCATATTTAGATGAAATGTTTTCAAAACTCTCTATCTTTGTGTTTTAGGTGACATCAGAATAAAGAAAGACAACCATGAAAGCAGATCACCACACAAAGACAGGCATAGAGGTCACCATTCACACAGCCAAGACAAGAAGGATTCTAGTCACCATCCTGACCAATCCCAACACCATAGTCGACATCACAATCGCCACTCCCACTCACACAAGTCTCCTGTGTCCAAAGACCACACTGTGGGCTATCACAACGCTAAACAGGAGAGTGTGAATGGATCCATCTCAAACGATCGTTATGGTACCGACAAGCGTTCTTTGAAAGTTGAAGCAGTTAAAACAGAAGTGACTACCAAGGTAGAACCCCCAACTTCTTTGAATCGAACTGTTGGTCAATCCAAACCTGCCAACAGTCAGCCAAGAACACCGACGAAGAAACGGATTGTTAGCAACTGTGGTGTCCAGGTTAACCTGAGACGTCGAACCGATACAAAGTCGGTTCAAGTGTCCCTTGGCCATCCTAGTGGTTCAGTTCACCGAGTCACCAATGGAGACAGACATCATTCTCCAAAGGAACACCTTGTCAGCCATCAAAAGCCAAGAATGAAGATCTCTCAAGGAACTCAGACTTACGAAGCAGTTGCACCTCCAGTTACAACCTTACCTCCTTCATTGAACTATGTTGCTCCTACTGCAAGCTTTGATACTAAAGTCCATTTGAACAAAACACAGGCTCAGGTACCAGGACTCATTCAATCGAAATATAGCAAGTACATCCATGTGGAAAAGTATACCAACGGGAGGGGCGTACGTCGTGCACACGTACCAAGATGAATTGTCAGACCTCAGCAAGGAAGAAATGGAAGAGTTTGTGTCGGAATATTTTGATCTTGTGTATGGGGAAACGAACGGTTCTGCCAATTTCGTAATGGGTATTGTCCATCGGTCGGCTGAAAACTTGCCTGACTTTATAGACTATTTCGGTGATTTGTATCCCAATCTCACCGTAAAGGCAGGTGTTCTGGGAAAGTCAGACATTGAAACAATGACAATATCTAAGTACAGGGAACAGGTGATAAAAACGTATCAAAACGGAACTTACAGGTCAGGTCCACTCTTGCAGATCAGTCTAGTTGGAACAGTTCATGAAGAAGTCGGAGACTATTTCCCAGAATTCCTGGATATATTGGAAGGAAATCCTTTCCTTAATCTTGTGATGCCTTGGGGGAAACTGGCAGCTATCAAACTGAATTCACGAACTGAAAGTAATGATGGTCCGATATTATGGGCCCGGCCTGGTGAACAACTCGTACCGACAGCTGACATGCCAAAGTCTCCGTTCAAAAGAAAAAGGTGAGTTCCAGTATATATAAACTGTTGTTGTTTGTGATCTGTCTTCTATGGTAATGAGTGAGAGAGTGATTTTAGTTTTACTGCTTTTAGCAATAATCCAGTTATATTACGGCAGGGGACACCAGAGGCTTCACACATTGTACCCATCAGGGGAATCGAACCCGGCCTTCAGCGTTATGAGCGAACGCTTTAACCACTAGGATACCCTACCGCCCCTTCTCCCATGGTATGGGATTCTGTGATTTTAGTTTTAATTACTTTTAGCAGTATTCCATGTGTATCACGGCAGGGGACACCAGAAATGGATTCCACACATCATACCATGTGGAGAATCAAACCTTGGTCTTCGGCGTGATGAGCGAACGCCGAAGGTGTCCCAAAAGTTCAAGGCCCTGTGTGCCATTGTGCAAAGCAACCTTATCGCTACAACTGTCGTAAGTCCATGTTAAGATATGGGAATAACGTTCCCCTTAGAGCTACAACTGTCGTAAGTCCATGTTAAGATATGGGAATAACGTTCCCCTTAGCCCTACAACTGTCGTAAGTCCATGTTAAGATATGGGAATAACGTTCCCCTTTGCGCTACAACTGTCGTAAGTCCATGTTAAGATATGGGAATAACGTTCCCCTTAGCCCTACAACTGTCGAAGTCCATGTTAAGATATGGGAATAACGTTCCCCTTAGCCCTACAATGTAGATAAGATATGGGAATAAGTCCATGTCGTAAGTCCATAAGATATGGGAATAACGTTCCCCTTTGCGCTACAACTGTCGTAAGTCCATGTTAAGATATGGGAATAACGTTCCCCTTAGCCCTACAACTGTCGTAAGTCCATGTTAAGATAAGATATGGGAATAACGTTCCCCTTAGCCCTACAACTGTCGTAAGTCCATGTTAAGATATGGGAATAACGTTCCCCTTAGCCCTACAACTGTCGTAAGTCCATGTTAAGATATGGGAATAACGTTCCCCTTATGCCTACAACTGTCATAAGTCCATGTTAAGATATGGGAATAACGTTCCCCTTAGCCCTACAACTGTCGTAAGTCCATGTTAAGATATGGGAATAACGTTCCCCTTAGCCCTACAACTGTCGTAAGTCCATGTTAAGATATGGGAATAACGTTCCCCTTAGCCCTACAACTGTCGTAAGTCCATGTTAAGATATGGGAATAACGTTCCCCTTAGAGCTACAACTGTCGTAAGTCCATGTTAAGATATGGGAATAACGTTCCCCTTAGCCCTACAACTGTCGTAAGTCCATGTTAAGATATGGGAATAACGTTCCCCTTAGAGCTATCATTGCTTTGTACAACAGCAGCAGGATTATGTTTCTTTGTTCATCAGCACTGCACACTGTCTTTCTGGATTCACAAGGGGAACAGGTAACACCTGCATTACTTCTGGGAGGTGGGGTAGCCTAGTAGTTAAGTTGTTCGCTCGTCGCGCCGAAGATCCGAGTACGATTCCCCACATGGGCACAATGTGTGAAACCCATTTCTGGTGTCCCCCCGCCCTGATATTGCTGGAATATTGCTTAAAGCGTAAAACTGAACTCATGTGTTATGATATAACTGAAATATTGTTCAAAGTTGGTTCAGAGACAACACAGTATCATCCTTACAACTATACTTACAACTTTGTATTAAGACTATGTATGTATTTGAGCATGAGAATCACCATTGACATTAAGCATTTAGAACTTGTACATGTGCAACCTGAAACTGACAGATGCAACCTCAAGTGTATGTTTTCAAGGCAGAGGTACAGATAAGCTGCGTATCTGCGTAAATTACGCAAATATTTATGTGAAAACTCAATTCCTATTAAGTCTATTGCGTACAAGTACGCTTGAATTTTTGTAAATACTCAATAAATGTGATCTTACACGCGTACACACAAAAATGTCAAATCTTAATATGCGTACCGGTGGATAGATACTATAACTGAGGTATACTGAGAGGTTCTATTTCAGGATATGAACTTGACAACTTGCAGTTTTTCTTATAGCTTCTCATATTACAGATCAAATATAAATAAAAAACACTCAAATTTAAACTTTATTATATTTTTAAATTATTGGAAAATGGCAAAATACCCAATTGAGTTTGAGTGAGATGAGTACAATGTATTTGGTTACTCAAAGGAAAATTAGGATACCCAATTGAGATGAACACAAGCGAGTACATAACTCAATGACCCCAAAAGTTATCTGTAGCTCTGTTTCAAGGTATCAACTCTGTAAATTTATCCAGAAGTAATCATACCACTTATTCTGTTCTTTAAGAAACCAAACTAGAAAAAACCTAACTGTGCTATTTTAAGTATGTTGGGGACATTAACATGAAGTTAATGTTGCCATTGATTCGTTAGCTTTTGTCATGGAAGATTGTATATGCACTAGGTTTGCTTATGTTTCACTACACTATGTATGAGTTTCACACAATACATACAAGAATCTGGCTTGCATCAGTGGCTGATCCAATAGACAGTGATTGAACAACAGCTATTGTTCATGTTGTGAAATTTTATGAAGCAAGATGAAATGATCTTACCAGTGATCTTAATATTGATCTTCATATTGATCTTCAGCAACCCATGCTTGTCGTAAGAGGCGACTAACGGGATCAGGTGGTCAGGCACATGGTTGACACATGTCATTGGTTCCCAATTGCGCAGATCGATGCTCATGCTGTTGATCACTGGATTGTCTGGTCCAGACAATTTACAGACCTGTATACAACCTCACGAGGACTGATATTACCCTTTATTTCCCGAGACACGATGTGATAACTTATATTGCACTATGCAATTCTTGATAGTGTTCAGGAAACCCAACTCTCAAGTTCACAGGTTTACATGATGTTTACAGATTTATTAAACAGTAAATTGAAATGACATAATTGTTTTAATGTTTTAAGTTTATTTGGGTCATCAACTGGTATGGGCACACAGATTTTCACAAAGGCACACCAAAATTATCTGTTTGGCGCCCAGGTGCATCCTATGGAAAAACTGCATTTCTATCTCTGGTAACTATCATTAACCAGCAAAATACTTAGGAAATACTTCTTGCTGCCTGATTTTCAACCTTTCATTTACTTCAAAAGTTTGGCAATTAAAATACAAGAAAAATCCTGGAATCTTTGGATGGTCGTCACAATACCACCAATTTTCATATCAGCTCAAGGACATTTAATTATTTCACAAAAGCTGCACAATATGTCCATTGTAGTTAGCAATATTGTTAGGCTCAGAATTTTTCAGCCAACCTTTATTTTTAGTGACACAAAATCATGTAGACCAATGTTCATGTATGTATGACATGATCATTATGAGGATATTTAAATTCATAGCACAGATTTCCAGGGCTCCAGATAAGGGTCGCATTGGCGTATGTACGGCTAAAAAATATGCATGATACGGTAGGAAATAATTTAGAAAACGTAGCAGATACGCATCACAGCAATGGTGTATGGTCTCAGAATCATTTACAGACGTATTTATCTGAAAAAGTATTATTTTATTGTTTATTGCCCCATTTACACCAGAGTAGCGATGTTGTGGTGCATATATGAAACGAAACACAATACTGATCCTGCATTAAATTCCATTCAGTACTCGAAATGTACTCTTAAGGTTTTCCAGTACTCCTATATTACAAAATATGAGGAGTACGTACTCCTGATGTTGAAAAATTATCTGGAGCCCTGGATTTCTATAAATCTGCTTTTTTATGGTACATATATATGTCATGTTTTCCTTGTAAATGTCATGCATTTAAACTTCCTGGTTATTTAGATTTTTACATATCTTCCAGTTAAGTTCTAAGACATCCACATACTAGTAGTTACCGTATTTGTTTCATCATTGATTAACAGTTTTCCATGTTTTCTGTCTAGAATGATTTGGGATTTGTGTAACTGGAGCGCCAACAGTTTCAAGGACAGATAGAAATTGTGTTTTTCAAATAAGCCATAGGGCACTTATCAGGAAGATGTTCCAGTGTGCCATAAAGATTTTAAATGTGTTTGTGTGAAGTGAAGAATATTTTTGGGTTATCTGTAATGTCATTTCATTATGGTCTGGGTAATAAGCCATTGCAAATGTAATTTTCGAAATTTTGTGAACAATACTGTATATAAAGTGCATTGATACATTAATTTCTCCGTGTTTTTCCAATTTTCTGGTGCAGAAGTAAATTCAATGGTTAAGTGATCTTTAAATAATATAACATTTTTGTTTGGAAAATATCTTTACTAACAGTCTGTGACTTTCAGTTAATCCCTTCTTTTGCCTTTGTAACTGCCTTTCAGAAACTCTAACATGACCCATGGTCCCTAGTATGGTGATCTACCTTCAGTTGTTGGCGATCTATAGCCCATTTTTATACTGTGTTGTCCTAATTTGAAATCCAATTTTAGAGAGTTGCTAGTTTTATGCCTTGATATTCTAGTTGATTTTACTGTCCTTCGTCGGGAGGTTTTTTAATTTATATGTATTTATGGTGAATTCACAACTTGTTTATAGTCACAATATGGCTGAAATATTGCTGATGTGACTTAAAATCTTAACTCACTCACTCATTCTAACATAATATTTACAGCAAATTTCAATTCTAACAGTGCTGTATTCGATGAATTTCAAACCCAGAGAAGACATGAAAATACAGACAGTGGCAAGCACAAACCAGTATTTCAGTATTTTTTATAAATGGAAACGCCCAAGTATATTTTTATTTCCAGGGTTCCAAATTCATTTCCTGGTACTTTCGTTGTATGAGAGCAACAATAGAAACTGGAACCAGTTTTGTAACCTGTGATTATCCGTGTTGGCATTGATCTTCAGTAACCCATGTTTGTCGTATGAGGCAACCAAAGGGATCGGGGGTTCAGGTTGGCTGACTTGGTTGACATATGTCATCGTATCCCAATTGCGTAGATCGATGCTCATGCTGTTGATCACTGGATTGTCTGGTCCAGACTTGATTATTTACAGACTGCTGCCATATAGCAGGAATATTGCTGAGTGCAGTGTTAAGCTTGACTCACTCACTCACTCACTCACTCACTCACTCGAAACTCGAAACTCTTTGCAAAACTGGCTAATAGGACAATTTTGCCACTACTCAGGGTTTTGGTGTGGGTTATCATCTCAGGTAATCAATTGTACATGTCACATGCATCAATTATGAACAGGATGGCATCATAAGAATTCCAATGAAGGCCCAATGAACATGAAGGGACAAACCTTATTACAAACAACAGCTTATCAATCCAGCCAATGCTAACTGTGAAATGATATTCACCAAGACCAAAGATTGATCAACAGTACTCTGCCTCCACTTAGTTCCATAGGGCACATCAACAAATCAGGGATAGAAATACATTTTTTTTAAAGTGTGCCTTAGGGCACCAGGCAAAGATTTTAAGTGTGCCTTTCAGAAATCAAGTGTGCCCACATCTTTTACAGAATGAATGACTGTAGCAATGATGATGATAATTTGAAGAATTTTGTGACAGGTTCACTTGTTCAATATATCAATCATACACAATTACCTCCTCAATACTCGAACTATCAGTACTCCCATCACTCTAAATGGAAAAACAACCATATTTTTTTATATCATCCATCATAATTCCACTGATTTCCTGGGCGATAAAGTCAATAAATGTTTTTGCCTGTTTGTCATTGCGTAAGTGTTTTGTTTTGGGGATTAAATGACTAGAGGTGAGTTATGTCTCTAAAACTTTAGGCGTGCCTTAAGGGCACCAAGAACCTTTTTTATCCGTGCCATTTCAATATTTACTGTGCCATGGCATGCTAATATATGGGGTATTTCGAACCCTGCAAATCCATTTGAGTTGCCTGTGACACACCTGCGAAAACGTCTGATACCTGCCGAATTTGATGATTGGAGTATCAGTGACTTCTTGTTGAAGAATAATCAATTTTATTGCATTTGAAGAAGATCCTCTGTGTTCTCTCTAGCCTTATGTTATTATCCATGGTAGTCCAAGTGACATACAGGATTTGCACAAATCATTCCCTATGAATGAGGGGCAATTGTTGATATGAGTGAGTGAGTGAGTATGGTTTTACGCCGCTTTTTAGCAATATTCCAGCAATATCATGGCGGGGGACACCAGAAATGGGCTTCACACTGTTGATATGAAATATGTCAGTAGGTTTGTATATGATCCAATGTTTTGCATGATAAGCTGTGGTTGTGTGTTTAGATTTATGAAATCTCGGTAGTTAACCTATTAATCATGTTATGCCTGCTTCTTTCTTTGAGGGATGGGGTAGCTTAGTTTTTAAAGTGTTTCCTCATCAAGCTTGTGATTCCATTCCATTGGTAGAATGTGTGATGTCGGTTTCTGGTGTCCCCCTTGCAATATTGCTGGAATATTGCTAAAAGTAGTGTATAAAACATGGCCCGTCCCACCGTCCTTGACGGTCTATTTTTATGAAGGAGGATCTATTAAGTAAGTAAGACCGTTCTTTGGTCGGGGAAAATGTTTGTAATAATAGACTTACCTGGCTTGATTTGATCTTTGTCTTATCTATTATGTTTTCATTGTTTTAGTTTTAGGGACTGGCTGTGTTTGTTCAGGACTGGTCGCTTTTTGGACAGCCAGTCCTTGGATAGGCCATATTTCAAAACTATTTTATACATCGCTAAAAGTCTTGTAAACTGCTCTCACTTAGACGTTGAAGCTTTTTTGGTTTTTGTTTAAAGAGGCTTGAATGAGCTGAAGAATCTACATTACCTGCCCCGAGCCACGGAGCCAAGAGAAGTCCTGGTGGAAGACCGTACCCGTTGCCACGCTGATCACATTGGGCAGGGGTTTGACCGCTTGACAACAGCGGCAGTTGGTGTTCTCAAGGCTGTCAACTGTGGAGAAAAGTAAGCTAGAGAGGATTCACATATTTGTGAGAGAAGGAAGATTGGAACTGTGGATTGGATGTGCCATGGCACACGTTGTGATGTCTGGTATATCTCTGTACATTAGTCCATTCAATGTTAACCAGTGTATTATGTAAAATTCCATATTGTAGTGATACATTTTTGCATCATTACTTTTAATGCTGATTCTTGTAGTGTACAAATAATTCTAAGAGCTAATTTGATGTGACTACCATAAAGTAACATAGACTTTCAGCAGTTTTAGCGCTACGGTTGTTTTGTAGAACGGCACACATTACTTTTGAGGCTGGTTCTTGAACAAAGCCATCTTAGTGTTAAGGTGATCGTGACTACCATACCATAACATAGACTTACGACACTCTTAGTGTTAAGGTGATCGTAACTACCATACCATAACATAGACTTACGACACTCTTTGTGTTAAGGTGATCGTGACTACCATACCATAACATAGACTTACGACACTCTTTGTGTTAAGGTGATCGTGACTACCATACCATAACATAGACTTACGACACTCTTAGCGCCAAAGGTTGTTTTGTATGTTACTTTTGAGGCTGATCCTTATGGCACAATGCTAAATATAGCCTCTAGCTCCACTGTTGACGAAGAAACACAAGGTACTGAGTTATAATGACACCCCAACAAACTGAATTCTCATTATCTACAGGTAGATAGAGTGTTTGCACATTACAAACATTATCAATATGTAGACATGAAAATTAGTGTCTATACTGCTTCTTTTCATTTTTAGATATTTTTGAATACTGGTTCTTCAAATCGTTCCAACCCAGTCACCATGGTTACACCAACACTTTTTTTTCTGTTCATGGATTGAATGACCAGAGCAAAAACTTCAGACACAAACATTCTAAAAATAGTTATAGTTATCTTTGTTTGCCAGATTGCTCTCTGCCATGTGTACTAGATGTTTTAGAAATATATATTGATAAAGCTATAAAATTCATTCAGAGTTAATAAACCAATTAATATCTTATTTCTTTGTCTGTAGGTACATTGAGAAAAAAAAGTGTGATGAAAAGTGGCCAGTTTTCGAATATAGTGCTTAATTCAAAGCAGTGTGCGAAATAGTTTCCAAATTTGGCTAGCCAATCAGGTTAGCTATGCCTGAAACTTACTAGCCCAGAAAATAGTTCACTAGCCCAAAATTTGAATGTAGAAACGAAGCAAAAGATTACAAAAAGGTAAAATACCATCATTTATCAGGCCATAATCTTGTATGATTTAAAAGTGTATTATAACTTACGATTTTTACTAGCCATGAGCTAGCCAGCCACTGATTCAAGGCCTAAATTTTTCTCTTTCCCTGTTCATGTTTTCGACTCTTGCTGACTGAATCGTAATGCTAGACGTGCTAAATGCAATGCCTTTTATTTCAGAGACCACACAAGAATTGTCAAGGATGTAATCTGTTTTGATGCAAAAGACTTCTTTGATTTGATGAACAAGTTGCACCTGGATTTACACGAGCCCCCTGTATCACAGGTGAGTCCACACACAGAGCTTTTGATTATAAATAATATGATCCCCATGGAGTTGAGATTGATAATATGATGTGCCGTTTGAGTTTGACATTCAATGATTGAGGGAAAATGAAAGCGCCTTTGAGCAGCTGAGCTGGATATTGGCACTATACAAATGTTAGTATAATAGTGATATAATATATATACTATTTAGTAAATGTTAAGAGTAATACAGAATCCTCAACAGTATATTTAATGGTACTACTTCTTGGTTTAAGAGAGGTGCTTCTCTCTCATTTTGTACTGTTAAACATGCATAGTTCAGTCCAGATTGTTTTTTAATTCTTCCAAACCTGCAAGTGTTGTCTGGGTAGACTTGTGGTGAAGTCATTTTCATGTCAGTCTGTAGACCCTCATTCAACACACTAGTAAGACGTGTGAAGTCAATTCTTAGCCACCTCTTCACTTAAGTGATGTGGCTGGAATATGTGCTGAAAAAAGCGGACGGCCTAACTCACTGAGACATTTCAACCCAACTTGCAACCCAAACCAAACCGTTCAATCCTGAAAGAATGGCTGGAAACAGCAGCCTAATTGGCAGCAGTAGTCAATACAGAACTTTCATGGTGATCCTTAAGTCCAAGGGACTTTTGTAAAAATTAGAGTTAAAAGTGCAGTGAAATGAAAGACGATGTAGATAATTGTGAATGAAATGTTTTATCTATGAACCACCTAACTTTGGTTAAATTACAAACTATTATTGCATTGAATGGTTATAAATGGCTTTTAAAACCCTTCATGCTAAGGAAAACAACAGAATATTGTCACTTAATATATGTTCAATATATATTCAATAGTCCCCATCTTATTTCTAATTACTAGTGTGTGACCTGGGTCGAGGACGCTAAGTTGAACCAGCTCCACAGAGAAGGTATCCGTTACGCTCGCATTCAGCTTTGTGATGACGACATCTACTTCATCCCACGCAACGTCATCCACCAGTTCAAGACAGTATCTTCAGTCACCAGCATCGCTTGGCATGTCCGACTAAAACAGTACCATCCTGAATTGCAAAACTCTACAACAGACTCTGAGGAAAACGTGTTGTCAGAGAGCAGTGTCACTGAGGAAAGGTCCTTTAGTGAGACCGAGTTGAAATCAGATATAGTCAGTCATGTGCCCGAGCCAGAGAAGGTTCTGTCGCCCGCAGAGGTCGTGACCCCAGTGACGCCAGTCAAGGTCGAGACCCTGAACCCTGAAACCTCATGATCAAGATTGCATTGTCCATATTCTCACATCTGGAGGACAAACTCATACAGTGGTTATTTTGTACTTGCTCCCACATTTCACAATGGACAGGATGATATTACGATATATTCCCCGAGTTTCTTGTAGATTTGGCATTATTTTTGTGAAGTGCATCATTGAGAAAAGTGCTACCGAAAGGTGTTTCCTGATAGTGTTTTATGTGACTTACAGTTTGGACACAAGTGTCATATTCATACAGGATCTATGGTGGAGGCTTTGTACATGCCAGTTTTATCCCTCTGTGTCGTATCTTGATTTACCCAAATATGCCCTTGATGAATAATGTCTCGTATCTGTGTCTGGGTCACACACTATGTTTCAACACTATCACATGATCGTCGTCAAATAGATCCGTCCAATCGCTTCTGTTGTTTATATTCACTATTTGTCAACTCTAAGATATAGACAGACAAGCTTTTTGGAAGCCTGGGGTGTACTTGCACAAATTGATCTTAGATCTTCGCTGATTGTTAATTCCAATACTTTGACTTCAATACCCATCGCGTTAAGATCACTTTGTGCATGTGGGCCCTGGTGGGTTTAGGGATACTTATGCAGAGTTGTGTCCCTTTGCTGGCTGACATGCAGATCATGGATTTGACTCAAGAATTCGCAGTCCTTGTCATGTCAGCACCTTATTCCTGTGAGTGACTTTGACCAATTTTACTCTTTTGGTCTAAGTCATTCTGCATATCCTCTGACCATAAGCAGATAATGTTGTATGACTGCGTCATGATCACACCCCATTACGAAACATGATATAGTTTATCATCCCAATTTATCTTTCACCCGTCAAAATGATTTCACAAGTAATTTTTGTATGGAAACAATGAACTAATGGTATGCCTGAGAGCACTTATGCATACATATTTCCTTGAATGATCCTATTATAAAGACAGTTTCATTTGTCAGTAGCTCATTTCCTGTTTATGATTATCACTATTATTACAGGTCAGAATGTTAAGTTATTCATTTCAATTGCTAACTTATTGTTGTACATATATTACTGTACGTTTGTGTTTGTAGTTATTTAATGAACTAACACCTAACTGGACCCATTTATGTGAGGGATATATTCCATGGAATAGTCATCAAAGGGAAATAACCCTTAGTTAGATTGTCTCCCCTTTGCCATTAGACCCTTGCTTGATAACGGCATTACCAATATTGCTTTCCTCAACATCATTTCACTGAAAAGCAGAATGTTATGAAGTATGCTTACAGTTTTGTCTTAGCCTCCGAAATATGGACATTATTTCATAAAGTCCGCTCGATGTCACAAATGATCAAAAGACGCTTTTTACGTTGAGCACCTTATCCAACAGGTGTAATTTTGTCATGTATGCTCTTGTGAAAAGATTGAAGCCTTTTTTCAGTACCAATTGCTCAGTTTTGTTTCAGGAGATAATTACAACACACCTTCTTCTCAAACATCACCATAATATGTACAAATCATTGTAGTCTGTCAGAGATATTTAAGTTATGCCATTTGGGGATGTCTTTAATCAGCAGTTCATTAGATTAGACATTTAGCATCTGTAAGAGAAAATCTTTCCGCTGCCTCAATTCCTAACATTTACCAGTCTTAGACAAAGTGTTTGAGGACAAAATGGAAAATTGACTTTAACAGGCTTTAAAAATATGTTGGACTTAGTATGAAAGTGTACACATAAATGTATCGTCAACACACTCAGTTCATAGAAAGTACTCGAAAGTGTGTATGTGTTTGCAACCTCAGGTGCCGTCTAGTTTTAAACATTATTCATGTTGTGAATATGTGTTGAATTTTATATTTTATCACCCTGTTTGAAGTTCTAGATCAGAGTTGTACATGTAGACTTCATGCCATGTTACAAGCAATAAAACCTGAAATGACCTACCTTGATGATATATGTATCGTACACTCTTATCAAGTCCATGTTTGTGTATGATTCCAGGAAAACCAGATTTGTCCTTTCAAGTACATATTTGTACTCGATAATATATCAGGCTGAACTTTTGTAATTGTTCAGTTACATGAATTTACTTATGTTACCTAAGTTATATACAATTCTTTTTCGATTGACATTCAGGTGAAATATTTGGACAAAATCAGTCATGTATTTGATACTAGCAACAGAGTTTGTTTTGGTCAGCCAAAGAAGTTGACAAGAAAATGACAAACGACCATGGCCCAGTTTCACAAGGTGACCTCAAGTGGGATGAGCAATCATCTTAACGCTGCAATTGGTTTGTGATTGCTTGTCATTTACATATTTACAATTCTTTTAAGTAATGTATAGACTCCAGTTCTTTATATGCCTTCAATGTTTTCAAGCCATCTGCTGTGTACATTTTGCAGACAAAGCAATTAACATTGTTGTGGTAACATGGAAGAATCAGGTGTTTAATTCTTTCGAGTAGTATATATGCTTCTCAAACAGCTGAAGACCCGAGTTCGATTCCGCATATGGCATTCTGGTGTCCCTTGCCGTGATATTGCTGGAATACTGCTACAATCGGCGTAAAACTAAACTCACTCACTCACTATCTCCCAAACAGCGCCCCATTTCTGGTATCCCCCGCCGTGATATTGCTGGAATATTGCTAAAAGCGGCATAAAACTAAACTCAGTCAGTCAGTCAGCCAAACAGCATATTCTTGTGTTTTTGGCAATAAGTGCCATTTTTTTAATATGATCAACAAAAATGAATCAATGATGGTTCTCTTTTTGTGGGTCATGGTTTAGATTTGTTGTCACAGTCCGCAATACTTATGTCATGTTGACTTGTAAATAACAAAATCTGGCCAACACAAATTCCTGTTCCTGAAAATCTGAACTTTTTAAACTACAAATATTCTTCATTTTTATGTGATGCTTGTTTGTTGTGTCTGTGTACATGAAATAAGTGTATCGACCATCACAACAATCTGCTGATAGGAGTTATTCCCCTTTGGGCAGTTGCGTAGATCGATACTCATGCTGTTGATCACTGGATTGTGTGGTCCAGACTCGATTATTTATAGACCACCGCCATATAGCTGGAATATTGCTGAGTGCGGCGTAAAACTAAACTCACTCACTATCCCCCGTGGGCATGCCAGGATGATGTGATCTTGAGTTTGAATCTCAAATTTGATACATGCTGATTATGATCCTGTTCAGCACCAAACCTGTGCTTGTGAGTTTCAAACACGTAAAACCTCACTTCGGGATTTACTCTCACAATCAGCTGGCATGCTGTGATATGACTGAAGCTTGTGATATGTTATTCAAAACAGTGTTAAACCCAACTCTCACTCAGGACATATTTGACGCAGCAAATGGCTAAAAAACATTACAGGTGTATGAACCAATGTGATGAATACAGATTGCTTAAGGATGTAATGTTTAAGAACATATGCTTTGGTTAAGTGAGAAACATTGCTTTGGAGAAGAAATACACCTTATTTTGGTCATCTCATGTCTTTAAAGCTTTTCCCACACAGCGACATGTTTGTCTCCACTGTTTCAGCCCTGTCTGACACTGGTCTCTACCATTCGAATCTAGATTTGTCAAATGAGTGTTTTAGTTGACTGCATTGGACCTGTTTTATCTTGAACGGTGTGATAGTTTACATATATTTTACAATTCTTTTTGACTTTGTTAACTGTTCAAGAAAGATGTTGTTGATATTTGTGACTGTTTTACACTTTAGTGAGTTAATTGTAGTGTTTCATTGATATTATTATAAGCAAACGGATACGATGTTTGTGCCTTTTATATTAACTGAATGTTTTCTCTCTCTATGCAGTTGAGAAATTCTAAGTATTTTTCCACAGTGTTAAAACAGTTTCTTTTATTTTATTAGTAAATTTAGAGGAATGTAATTGGGACATTGAATGAAGCAAGATGCTTGTTTAGTATGGCACAGTAATAGATACAATATTATAACAGTGATGGAATTTACATTGGGTTTTTTTCTTTAAAAAGTACATGCTCTGCGAATTCACTGTCATTCATGAATAGCTCAAGAAAGCACTCCCAACCATCTTCTAGACCAGTTTGTAAGTAATCTTTAAACTGCTACTTGTCAAGCCAAAACATTAATGTAACAGTCCGTTTATTGTTGTCATATATTAAATGATTTTGACAGGAAATATGACAGTGTATCGTCTATATTCTACAGCATCAAGTTTAGAATGTATTCTGTTTTGATATATGTCTTTAAAAAAAAACAGCTAGTGTAACTACAGTTTTGAGGATTTCATTCATAGTTCGATAAGAGTTGCAGAAAGTCACTGAATGGAACAATGATGTGGAACATTGTTTAACGAATCATAGTGCACAGGAGGTATAGTATATTCATGGTGATTGTTATGTCCAGTTAATACAAGAAAAGACAAATATTGTTTTCACTCTTTTATAAAGGCTTACCTTTAAAGGAAATACAGTTGCAGATCCTCTTGTAAGTTGCACATCCCCTAACAATTACTGCAACTAAGTTCATTCGCTACTATTTTGTCTCAAAATTATTCTGATGTATGGTTCTATTAGGTGCCCCCATTTATCAATTTGCTTGAAAACCGAGGATGTTTTTTATGGGGAATATGGTGGTACCCTTTGCTGATAGTCGACTGAAAATGGCATATCTCAGTTTTTGTATTCATTCCTCATAGAGAAGAGACAATCGGTACTTAAAGTGGGGAAGAAAGAATATGTTCCTTTGTCCTGTAGGACCTGTTTGTATTCTATTGATGTTATTGCAAGTCAATCAGTTATCTCCCTTTGGTTTGTAGTTTACATAGAACATTAAGGGTGGATAAAGTTCATTTGTTTTTTTGTTTGCAGAGCCCTTAGTATGATCATATGAAACTGTTCTAATGTCTCATCACTTCTCATTCCCAACTTTAATGTGCAGTTCTAAAGAAATTAAGTGAAGATATTGTGAACAAATATAGTACAAAATATTGACAATCTGGTACATTTACTCCTCTTTTAATAGGGATCTTTATATCTTTCCATGATACAAATGTGTACCCAACTGATTGTTAAATCTGTCAAGTGTATATTTGAATAACATATTGGATTATCCTTATGAAAAGTTGAGGTGTATTTTTGTGATGAGTAACGAGACATTAATTGGCATTCTTAATGAAGATCATTTCTGTGCCTACTTAAGTTTTATATAGAACCTCTTTTGTCTTTGGTTAAGTGAGTAACTGTTGCATTAAAACATTTTGAAAACAAATCATTTCTGGTTGGATCAATAGAATACTTGCAGAATGTTGTTTTGTTTTCTGTTGTTACCACTTGTAACCATGGTAACACAATAGAACAATTATAGTTTGTATTATAGTCAGTGTTAGTTGTTGATATATTTTTCTACTCAAAGATTTGCTGTGCAAACATGAACTTGTTTTAACATTTGCACATTCTTTTGGATATTTTGTGCAAATGTCCTGTGTTCCTGTGTGAGGCAAATTGATGAAGTAATTTGTTACATTTTTTGTGAGTTGAATCACAATATTTGCCGTATTTATTAGCGTAACATATGTACATATTGTCATTCATGACCTACTTGTTTCTGATTTGCTCTTATGAGTGTGAAATCCCATACTGTTGTCACATTCCTGCATTGTTATATTTTGCCACTAAATTCATTTTGTAAATTCCCAAAAGAAATTATTAGGAAAGCTATATGCTTCTTTCATACCATTAAACTCATAAATAATATCGCCATGTAACTGCCTTCACTACTCAACTCATAACTTCATGAAATTTGATTTTGCAAAAACAATTAGAATTGCCTTTAAAGAATCATTGAGAGATTGATTCAATATGAACAGAAAAGATAAATGTGATAAGTTATTTTCTGATTTGTGCATAAAGTGTCCGTGACTTTCTCATCAAAGGAAGTTAGAAGAAACACCCAAATCTTTTTCTTCTGATCTTTTTCTTTCTTTTTTTTCTATGACTGCTTGTAATCTGTCTTGGCTTTGGGATATTACCTTCCAATTCTGGGGAGGTAGCTTTGTGGTTCAAGTGTTCCCATGTCTTGCCAATGGGCTGGGTTCGATTCCCCACTGGTTACAACGGGTGAAGCTGATTTCTGTTAACCCCCTGTTGTGATATTGCTGGAATATTGCTAAAAGCAGTTTAAAACCCACTCACTCACTCCCTTTGTAGGTGATCTTTAACTTGTTTTGAATAGTATATGTCAAACATGCAAGGAAAGAGAGACGTTCCTTTCTCTATATTTGTAATTTACAAACTCTTCCATTTGTATATAGTTTTTGTATTTGTCAGATTTTCAAATTTGCTTTTCTTGAAATTGTTTCAGAAAATGAAATTTTGTTTATTTAAAAAAGCAAATATGTGTCTTGATATTTTGCAACTTTGTTAACTGTATTTGGGGCGTGAGATATATAGTATTGATACTCCACCACTCAAAGACTGTACTGACATGTTTCATTTCAACAGCGCCCACACACAGGGTCATGTTGAAGTTTAGTTGTGAATTTACGGATAATAAGATTATTTTACCAGTGCTGCAAGAAATGAACTTCTTTGTCACCAGCCTTCATAATTATCTCAGATAGAGGTATTTAAACAATTACAAAACAAGGCTTATTATTTGTTTCACTGCCATAAATATTAGCTTGGTTTTTGCAGATATTTTGTTTCAATGCCACTTTTTAAGAATTCATCCCTTTCAGTACTTATTAAGAATAACCACATATTTCACATATTATGTTTGAATATGTGTGCATTTTCTGAACTTACCTTTGACTAAGCCAAGGAAAAGAATAATTATTAAGAATCTTGAGGGAGCTTGATAAATCATGTCATTGTTCATGTTCTGCAGCTGAAGGTGACTTAATTCACCAACCTTCCTTTCCAATTTAGTTTCACTATATTCATAAAGTCTCATGTTGCTTTTAAATACATATCTCAGACAATGTATCAGTTTCATCCAGTTTACCGTCGGCATGAAGCAGACAGTACATTTTGTATATGACATTCAGCGATCAATCTTCGGAGCGGTTGTATTCATGTTGTAGACTAGAGTCCCATGATATAGGTCTCTAGAATTGTGTTCAGTTACTGTGTACGTCCTGTCTCACCTAGCTTCCAGCCTCACACGAAGCTTGTAATCCTTCACCATCTGTACAGCACTTAGACAGGACAAGAGAAGGGAACTAAACCTTGTTTCTGTAACTTGGGTTTGCAGACACTTGTGCCTGTTGTGCCCTAAGTAGTTGTGCCAGTTGTACTATAAATAGTTTGTTGGTCACATATTTAACAGATAAAATGTCTTTAGTAAAAACTTGATTTTTATGGTGTCTAGGAAATAAGAAAGGTAGCTCAAAACTATTCTTCTGCAGTCTTTTTTTTAACTTTTTTGTACCCATTTAGCATTTTGCGAAAATATGAAATGAAAATATTTCAAATTTGACATTTATTATATATTTTTTACCAGAAATTCAAGGCCCAAAATCTAATCTGGTACAAAAGCACTAATATCTGCTAACAATCACAATCAGAGGGGTCAGGTACACTCAGGCTTCAGAATTTATTATGCTAACCTTTACGATTGAGCAAAAGTATATTTTCAAGGTGGTTCCATGTCCCTACTCTTGTCTGTGGTATTAGGTAGACGTCCAGCACCCCTCATGGATACATAGACGTGTAATACAGGGTGATGGTGGTCATGTGATCCACACGATCACCTTGCTCCATGTACTGTGTGCACCTGCATGTACATGTGGCAAGACTATTCAGAAGGCAGCTGACATGCATCAATCACTGTGAATACATGGTATGTACATATAGGTGGCGACACTTGATGCGTTTGTGTTCATTGACAGATAGTGATCAACACAACTACTGCATGTACATTTCGCCTATATTAAACTATCCTTATCTGACATGTGTGTTGTTTTCTTTCTTGACAGGTATAAGGCAGATTCTCCTGTAACAGTGGGGCGGTGGGGTAGCCTAATGGTTAAAGCGTTGGCTAGTCACGCCGAAGACCCGGGTTCGAATCCCCACATGGGCACAATGTGTGAAGCCCATTTCTGGTGTCCCCCGCCGTGATGTTCCTGGAATATTGCTAAAAGCGGCGTAAAACCAAACTCAGTCAGTCAGTCAGTCCTGTAACAGTATGTATTGTGTTGACATTCACTGGATTGTCTGCTCCAGACTTGATTTGTTTACAAACATCATACATCTGTAATTCTGCTGAAACAAAGATACGCTCAAGATATATATCACAATTGTACAATCAACTCTGATTTTAGCAGAGTTTTTTTATGAATGTGAAAAGGGTTTTGTCGCTTCTATTATTGTACCAATGTGTCCACTTGTTCCAGTTCATGCACCTTTCGTGACCAACTCGTGTTATTCCAGGACAAGCCGAATAGCCTCTTCTTTGAGGTTACGGAAAGAGGCGAGTGGTGACGAATGTTCATGCACCTCAAAAAGCTGACAACTGAAATTAGCCCTTTTGAGCAATCAGCAATATTCCATATGTTGGTGTTTGTAAATAATTGAGTTTGGACCAGACAATCCAGTGAAAAACATCTTGAGCATTGCTCTACCCAATTGGGGTATGATGTTGCGATAGGTCTGTGACAGCCAGAGATCAGTCTGGACCCACTTGTGTTATTCCAGGATAATAGATATCTTCTTGGAGGTTACAGAAAGGGGCACGAGGTGTCGAATGAACCTATGCTGTCATAAGAGGTCACTTCATGTATCCTCATAGACATAGTTTCGAATACAGGCCTGTCTCTAATTGGTGGCAGTCAAAACTTAAAAACTGGTTGACACACGCAATCTTTTCCCAGTTGCTTAGATCGACAATGGCTGTTGATTACTGGATTGTCTGGTCTAGACGATTACTTACAAACCGGAGCTGGAAAATTGCTGAGTGCGGCGTTAAACAAATCAACCAACTGATCTCTCACAGTACACTAATGAACTATTCAAAGGTCTGAAGAAGTTTACCTTTTTTCATAATTATGCCTAGTATGCCTAGATCTATATGGCATGTTTAGAAGGTTTATAAGATATATCACATAAGATGAAAGACGTATGAGGGCTACTCTGACCAAGTCGGATATGTATTTATGAAATGAATAGATGATGACGTCAAGTCAACAAACTAAAACGTCTTGGCGAAGGTCACATGACCTGATCGATAATATTTATAACTGCTTAATTTTACTATGTGATGTACATACGCATCAAATGGTATCAGTGATTCTGTGGTAATATATACACAGTAACATAAAAATTACAATTAGATCTATAGCACTGCTTAGAGAAATCATTTGTTGAGGTTTGAAACGGTCTTCAGTGACAGACACGGCCGTGGCTTTTTTGGCCCCTCCAGCCGTTCCCAGATTATGTCTGTAAACAAGTCACTTTCCTTGTGCCAACAACAACTAGGACAGGACAAGCGTACAAGTACACAACCCAAGGTCGGGGGCAGAGCTCATGACGTCAACATCGCCAGATATGACGTCACGCCGCCAAGACAACCGGTCTGGTAAGCTGGTCCCCGGCTCCCTTTGCGCACGCTAAAGTTCGTCAAAGTATATTGCGATATGCGAGACGGGGCCCAGCTTAACCGGTCTGGCGGCTGATCTTTCAGTTCAGAGTAAGCAAGTGTTCAGATTTCAATTTTCGTATGTGGCAGCATGCATTTATGTCATATTGAAGGTACACTGTAGGTTCTACATTTTAATTTCTCACAATTACCGAATAAACGACCGTCTTAATCACCTGGGCCCCATTTCACAAAGGCCACTTCAAAATATTCTTGTTTCTCATCTCATGAGTCGGGCGGGCGGGCGGATTAAATATATTTTACATTTTATGTTATTTTATGTCCCAAAACTTTTGATTTCTCTGGAAATCTACACCTTTTCTCCGATAGAAAATCAAAACTTAGAAGTGTGAAAAAATTCGTGCACATTTTGAGAGTCAAAGTTGCATTTTTTCCAGTGTAAAACTAAAAAAATCTTAGGGTCGTGTCGAATGTTTGGATCGGGCGGTAAAGAAAAAGGAGAATATATTCTATATATGGCCCAACACTTACGATGATTAAGGTTCTTTGTGGTATTTTGTGCAAGAAGTAATGTAAAGAGGCAACGCATTTTGTTCTGTGTACAAAATGATTTTCCTTCAAATCACAAGTTCGTAGGTGGACAGTCCTTCATACACGGCCTTGTAAGTCCGATATATTTTCAAGTAATGCGCAAAAACAGGAAATTAAAGAAACAGGAAAACAAAGGTTATACACACAGACATTTATTCTACGAGGTTTTCAACCACACACTTCCATCCAACAGAGAGAAAACAACACAACATATGATAATCACAAAAGAGGCTGATGGGTAAGGAATACGTATTGCCAAAGACATCGTTTATCCAAAAAGTATTACTTTAAAAGGTACATGCCACCCACACTAATAGAAATGTGTAACATATATCTGACGTAACCTCACAGGTATCGCCTGGGTGATGACTGGGAGAGTAGGGTGTGCTCATGTCAGTCAGGTTTTGGGTCGGGTTCGAACAATGATGGTATGGGTTCTGCCCAGATGAATTTGGGAACAGTTATGGTTTGTATGAAAGAAGTTTTGCTTTACCTTGGCTTGAATGTGTAGAGGATCATTACAGAGTCGAAACAAAGTAGGAGGTACTCTCTATTACTTGCCACCCATTTTTGGACTGACTGACTGAGTTTGGTTTTACGCCGCTTTTAGCAATATTCCAGCAACATCACGGCGGCCCATTTTTGGAACACAACACTAGAGATGTGATACTGGGGTATTTGTTACACTACACTAGAGAGGTGACACTGGGATATTTGGAACACAACACTAGAGAGGTGACACTGGATTATTCGTTACACTACACTAGAGAGGTGACACTGGCGTCTCTGGAACACAACATTAGAGAGGTGACACTGGGGTATTTGTTACACTACACTAGAGAGGTGACACTGGCGTCTCTGGAACACAACATTAGAGAGGTGACACTAGGGTATTTGTTACACTACACTAGAGAGGTGACACTGGGCGTTTGTTATAAAACACTAGAGATGTGATACTGGAGTATTTGGAACACAACACTAGAGAGGTGACACTGGGATATTTGGAACACAACACTAGAGAGGTGTCACTGGGTGTTTAGAACACAACACTAGAGAGGTGACACTTTGGCATTTGGAAAACAACACTAGAGATGTGATACTGGGGTATTTGGAACACAACACTAGAGAGGTGGTACATGTGTTTTTGGAACACTACACTAGAGAGGTGCCATTGGGGTATTTGTTACAAAACACTAGAGAGGTGGTACTGGGGTATTTGTTACAAAACACTAGAGAGGTGACACTGGGATATTTGGAACACAACACTAGAGAGGTGACACTGGGCGTTTGTTATAAAACACTAGAGATGTGATACTGGAGTATTTGGAACACAACACTAGAGAGGTGACACTGGGATATTTGGAACACAACACTAGAGAGGTGTCACTGGGTGTTTAGAACACAACACTAGAGAGGTGACACTTTGGCATTTGGAAAACAACACTAGAGATGTGATACTGGGGTATTTGGAACACAACACTAGAGAGGTGGTACATGTGTTTTTGCATCACTACACTAGAGAGGTGCCATTGGGGTATTTGTTACAAAACACTAGAGAGGTGGTACTGGGGTATTTGTTACAAAACACTAGAGAGGTGACACTGGGATATTTGGAACACAACACTAGAGAGGTGACACAGGGGTGTTTGTTACAAAACACCCACCCCTCTCCAGCATCTCACTCACCACGTCCCTAACACCTCCCCACTCCTTTCTAGCACCTCACCCATCACTTCCTTAACACCTCACCCACCCCTCTCCAACACCTCACCCACCCGACCCTTCTGAAGCACCTCACCCATCCATGTCTCCAACACCGCAACAACTACCTCCAAAACACCTCAGCCAACACCTCTCTAGAACTTCACTCATCCCCTCTGACACTGCTACTTGTCTGGACAACCGTCACCATCTACTCTGACGCTCCCACCGGTCAGGACAACCGTCACCATCCACTCTGACACTGCTACTTGTCTGGACAACCGTCACCATCCACTCTGACACTCCTACTGGTCAGGACAACTGTCACTATCCGCTCTGACACTGAGTTGATCCTCTGTTTGACAACAAGTGGCCACATACTCCGTACAACTCTAGAACACTCTGCTTTAGTCCGGTCTAAACCAACACCCCCGCACACTCCCGTCACAACATGTCCGTGTTCCTGCTGGTCCGCATATATGTCGTCAGTTGTATTCAGTCCTGAACATGCGAAATGACATTTTTGATGTAAATCAATATCTGCATGAAATTACAATTACAAGTTAATGTCTTAAAACCCTTCACCCATCAGCCTCACATTTATGCAGCTCTTCAAAATTAGATCAGAAGAATTCAATACACAGAGTACAAAGTTTATGGCACGTGACGATTTCAATCAGAGTCAAGGTCGTTAGTGGAGGACATGCTCGTGGGTCTTTAAAGGATGAGGTAGACTGCCGATGACCAATCAGAACACAGCATTTACAGCATGAAGCCAGACTTCATGCCTCCGAAGATGCCCTTCCTGTTCTTGTCCTGTTTGACTGAAACAACAGGGTGAAGGTTAATCAACTTCATTCTTCCAAGTTCCCAGACATCGGTACTCAATGTATTTATGTTTAGGTATTTATGGTGTGTATTGTCTGTTCAGTCCATACATATTTCATATTTTCTACCTGGAACTGTGTCGGCTTTGGACGCTCCAACAGCAGCTGCAGCGTCGTCATCTGTGGTCAGGTCAGCAACAGCTGCAGACGACTCAGCATTTCGCTCTGCTGCAGCCTGGCCCCTCTCCATTTCAGCAACTGCAGCTGCTCTCGCCTCCTCCAGTGCTGCGTACGTATGGGCCTTCTCCAGTGCTAATGCTTCTAATCTATGGACTTCCAAGGCTGCAGGCGTCCCAACGTTCTTCGTGGAATAAGCAGAGACTCTCTCGGCCTCCAGAGCTGCAAAAATCAGGGCCTCCTTCCAGGCGGCATACCCGGCGTCTGCTGCAGCAGTAGCAGCCTCGGCCTTCTCTACAGCAGCAGCCACAGCTGATCTTTCAGCCTCCATTGCATCAGCAATCAGGAGTTCCCCTTGTGCGGCGAACGCTTCGGCGGCTTGGCGATCTGCCTCCCGCTTCGGCATCTCTACTCTTTGATCTGTTGGGGGAACGATTGTAGGTCAGGCGACCACTTACTCAGAATGTTAAAGTCAGATTGAAAGTCTTGCCAGATACCTTTTGAATTTAAACCATAATCCTATAATCCTATATATTGCTTCTTTCTTTTTGTCTCTTTCTTAAACGAATCATGCAGCAAAATATATGGATTTTACGTATCTCACAGAAACAACCAATAACACTGTTCTGTGGGCGACTATTCAACTACATATATTGGTGGTATCGGGAAACAGTACAGTAGATGCTCAGCTGGCATACAAAATCCATCTCCGTATTCCCAGTAACCAATATTTGTTGTAAGAGGCTAGGGGCCTAGTGGTTGTAGCGTTTGCTCGTCACGCCTAAGGCCCAGGTTCGATTCCCCACAAGGGTACAATGTGTGTCCCACCGTGATATTGCTATGATATTGTTAAAAGCGGAGTAAAACCATACTCACTCACTCACTCACTGTAAGAGGCTAAATGGATCAGGTTGATCACTGAACGCCATTATTGAGCTGTATTGAACAATCAACAAGACAAAAATAGATTTATTCCTTACAAAATAAATGTATTCTTTACCAACAGCGTGTATGTAACAAATACCTACCATCGCGGTATTTGAGGTATCTCTGAAATTCATATACGGCCAAAGCCAGTCCGTGTAGAAAGATCATCTTGTTTTCACTGCTGTGGAGAAATGAAACAAAGAGTCTTTTATTATTTACAAAGTAATAAACTGTGTTTCTGTCACTGTTCGCTCTCTTGTTATTTCAATACACAATCAACCGAAACACAGTTGGGTTCGAAGAACCGTATTTGTTTTAATACATTTCTGCGTTAACTTGCAACTTTATGTTTATGACAAAGTTTAACCTGCCGATATTTCTCATCTGATCGGGGAAAACAGAGAACTTCTTATTCTTGTGGTCTTCAGTAAAATGCAACTAACGGATCGGGTGGTCAGGCTCGCTGACTTGGGTGACACATGTCATCGTATCCCAGTTGCGTAGATCGATGATCACTGGATTGTCAGGTCCAGACTCCATTATTTACACACCGCCGCCATATCGTAGAAATATTGCTGAGGGCGGCGTAAAACTACACACACTCACTCACTCTTGTGGTCCCCAGTCAACTTTAACACTTTTGCTACTTTCTCATAAGTGAGACATCTTGTTTTGGGGGAAATCATATAATGCATATAATATATAATCAAAGCATATAGCAGAATGATTCGTTCATAAATTTAATTTAAGTTTAGGAGATCAAAAAATCATATGACTGCTATTTGGATAGCTGACTATTTTAACATAAGTTCCCTGGTTCTAGTGTAACCCTAATCATACAAGACTGTTTTCTCAAGAACGTGCGTAACCAAACAATGAAAAGCTTATGCTCACGTTACGGTTTACACACACATCAAAACTTGTCACCTACCTCGTATCGACCAGTCGAGATAGTAGCTTCTAAACAACAGCGGCAACAACAAAACGTCCAACGGGATTGCGCTGACAATGAAGACGTAACTATGCAGGATCGTCTATGACGTCACTTCCCGTTCAAGTGATGTTGGCGCAGTGATGAGTAGGCATAACATGTCGCGTGTAACTCTGGGTAGGAGAGTTGTTTCGTCATATTGGCACGTAATCATTATAAATACGTCCAGGAGACTGATATTTAATTTTAATTTTATTAGCAGGGCACGCTTTCAATCAATGTTTTATACTATGCCAGTGTCGACCTTCATGTATATTGTAGATTTTGATCAAAATTACGCTTATTCCTGCGTATTTAAACTATGTTCAGCCTTTTTGAACCCGTGAAGATCCGGGTTAGATTTGGTCTTAGAATTGGAACCTATGCTTGTCGTAAGAGGTGACTAACGGGATTGGGTGGTCAAGATCGCTGACATGGTTGACACTTGTCATTGTATCCCAATTACGTAGATCGATGCTCATTCTTTTGATCAGTGGATTGTCTGGTCCAGACTGGATTATTTACAGACAGGTGATATATAGCTGGAATATTGCTGAGTGCGGTGTTCAATAACAAACATCCAAAAACAAACAAAAGAAGTTTCCAAGGAACAGAAATTCATTGAAAAGGTAAAAAACGGCTTTTAACCTTTACACAAGATTTCCATTGTCGTCCCTTTGGATAATTCCTATGTGTGAATCTGGTATAAAATGTAGCAATTTTGTACAATGATAAAATTTGCAATTCATCGGTCCGTTTCTGACTCAAACGGACTAGTTTAATTCATGATGCTTGTCCATGACTTTTCAGACACATGAACGTCTGTATGTGCGCGCTGGACCCCTCCCTCCTCCGTGACCATCTCGCCAAATTGATGCTGGGTGCTCCTTGCAAAGGACGACGCAGGCATGGAGCGGTCCACTTTAAGGAGGACGCAGGCATGGAGCGGTCCACTTTAAGGAGGACGCAGGCATGGAGCGGTCCACTTTAAGGAGGACAAAGCCTGGATCCAGGATGAAGATGTGTGCACTCCCCAACTCTGGGAGCTGGAGTTTAATGAATCTGTAGCTGTATCCATCTCCGGCCATGCACACACATGTATATGCTCTGTTGTGTATGTGACCCATGTGTCCCACGTGTACGGATATCAGGAAAGGATAACTGGATTTTGTACGAGCAACATAGCTGGTTATGCAGTGTTCTCATTGTTCATCACTCATCCACGTCCTGTTTCATGGGAAGGAGTCGACATACTGCTCATGTGTGTATGTTCGTTGGCTGCATTATGTGTATGTTTAACTGTTGATATATTTTGTGACAATGTATTATTCGTGTCTGCTACTGTAAACCCTCCAGTAGACTCATGTGTGTATGTTCGTTGGCTGCATTATGTGTATGTTTAACTGTTGATATATTTTGTGACAATGTATTATTCGTGTCTGCTACTGTAAACCCTCCAGTAGAGGGGGTAGTGCTGCATACGTTGTGGGAACACGGTTCCAGAGTTTTCTCTCAAAAAGTTTTTATCTCTGGTTTTACGTGTCGGGCTTCAGCTACCTTTGACCGTTTTCAAATGTACGTCTAAAATATACTTACATATTGTGAAGCAACCGCCGAATGTCGGTGGTTTTTCACAGTGTGTGTGTTTATGTTCGTGCAAATAGAGAATTTTGTATTGTGCCATGTTGGGAATGATGACAATAAAAAGCCGTGAACCGCACAGCTGGTCCAATTGTACTTGTTTTTGTTTTGTTTTTAGTTGATTATGGGAATGTTATGCATTCTAGGAGAACTATTTTGTCAACGGAAATGGGATGTGCTGGACCTTATCGTGGTGTAGGTGTCCAGTTTTTGGTTTTGCCATACACTGCCAACACAACTTTTGTTGCAATATTGTAACCATTTAATATTCAAATTGTTATAAAGGGGAAATAACGTACATGTATACCGATGCTAAATACAAAATGTTCAAGTGGACAATTCATTCCACCTAATTTACCCACCAAAAAGGGAAATAAGACAATACCAACATTCAACAAAAATACATCAACAAAAGGACGTATTATGATATCAACAAACCAATAGTAACAAGACATAATACTATCAACAAACCAATAGTAACAAGACATAATACTATCAACAAACCAATAGTAACAAGACATAATACTATCAACAAACCAATAGTAACAAGACATAATACTATCAACAAACCAATAGTAACAAGACATAATACTATCAACAAACCAATAGTAACAAGACATAATACTATCAACATTACCAAATCACATCGCATAGACACTATCATTATAAAGCGATTTCAAGCTGTTATGTGTCCACATTAGCTGATTAGACGCTCATTTTAGAAAAGAAATTTTAAAAATAAATAATGAACATCTCTCATTTGCTGAACTTTCGACATGGTAGTGAGTGAAATACATGCTATATATCTCATTCCCAGTAGACTATCCAGTGGTGGGATATTTCCACTGATCCATAATTAAGGTCGAAGGACGCATGTCCCCATTGGTTTGGGGACCACCTCACCTGGACATGATATACAGTTTATCACGTACAGTCTTAATTGCTGTCAACTCCTTGTCTGTACTATCTTCTTTATACATTGTTCAAACGTCACATATGCCATCAAATCTATCGACATGATTGTGCAGAACAGTAAATACTACTTTACTGTGTCACAAATCGTGTTATTTTAAGTAGACTCTCGTTTAGTGAGAAATACAAATGGAACTTTCCTTCACTTCCCTCCTCCTTTTTGAAATTCTATGACGAACATTTGTGCATGCATTTCATGCATTAGAGTTTCATATAATATGGCCTCTATCAAATGTGTTTTGGTATGTGGTCTGTCCGCCTTGAGTGAATGTGTTTAGTCTTACGTCGCTTTTAGCAATATTCCAGCAATATCAAGGCGATGGACACCAGAAATAAGCTTCACACTCTGTACCCATGTGGGGAATCGAACCCGGGTCTTCAGCGTGACGAGCGAACTCTTCAACCACTAGCTACCACACCGCCTCCTGTCTCCCTTGAACCGGACAGTTAAACGTTTCTAAAATCACATTGTGTCACGATTGTATTTCCGGGCAAAGTCTTTCTGAACACTTCTGATAGTTTAGCGTATAGGGGAAATGGCTTGACTTTGAGTTTTATATACCACGATCTTTGTCACTGAGAACACATTTGATAACACAGCTGCGACGTTTAAGCTGATTATCACAGGTCAAGTTGGATCAAACACGTGACAGATTTTCCAGGAAGTGTAAAATACGATGTTTGCTATTTTGGTATACTGAGCCAAACTGAAACTTGACACTCGGGAATTTTTTGACTAAGTTATTAATGCTAGGTTTAAGTCAATAATTTTAGTTGTATGCTGTGCACAGAACATCTTGAGATCAAAGGGAAAAGAATTCTCGCCGAAACCCTTTAACAACGATAACGTTCATGATGACAAGGTACTCTCTCCGAAATGAAGTTCACATTGAGGCCCATTCTCTTCCCACAGAGGTTACTTGTCATATCTTCCTACGAACCTCTGTTCTAATACGGCCATATTTCCCGGTGCTCGTAAAATCCCCTAGCGGCAAAAGATCGCAACACGAATTATCTCCCTTCTTTCTATCCAATCAGAACACGTGTTACATCGACTTAGATTCAACTTGACTAACACAAGCAAATGTGGGGCCACAAATACCCCCCATCTGCAGGGGACTTGTGTTGATGTTACACACAAGACGTTTAATGGTTAGCTTGTCCGTTGTCAACGAGGGCGATGGAGACGCCACTGATCCGCCATAACAGTTCTGTCTAGAAAAAACGTTTGCGCATCGCGCAGGGGAAGAAGTTTAGTTTTCTCGAAGCATACGGAAATTACCGAGGCCTTGCGAATGATCACTTTTGAAACAACGTCGCTGATTGCACAACTAAATCTGATTGCCTCCAATCACGAGTCTTGAACGCTCACACCATGAAAGGGCCGTATTAGAACAGAGGTTACGTAGGAAGATATGACAGGAGTAACCTTTTTGGGAAGAGAATGATTGAGGCCTTGAGTAAGGATTGTAGCCTTCTCTAGCGTCTCTTACAGCCACACAACGTCTCCCCATGGATCTTAGAACGTTAGTAAACACACCCCTAGGAAGACGCCGCCATTGCCAGGAAAAGATGACGTTGAAGATGTTGCAACGTCTGTGGTGGATTGACTTGTTGACGAACACGTCGACCCAGCTAATCTCAGATGCATTCGGTAAGACTGAGGTCGGGGCTGCGCGACGGCCAATCCAGAACTTGAATACCGGCATTTCGTAGAAAATTCTGAGTAAGAATTGCCGTATGCGGTCTAGCGTTGTCTTGTTGGAACGTCAGTCTAGCGCCATGTCTCCTTGTAAATGGAAGCAGGATATGTTGCAAAACCTGATCCCTGTACTGGGCAACATTTAAGGTTCCTCGAACGAAGCAGAAGCAGATACAATGTGAACATTATGTACAAAGTAAGAGACCCCTCCCATGCGTGTCATCCCCCTTCAAAATGGGTGACCAACACACAGCCCGCCCCAACCCCCAGACACAGACACACACAGACCCTTATCATCATCACCACCCCTAGTAAGACTGCACGGTATTACCGGCTTACGCTTTTCAAACTATACGTATTGCAATATTTTTTCAGAGATCTGGAATATTGGGTAATGGACATATATTAAATTTTTGTGATTATCTTTATGGCTTAGATTAAAATCTACACAGACTTCCATTCACAACATGCATAATTAGTGTCACTCACTGTCAAACACTTGATTAACATTCTGAAAAAATCTAGGACGCAAAATGTCATAAACGGTTATAGCCCTGGATCGGTCATAGGACCACTGCTATATACATTGATATCATTTAAGGTATAGACAGTAATATCTGTTTATTTGCCGATGACATGTGAACATATGTCATCACAGATTAAAATATCACAGCAGCCATTTGTATCAATAATGACACACAAAAG